AAAAGAAAAAGAAAAAGAAAAAGAAAAAGAAAAAGAAAAAGAAAAAGAAAAAGAAAAAGAAAAAGAAAAAGAAAAAGAAAAAGAAAAAGAAAAAGGGGCACTGGGGTCACCACATGCAGACTCACCACGTTACCACGAACCGACATCGCATCATTATGTGACCAGGTCTCCTTTCAAGTTGATTATACTCATCACGATCCTATCATCTAACCGTCGCTTCCTCAATACATGATGCCTCCCTCCCATCCCAGCGACTTTTCTAGCCGCCCTAACACAGATAGTGGTCACTGTGGTTCGATGGCGCCACCAGGGCCTCTACCACCTCCACCACCTCCGCCGCCTCCGCCGCCTCCACCGCATCTGCCAGCTGTCGAAAGGGCTCCCACTCCCGCTCCAGCCCCAAACCCGCCGACGGTGACCTTGGATGGTCGTCCCGGGGCCTTCCTAGTCGAGTTACTAACCTTCAACGGCTCACCCTTCAAAGACCACTGGGCCTACTTTGTGTCCTCGCGCCAGAACCGTGATGTTGGCGTGTATATTCACGCGACGGGCGACGTGCTAAACGGCTTCACCTTCGAGATCAAGCGTGGCCATGACTTGACCGATGCGGAAAACACCCCCACGAGAAGGATTCCGCTGCAATGGGTCAGTGCTGGTTATTGTGACGAGGAGGCCATGCTCAACCACGGGGAGTATAAAATAGATTCCGTGCCTGTGTGCGGGTTCGAGGCCAGTGCATACAAGGCGAAACCCCCTGGGACGACTTTGAATTCGGCTGCAGATAAGGTCTGGTAGGACTGATAAATCCCTTGAAGTCCTTCCTTTTCCAAAACATATGTCTCCATGTGATTGCTGGCAAGCCTTGTTAACCGCGGTCTCTAGGCTAGTTCTGGCAAACCAATCTCTCAAAAGAACTGTCAGTCATGGCTCGTGGAAGCTGCGGACTACCTGGCCCAAGACGGCATCTTTCGTCCTGAGGTTTCCGTTTACCTTCGTTCAATCAAGCAGTAATCTCAACTAGCCGTAACGACACATGGTCATCGCAATACAGCTCGGCGAGGATATATCAGTATGTCGACTAGGGCAACCGAATATTCCGGCCTTGGTCCGCTCGAGGATGGTCGCCATGCACGACGGGACGGCCATTATGAAGAAAGGTTTCGTGGGCTCAAGACGCCGTGGGATAACCAAGTGATGATACAGGCTTCGAGCACAGATACATGTAAAGGACAATCTGCTGTGTCAGTGAACCATTGCTCCTAGGCTTTCCTATTATACTATACTAGGGAAAGAAACAGAAACATCCTCCTTTGTTCTTGGTTTGTTCACACCGAGTAAGACTGATTTCGCAAAAGAACAAAGACATATATTTACAGCCAGCATGAACTTTCACGGTTGTAAGAAATCGGCCGTCGATCAGGCTAGACATATCATTTCAATATCTTTGTTCAATCCTTTATCCGCCGTGTATAAAAGTCTGTCTCGAAGATCATCGTCATCTCATGTCAGTCACTTCCTGTCTTTCCATATCAAACCAACAACTCTAGACAAATACCACCAACCAAGAAATCACTCCAACATTAACTGACCCCTATAGACAATCCGAGACGATGGCATCTGAACAAACCATCCGCCCAAAAAGTAACCGCAGCGGGTTGCCATCACCTAGTCCTGATCCCGAGCCTCTTCCTGCGCAAACCAGGGAGCTCCGGCTTTCGAACAACGGTAGTGGCAGTAAGAAAACCCAGCGTCCGTCTGTTGCGTCGGGAAAAGCAAAGCACCATCCTTCCAACAACGCCAACAGCTCCGAAGCCCGCTCTTACACCAAGGGAAACAACAAAAACAACCACGTCAGAGACCCTGAATGGGAAACATATGGTCCCAGGCTGTACACCTGCCCCGACTTGCATCGTCTCCGCGAGCTAAACGCCCGCATGGACTTCTCGCGAGACTCCCAGATCTATGGTTCTTCCAACCCAGTACGCAACCTCCCCGGTCCTCCGTGGCAGCAGCACCAACAGCAGCCACAACAACCGCAAGCCATGGATCCCGCTTCCCTGGCTAGAGAAGCCTGGCCTCTGCCTCCCGACGCCAATGCCGAAGCCGACGCCGGCTCTCCAGCCCACCGTGAAGTGGACCTCTGGGAAATTCTCCAGAAAGGCCCGGACAGCGTCATGCCTGAACCCCCTCGGCCTCAGCCATACCAGTCGTTCGCCGGCGCGAGGTCTGACTATCACAGCCCTCCGGGTCCGAATCCGACACCTCGAGAATGCGGAGCTGGTGCTCGCACCGCCAATGCTCGTCAACAGCCCCGCCAGGCCGGATCAGATCGCAGTCAACGTAACCCTGGCGGTCATGTTGCCCGTGGTGGCATCCCCCGCGTTACAACTACTATCAACAACGCCATGAAGAACAACAACAAGGCAGCTGCAGGTAAGACAGAGATCCGACCGCAGCAGACGCAGTCTCACCCTCTCAAGTCCGCCGTCCCTAAACCTTTCCATCAGTTTGCTCCAGAGCGTCAGGGCCCTCGTAGGCACGTCGTGCGCAATATCCACTCCATCAAGACCCCTGCCACGCACCCGACCGAGCCGGCGACAACATCATCAGCAGCAGCAGCGCAAAGCCAACACGAGCATCCAAAGAACAAGAAGAAACCTGTTCCGCCCCAGCCCCAGCCGCCCCAACCTCCCTCCCTGGGGGTAATAGACCCAAGCGAAGACATCTACTCCGCCACCCCTCGAGCCGCAAAATTCCGCCCCTCGGACAAATTCGTCGACGTCGACGACGAGCAAGCATGGCCCCTCCGCCCGGAGGACGACAACAACCACGCGGACGACGAAGCTGGCTCCCCCGCCTCCAAGACCTCCGGTACCACCACCAAGCCGTCTTCGTCCTCGTTCCGCGCCCGGGCCGTGGAGAACTGGTCCAAGTTCTACCACAAACTGGTCCGATACGACGACGACGACGGTCTCTTCTCCGACGAGGAGCAGCAACGGCCTCTCAGCCCCGGGGGGTGTTCGACTTGTAGCGAGGACTTTCGGCCCAAATCTACCCAGGAGAAGCGAGGCGGGAAGGGGAAGGAAAAGGAAAAGGAAAAGGAAGTCGACGTGCACGGAAGTGAAACCGAGAACGGCGCCCCCTCGCCGGTCGTCGACAACAGTAACATGACGGAGATGGACATTCCCCTCCAGCTCGACCTCCCAGAAACAGGCCCCTCTTTCATCGACGCCATGGCCGGATCCTTTCGTGCCATCTACGCCCGGGGAGCAGAGAATAGCGGGAAGCACTCGTTAGCTCACAGCAAGAACCGCAGCAACGGAAGTTCCCACACCACGCGACGCGAAATAGATTCCGATTCTCGGTCTCACTCTCCCGTCTCCGTCCCAACAACATCCCCCCTGGCCGACGTTGACCACACCCCGAGCAAGACAAACAAGGGGAAGGGGGAAGATACAGGCGGCCCGGACCCCTCGCTTCCTGTGGACTGGAAGGACATCTTCAACGCCGACGACCATGGCATCCCGGCCAGTACGTATCTCGACGCCCTGACCTCGCGGGAGATTGAGGGCAACACGCCGCTTCATGTCTTCATGCTCAAGTCGGTGCAGGCCACCCAGGCAGCGGCCCACGACATTCGTCGTTTGCGATCGGCCCTGGCGGCCAAGAATGAGCAGTTGGCCGCTGCCCACTCTTTGCTTCTGGACGCGAACGAGATGTTGGCCGAGGCGGAAGCGGAGGAGCGGAGGAGGGAATATGAGGATGGGGACAAGGTAGATGAGAAGCCTCGCTCGCCGTGAGCCTGGTCCTAGTTAGTTTCTGATGTGTGAGTACAAAAGAATGTAACTAAGTAAGGAGACAAGCACAGAATTGTTAAATGGGATTACAACTTTTGTTTCTTTGGGAGCCATAAAGCCCCGTCCTCGGAGAGGCCATTACATTAAGTACATCGATGATTCCTGGTATCTCTGGTAATGTGACCTGAACCTGAACCTGAACCTGAACCTGAACCTGAACGCCTCACATGTTTTGTCGTCTGTGCCGTTGCTGTGCTGGTATCTTCTCCTCACATCATCACGGCCTGACAGGAGGCCACCTGTAAGACAAATAAGAAGAAAAAGCCAAAGAAAGGCAAAGAAAAGTCCCTGCTGTAGTGGTTTCATCGGTCGTCGACGGTCGTCCCAGATCGACAGCAGAGCTGAGCAAACCCGACTTTAACAGTCCGAAGCAAGTCGGCCGGAAAAAAACCCGTGTCGTAGCCTGTATGATGATGGGCCCTTCCAGTGGTATCATCCTTTTTCCTGTTCCCTTGCCGCGCCGTAAACCAAACTCCAAAACAAAAAAGAAAGATACCTTCTGACGACAAATCAAGGCTCAATAATGGTGCAGAGCACGAGTGCCGGGATGCTGCTCGCCACAGCAAGGACAGGCACCGTTGCCGTCCTCGGCGGCTTCAACCGGATACCCAGTCTTTCGCCAAAACTCGACAAAGCGCCGCGTTTCGGAGTCGCGAGACACGGGAACGCGCTTCCAAACGGTCTTGCCCCTGCGTTCAGGCAACGTCGGGGGGCGATTGGGCTCCCCGGGAGCCGAGGGCAAGAGAGACTCGAGAGTGTCGTGGTAGTCAACGGGGTTCGAGTCAACGGACGAGACGTCTATGGTGTCGGAGTCGTCGGAGTCGTCGGAGGCCTCGCCATGGCAGGCGTTCTCGTCAGAGGCCTTGTTCTCAGAGGCGTCACCGTCGGAAGCGCCATCGTCGGAAGCATCGTCGGAAGCATCGTCGGAAGCGCCGTCATCGGAGGAGACGCGTTCACGACGAGAACGAGAGAGAGACTTCCAGCCGCGGATGACGCGAGCGCACCAGGCGGGGCCCCGAAGGGGGATGAGACCCTTTTCGTCCTGAATATAGGCCTCCTTTCCGACCAGGATGAGGCCCTGATCCTTGGCCATCCCGCTCAGCTCCATCAATGCCCTGCCGCCGGGGGCGTCGAGCGGGAGGCCAGTAACAGCGACTTCGTTCAGGATGCAGCCAAGCTCGTGGGAGGCTAAGCCGTGTAGCTCGTTTTCGAAATTAGGCAAGTCCTCCGCGAAGTAGTTGACGAAGTCGAAGCGGAGGGACTCGAGGCCGGGCAGAAGCCGCGGAGGAACGAGGTTCTTGTCGTGGGTTGGGTCGAAGGGGGCGCGTAGGGCCTCCAAGAAGTCGAGGAGCTGGGCCCACGCGTAGGATTTGAGGCCACGACGGGCATAGGTCTTTTCAGGGACGCGACGGTGCACCCGAAGAATGACGTCCTTTTTGAGGTCGCGGTACTGCGACCGGGACACACGCTGGACCACGCCCCGATCATCATAAAGCTGGGCGATGATGCGGAAGTTGACTCGTTTGATCTTCTTGCGGAAGCTGAAATCCACCTCCTGGAATCGACGGACGTTCTCGGGAGCAGTAAATACGAACGTGTTATTCGTCCAAAGGATGCGAGAGCCTTCGGCATGCAAGGCTTTGCAGGTGGCCAAGACGTGAATGGCAATCTGGTTGCCACGCAGCTTCTCGGTCGAGGTCAGGGTCTCGGGCTTGATCTTGCAGAGGGGATCGATGATGGGATCGGGGGCAGCGAGGGCATATCGGAGGATAGACAGAAGGACCTCGGTGGGAAGGGAGGGGAAACCACCAAAGTGACCAGATCGGGCTGAGCTGCGAGTAGTATAGCGGCCATTTCGTAGAGATGCCTGGGCAGCAGCATTGAGATACGCCTTGGAGATGGGGGACCAGGCGATGTGGTTTTCACGAAGCAAACGCTTGAGCTTCAGATTCTCCTCGGCAAGAAATCTGTTCTGCGCGCGCAGGGGTTCATTGTAGTAGATCTCTGCCATGTGTTGATTATCGCGGCAATCCCAGGGAAGGACTTGGTCCTCATCCTGCTCAGACCCCTGCAGTCTATCAGCCAAGCTCATTACCTACGAATAAAGAAAACAGTAATTATGCTCTTCTCTTGGAGATAACATACCATCATCAGAGTCCTTAAGATAAATGAATGAGTGTGAGCAGAGGAGAGTATGAAATGATATAAATGGTGAGTCGGTGAAAGGTTAGAGAGCGAGAGTAGTTCCCGGAACTATAAAGGAGCAAAAAGTTTTGCTGGCTAGTGAAGATGGAGGTGAAAGGGTTTTAAGTAAGAGAGAAAGAGAAAGATGTAAGAGTTAATGGGGTTGATACGAAATGAAGGCAACAAGTGAATACTGATACCAAGCACCGGCTCCTCCTGCCTTGTGAGTGCGCGCCGACAGATGAAGTCAGTATACAGCTGTAAAGGGAAGGAAGGGAATACATTGATACAACTAGGAAGGTACCTAAGGTACAGTACCTTATGAGGCTTCAGTGGTGGGCAGGAGCAAAGATAGGTATAGGTGTACAAACTAATGTCCCTCTTTCCTGTATTTGGAAAGTCCAGTAAGGTACATAACATAACAAGTCATAGACGTACAAGGTAGAAAGCTATAAAGGGTAAAAATATAATAACAGAAAATAAGTAGGCAATATATAGAAATAAATAGAAGGACATATAGAGCAGTTAAAAGAGGGTAAGAAGGGAGGTAAGAGGGTAAGAGGTGCAGAATAGAAGGGGCAGAATATCCTGTAGTGGGAGGGACCTTAAGGAGAGCTGATATGCATCGTGTATTATATAGGTATTGCCTATCTTATATAGGAATCGTGTAGTCGTCTTCTGGAAAACCGATGGAATGAAAGTACGGATGTGGACAGGAGGGGAGTAACAGAGACTGGCATAAATTAGAAGCCTCAAAACGCCGCGTTGGTCCGCTCAGCCATGGTCGGATCTTTGTTTTCACCGGTCGCTTGCCGACAGATGTACATGTACGGATACCGCACTTCTGATGGGCTGGTTGTTATATTGTAAAGGTCGGCAGAAACTGGGGAAAGAGACTGATTGACCGACGATGGGCAGGAGAATAAATACTGAGTATCCGTACGTGTTTAGACATAGACCTGCTTATGGTCTGCCTGTGGTTTTCCTGTTGTCTGTCGTTTGTTTGCTACCTTATTCCATCACGAAGTATAAAAGTACCTGCTTCGTACGCCACTCGGACGGGATATAGAAGGTAACTAAGGTAATTAGTCCAGGTCTCGCCCGGCTGAGATTCCGACTCCGACTCCGACTCGAACAAATCGACACACACCAGTCCATAAAGAAGAAGCGGTAAGAACGGGGGCGTGGTTGCTCAGATGTGCAGCTACTCGTCGTAGTAGGCTGTAGTAGTACCCTGAACATAAATCGCTAGTTCTCTAATAATAAGGGACTGGGGACTGAAAACCCCGGCTGAGGCCACTGTAGGTGACGTCACCATCACCCTCATACTGCGCGCACCCTTATCGATACCAACATGGTGAACAAGCTAAAGTATCATAAGGTACCGAGTAGTGGAAGGTCCTGCCATGTCGATGATGACATTACTGCGGGAATGTAAAACCACATGAGGTCAGACAGTCCATGATCCGTCATCGGCGGGGAAGGAAGCACCGTGGCACCTGCTGTGCTCTTCCGACGCTGGGCTTGATATATAATCCAAGGTAAGGTACCTTACTTGACGAATCGACTGCCCTGTGTTGTGATCAAAGTGTTTGAGTTTCTCCTTATCAACCTGCTTACGGTCATTGAAATTCACAGAAGAACCGAAAACAATCTTACCTGACCTCCCCCTGTTTCCATCATGTCCCACTCGGAGCCCCAAAAGTTCTCCAATGCCTCCACGGGCGATGCTCCGGCAGACCCCTACAAGGAGGCCAACAAAGACGATCCTCCCCTGGAGCAGAAGGTCGAAGACTTTGCCGATTTCATCAAGGCCACCAAACTGGCCATGATGACCACCCGAGACGCCGCCACTGGTCACCTCGTTTCGCGAGCCATGGCCCTAGCAGCTACCGTTCGTCCCACATCCTTTCCTTTGCTTCCCCCTCCCCTCCGCCAATCAACTCGCATAATGCTCACAGCTCACTTGTTTCCCAGGAATCCGGCGGCATCGATCTCCTCTTCCACACCAACACCGAAACCCACAAGATGGACGAGATCGTCGGCGACCCCCACGTCAACATCTCCTTCATCAACAGCGCGGGTGACTGGGCCTCCGTCTCGGGCGTGTGCAGCATCGTCACCGATCGCGCCCTCGTCAAGAAACACTACTCCCCCGCCCTCAAGGCCTGGGTCGGCGACCTTGGAGACGGCAAGCATGACGGCTCCGAGAACGATCCCCGCATCGGCATCATCCGCGTCCAGGCCAACACCATCACCTACGCCGTCAACCACCGTACCGCCCTCGGCAGAATCTTCCAGATCGCCGAGGGAATCGTCACCGGCAGCGCCGCCCATGTGAATAGCCTGCGCGAGATTTCCGTGGCCGAGGTGAAGCAGTGGAGGGAGTCACATCTGTCTGCTGAGTAGTTGGAAAGGGACCGCATTTGAAGGGCTGAGAGAGAGAGAGAGAGAGAGAGAGAGAGAGAGAGAGAGAGAGAGTACTCGATGTAATGATAAGTAGCAGGACGCGAGTAATTTGCGTCGGCTCGCAAAACAAAGGACGGCGTAACGAATTATGATATAATTGTCATTGCTTTCCGTACTCGGCCTTCCATATCCTATCCCACGTCTCCTTATTCAGCGCAAAGTCACGGACAAACTCATGCTCAAGCTCATGCGTCCGCCTCCCCAGCAAAACCAAGCTATGCAAAGGCGGTCCCATAACCTCGTCCGCATCGCACAGCTCCCTCAACGTGCCGGCCACGAACTTCTGCTCCTTGCCGCCCACGCGCGCAGCCCCAATGGCAAGACTATCAGGGGAATACACCCCCTCCCCCTTCTCCTCCTCAATCTCCAGCATCTGCTGCGCGCATTGCCCGACAGTCATGTACCGCGGCGGCTCGTAAACCCTGCGGCCCCGCGCCAAATTCTCCAAGCTCTGCTCCTTGACCTTGATGTCGAGGAGGACGAGGGTATGGAGCCCGATGGCGCGGTTCTCCTTGATGCGGTCGTAGAACGAGGCCGGGCGCCAGCTGTCCGTGAAAAAGACCATCGACACCGTCTGGCCAAAGTTGTACAGCTGCAGGCCCGCGGCGCCGATGCCGGAGAGGATCGAGGCGTTGGGCACGGCGGCCACGGGGATGGCGAGCTCGCGCGCGCGGAGGACGAGGTCGGTGTGGGTGGTGGCGCCGAAGGGGTCGCCTACCACCAGGAAGGCCACGTCTTCGGTCTGTGCGTCGCGGAGGATTTCGTCGCTGTTGGACTCGACCATTTCGCGGTCGGCGATGACGATGGACCGGCCATAGTAGGTTTCCTGGTTGTGTTTCGTTAGTGAGTCAAGGGAGGACGAGGAGATGAAGGACGCGAGAAAGAAATAAAGAAATCGCCAATTGGGGGAAGGAAAGGGCGCCAAAAAAAAAGAGGAAGGGGTTTCGGACCAGGACAGACTGGTCTACCAGGAGAATGCTTGTGTAAGCTTCCAGGTAGACGCGGGAGGCCTTTTTCACGATTTCGAGACCCTTGACGGTAATGTCAGTCTCGTCCGCGAGACCGAGGCCCACGAGGTACAGCATCTTTTGTTTGCAACTTGTGAGACGAAGTTACAAATGCGTCGGCTACAATTAAAGAGACGAACCTCTCCAGGGGGAAAAGGAGTGAGAGTGCAGTTTTGGCGGGGTAAATTCCTATCGTCTCGTCTCCGTTATCTGATGCGTTATCTCTTATCGATAACACTGAAGTGAAGCTGGAAAGCTCAACGGTTTCTCGTCCGCCCCCCTGTAACATTGAAACATTCCTTACTTTGTACATCGTCACAGCACACCATCACATCCCCCGACCTATCCCCACCTACGCCGCACCACAGATCCCAACATCACTCTCCCCCACGCCGCCGTAAAAAGACCACGATACACGACCATGTCCGACCCAACAAAAGGCGGCGCCTACGGCACGCCCGCCGGCGACACCGACTTCCGCAAAACATGGGACCTGGAAGAATACGCGGCGCGCGGCAAGGAGCGCGAGGCCAAGGAGCGCGAAGAGTCCAAAGCGCGGTACGAAGCGAAGCTGGCGGGGCGGAAATACCACATACCGCTCACGGGGAACGAGTCGCTCGCGTCGGCGCGGCGGACGGCCCTCGACGTGTCCTCGCAGGTGGGCAAGACGCAGCTCGTGCCGGCGGGCGCGGGCCAGGGCAGGCGCGGGCGCGGCGCCGGCTTCTACTGCGAGGCCTGCGACCTGACGTACAAGGACAACAAGCAGTTCGTCGAGCACATGAACTCGCCGCAGCACCTGGCGGCCACCGGGCAAAAGATGGAGGTCGAGAGGGCGTCGGCTGGGGAGGTCCGCGCGCGCGTCGAGTACTGGTGGGAGCAGCGGCTGGAGCTGGAGAGGGAGCAGGCTGTCAGTCTTCAGGAACGGCTGGAGTTGCGGAGGGAAGAGAACGAAAGGGAGGCGGCGGAGAAGAGGCGGAAGAGGAGGGAGGTGGAGGAGAGGAAGAGGGCGGAGAGGGAGGCGGCGGAGAAGGTCAAGACGGAGTATGGCGAGGATGTGCGGATCGAGGGCGAACACGACGAGGATGATATGATGGCTTCTCTTGGTTTTACTGGGTTTGGGACGTCGAAGAACAAGACGTGAGGACTTGGTTCTGTACGTGGGAAATGATGGAAAAGAATGATACCCTGTGGCGAATGTTGACACTGAGAGTTTCGATATTTTCTAGGGAATTCTGTCTATGAGCAAGAGATCCGAGAATTGTTTGACTACTGAGTAAGTACCTTATATAGACTGCTTCCGTTGAGAAATATATCTGGCGCAGAATTACGTTGTACTTCGTACTGCTCAACAAGGACATTTCCCCGGTGAGGGTCGGTGAATCTTCGCCAAGACCCACCCCGCGATCCCTCTCACCGACCCCACCGGACACCAACATTGCGCTACTCGTCCCGTCTTCCTTTTCCCTCCTCTCTCCCTCCCCCAAAACGAGCACGCACCAAACACACCGACGGCTAGTAGCCTCGTTTTCCCTCCTCACGAGCCCCGATATTACTTTTTTTTGTAGCCCGTTTGCTCGTTGACCCATCATCGATTCATCTATTTTTTCGCAACACAACCCAGTGGACGAATCCTCTTTGTTCGTGCTCCCCGAACGCAAACAACACGACTCGACTCGACTCGACTCGACATCATCAACTTCCTCTCCAAACAAGCCACCACCTTTTTGCGCAACTTGTCGCCCAATTGCTAAACGACCGCCTCGTTCTGATCTCTGGCCATCATGGCGTCATCCGCACCCTCGAGAGCTACCTTGCTCCTCACCCGCTACTTTAAGGATATCACCAAGGGAGAGGCAGCTCGGGACCTCGCCGGTGTGTCCTGTGGTCTTGTCAATGATAATGTTTTCGAGTGGGAGGTCATGCTCATGATCGATGACGATACTAAACACTACGGTGGTGCGTTCTTTGTTCTTTGTTCCTTGCTCTTTTCCTTTTCCTTTCCTTTTCCTTTCCCTTTACCTTTACCTTTCCCTTTTCCTTCTTCCACACGACAACCCCCCCAAGACCACCCAGCAATGCTAACAAACTCCCCCCCACCCCCCAACAGGAGCCTTCTTCCGCGCCCGCCTCGTCTTCCCCCCCAACTTCCCCGACCAACCCCCCTCCATGACCTTCAAGAACCCGATCCCCTTCCACCCCAACATCTACCCGGACGGCCGCCTCTGCATCTCCATCCTCCACCCGCCCGGCGAGGACGAGTTCGGCTACGAAGACCCCTCGGAGCGCTGGAACCCCGCCCGCTCGCCCGAGACCATCCTCGTCAGCGTCCTCAGCCTCTTCCACAGCCCCAACCCGGAGTCGTCCGCCAACTTCGAGGCCGGCCGCCTGCTCCGCGACGATCCGCGCGAGTTTAGGAAGCGGGTGCGCGTGTGCGTGCGCGAGAGCCAGGAGAATGCGGGGGAGGCTTGAGTACACCGGCTCTGGAATGGACGAGCGTGGATGGGAGGTGTGGCGATGGGATTCTGGGAGCTGAAATGAACGGTTGTGGTCTTTTTCATCCCCGTGCAACCTCGCATCAAATTACTGTACTGTCTGGAGTCGAGGCACGGAAGAAGGGGGGGGGGGGGTGGTTCCACGAAACAGCCACGATTTGGATACGTCTTTCACGTTGGACGGACGACGGTATGCTCTGATTACGGCGTTCTCAGGTTGTTTGTTTTGATTTTACTATATTTATTCTTTCTCTCTTCCCCCCCCAAGCAAAATCGAATAGGGCATCAAAAGGGAATCATCATTAACAAGTACCCAACTAAACATACCCTTTATGCAGCCTCCTCCCTTGGGGCCCGTCAGTTATGTACTCAATCAAACAAGTCATCGTCTCATATCATGTTCGTCCCGTGCTCCTTCAACAAAAAACACCCCTTATCATTTCCTACTTCTGACTACCCAAATCGTCCTCATTCTCCCTAAACACGCTCCTCCTCAACGGACTCGGCGTCCCCACACTCAACCCACTGGGACTCACTACCGACCTGTTCGCCAACATGTAATCTTCGCTCTCGTCCCTAATGGTCGCCGTCGGCGGACTTACAGGCTCGTTCGCCATGTCGCCTTGCGAGGGCGTGCTCGACGCCGCGGGTATCGACCTCGGAGGGTCGGCGCGCCGCGCGAAACCGGCCGCAGGACCCGGACCCGGACCGGAGGAATCCTGCTCGTCGTCCGTCGCGGAACTTACTGTGGCCTCGCTGATGTTTCGCAGGTGACGCGCATCGCGCTCGCTAAGGCCGGACACGCCCGACAAGATGCGAGGAGACTGGCTGGTCTCGTGGCCAGCGCCCGGTACGGGCGGGGTTGGCGGTCCCGCCAGGCTCGGATTCACCGAAGGTGTGTGGCTGCCCGAATCCATTTCCAGCGGCCCCGAGGACCGGGAAAATGAGGAGGCTTCGTTGCCGGAGATGGAGCCGAGGTAGGACTGGTTTCTTGATGTTGGGGGTTGGCTGCCTGTGGCAAAGTGAGAGTGCCTATTGATGATCTCCACCGGGGTGAGACCTGTGTCCTGGAGCTCGGGAGGACGAGATGTGTCTTTTCAAGTCGTACGTTAGCATCACACATGCACAAAGAAATTTGATTGTCTCCAAAAAGGGGGAGAGGAAGCAGAGGATGGATAGTACCTGGAAGTTCGGCAATGGACGTATCCATCATTTCGAATCGCGACGGCACGGCTGCAGTAACAAAGGCCGGCGATGCGATCGGGCCCACCGAGCTACTGACCTCCGTCATGTCGAGGTTCGAGGGTGTCTCCTCCGTGGTGACGGTAAGCGCCTTCGTCTCACTCGGTTGGCCCCTGATCCAAGACAGGACCCGCATGCCGTTCTCGTCGGGGCTTGCTTCGCTATCGCCTCTCTGCTTCAGGAACTTCCGCTTGCGCCAGAGGCAGAAGGCCACCAGGGCGGCCGTCACAAACACCAGACCGAGCACGACGCCCAAAGTGGGTGCCACCCATCCAGGCAGGCCGCCACCACCGCCGCCGCCGCCGCTATCGTCCTCGTCCTCGTCCTCGTTCTCGTTCTCGTCGTCGTTATTGTCCGGGATCGTGGGTCGGCTCGACTCGGTGACGGCGGCGTAGGGGTACCACGTCTGTATCTTGGACGTTTCGTAGGGGGTATCGAAGATGTCGGCAAGCTCGTCGTCTCTCCAGCCAGACGGACTCGGGGTCGTCAATGCGGCGCCACCGGTCGCCTGGCCCCCTATCACGGCTCGAACGGCCGACGGTACGCCGTAATCGAAGTACCTCTCGGGATGGTACTCGTCCATCCACTCGGCGCTCGTCAGGTTAAAGATCTGGATGATGCCGCCGTCGAGACAGGCCAGGTTCGAACCTGGCCTCGGGGTGTCCCCGCCGATGACCATCATCTGATCGGGGTACGGCATGAAGCACTTATGCCCAGCTCGTCCGTGGTTCGGGCGACCCTCGCTCACCCGAGTCCATGTGAAGGACGGGATCGAGAGAACCCACACGTCGTCGTAGAAATCGGCCCTGGGGTCCACGCCGGGATAACCTCCGTAGTAGTAGATGTTGAAGCTGGAAGAGTCCTGCGCAGGTGCGACGACAGCACATCCCCGGGTACGGGCCGTCGGCCCTTCCACGGTGCGCTGTCTATACCAGCGACCGCTGGCTACGTCGTAGATATCGATGACCGCCATGAACTCGTCGCTTTCCTCTGTCTGGGCCGGGCATTAGAACCAGGGCCTTGAAGCAATCTTGCGCTGGGACGGTGGGAGGAGAACGGAGGAATCAACTTACACTCTGGGCCGCGTTCTCGGATACGCGACTGGTGGTGATCCAGTCAGGGTACGTGACACCACCGATGACGACCAGGATACCCTCCTCGCCGACGGGGACCCAGACAACCTCGGGGTTCGCCCTTCCCTTGATTTCGTCCGGAAGAGTGGTGTTGGTCCATTCCAGATCGAGCTGATCCCTCATGTCCAACGTGATCAGCGTGCTCGATACGTTGACGGCATTTTCCGTGATGTTGCTTGTCCGCTGGAAGATCGGACCCCAGTTGGGAGCTCTCAGGCCACCAAAATACCAGGCCTTGTTCTCGCTCGGTGCACTGGCGGCACCGCCAAAAGCGATGTATCGCGTCAGGTCCTCGGGGAGGCGGTCGGTGTTGAATCCAGGATTCCAGCTACCGCGTTCTTGCCGGTTGTAGTAATACTGCTGGTACACAAGCACTTCGTCTTCGCGCGGAGGGTCGAAGGCGTCCGTCTTCTTGACCAAGCCTCCGTAGAGAGCAAGCTGGGCGTCGTTAACAAGCATGGCTCCATCCAGGTAGTTGGGGGCGTCGCTATTGGCATTGCCGGCGCCGCCGCGCGCCTTGGAAATGGTACCGAATAATGCGGTCAGATTCTGAGACAGGTTGAACGGCTGGCTAAAGTTGAGCGTATACATGAGTCCCAGGGGGTTGTCTAACTACGGTCAGCGCGAAGGGGAACGTAAAGGGGCGAGGGAGACGGAGCCATGACATACTGGGCTGGTCGATGGGCCCATATTCCCCGTTCGAAAGGCCCTGCGACCAGTAGATGTAGCCGCCATCGAGATATACGGTGTCTCTGATGACGCCAGCTGTGATACATGGCATATTAGCCGTGGGGACTCCAAGATGTATCTAGTCGTCACGGCTCAACTGTCCAAGGTACGAACCTCGCGGTTGCGCCCACAGACAAATGGAGGCGTTGACCTGATTCTCGGTCCAACCCTCGTATTGTGCGGAGGCAAGGCCGGCCAGGGCGGCGAGAAGAGTAGAAAAAAGTAGACGAGTCATCGTTTCGGTATGTAAATGCCGGTGCTTTATCAATGCCAGAATACTCTGCCTATGACCAGGGTGCGAGATGGGCGTGAGGGAAAGTCCCCAGGGCTGCCCCAGAGCATATGGGTTCAGTGGACGGTAGATGGGCGATGCGTTGTGAGTATGATTCAAGGAAGAATCAGAATACCGGCTCAGGTGAACGAACTCAGGTCCGGAACAGGGCTGACAAGATAGATAGGCTGGATGAACCCCGCGCCCGCGCAGCCGACGAGGCGTGATGATCCCGATCCAATACCCAATAGGCCCCGCGGTGGCAACCGTCGTCAAAGAAAGGCAGGCCGGGCGGGAAGACAAGTGACGAATGAGAGCAGGAGAGAAAAGAGGCAAGTGAGTGTCGGGGGTGCTTGTTGTGGTGGAGTGAGAGAAACTCTCCTCTCTCCGCCGCCTCCACAGTTCGGGATCGGCGGACAAGACAGATAGATAGATTATAGATGTGAGACGTCGAACAAGAAGCTCATCATCATGCGTACTTGTTTTGCCGTGGGTAGTTGAGTGTCTGTCTCTCTACCTAGGCGAAAGGGGACAGACACACTTGCGGACGACGGGGCGGCCCCGATGGTCAGCACGTCGAGTGAGAGAAGACTCCAAGACTCCAACTACATAAAGGATGTGCGGAGACGTGGGCAGCGGATGTATTGAGCTTGCTTCCGTTTCCCCAGTGGTCGTTGGTCGTTGGGTTGGCCGGCTGGACCTGTTCGGAAGGTGAATGAATGCGCGGAGTCTCGTCCATGTACGTTGTAAAGGTTGACTCCCATGTCTCGGCCGACCACATGGCAGCCGAATAAACGATGGAGCGATGCTCATTCACAGACCGGGCAATCCCTGACCGTTATGGGGGCTTATTGTGGACAAGTATGGGCAAGTGCTGATGTTCCCAATCAAACGTCCCATGTCCTGTGGGCGAGCCACAGCCACAACACCCATACACTCCGTATCTGTACAAATGCTGAGTAGAACGCTCGAGGGCATGACAGACATGACAGACATGGCCAGACGGTGCGCTGGCAAGATACGGGCGATCGTATAAGTTTTGCCAAGAGAGGGAAGGGAGCGGGGATGACGAGGAGAAGAGAAAACTTCACCGAATCATGGCCAATGAGACGAACAGAACAATATCTCGCGGTGCATGGAGAATGGGGGAGAGGAAGAAACGGCATAAGACTGATGGTGTGGTGGCAGTGGTCCTCGCAAGGGATGTCGACTGCAAGTAACACAAGGATGGAGCCCGAGCTGCAGCTTCAGACAGGGGGTGCTGTCGTCGGGTCTTTTTGGTCTTTCTGTCTTTCTGTCTTTCTGTCTTTCGGGTCGAGGAGCGAGGAGCGATGTCACGTAGAGCTTACCCCCAGACTTTTGCGAAAAGAGAGGTACAGCATGGGATGTGATGGACCGAATGTTGGAGAAGATGGTGATGGAGGTTGTGGTATACAGCGTCGAGGAGGCAACTATTCCGGTTTGTCCGAATTCGAGTCCGAGAGCTAGCCAGGATTCGGAATTAGCACTTGACGGAACAAAGAAAAGAGAAGACTGAAAAGGGAAACGAATTGGCTTGAAGCTCATTGAGGCTGGTCTTGGCAGGGAGTGGCAGTGGCTGAACAATGGAAAGCCTCATCCAAGGGTCGCAGCGATGGGGGGAGACGAGTCCAGGTTCGTCTTAGTGGGGTCGGACCACCAGGGGTACGTCGTTGTCACGAATACGGTACCTTGTATGTACATACCTTACTGTACTCGGTCACACCTGCCTCGGCCCATGGACCGTGAAAAGCTTACGTTGTCATGTGGACACAGTGTTGATAGACAGTTTATCTCCTGCCTCTGCCCCGTCTCCAACATGCATCCACCTAACAGATTTTGCCGTGTCCAAGGCGATACAATACTATAAGTGGTGTTAGGGTGATACCTACCAGGTATTACCGTTTGTGTGACGTACTTCGCACGGAGCACTCCAATAGACAGGAACGTCTCCCCGCCTCGTCTTCGTATCTACCGTTTCCCGTTGGACTGGACTCGATTTATTTCCCCGCCCACCCATCGTCATTCACCCCCCGGCTTTGGACGTGCTCTCTATCATCTCCGGTCCTCTCGACGCCTTTTTTTAACGCTTCATGTTCCGAAAAGAGTTCTCAGGCTTCGAGAACATGGCCTAGTCCTACGTGTACTAGCTCCCGAAACTCATTCATCTCGGACTCTCCCTCCTCTCATTCTCACGACTGCCAGCAGGCGATTCAGCACCCACACCCACGATTGAGGTGAGCCGTCCAGACTCGTACCACTTCGTACAAATTTGCAGAAAGTAATTAATTACCTTTGATCCCAGAGGAAGGATGTGGGGTTCACATGACTACCAAAGTCCCAGGGTTGTCGATAACGGGTGCCAAGTAATGGCATGGTCCTGGTTATGGTCCATGGCCATTCCCCGTCCATCCAAGATGCGGTACGGAATATGACTGCATGAATTCAGTGCTCAGCAATCACCTAGACTTACATTGTATAGACTGGGTTCTCAGCCACGGGACAAGCCTCTGGACCCGTCAAGCTCTCCAAGACCTACAAAAACGGGCTCAGGTCTCGGCCATTGCATGCCCTGCCCTTCCCGACGGGGGGCCCTCGTCGCCGTGCCGAGCCGATCAGTGACTCGCAGATCTATTCGTGATGCATTGGTGATCGACTAGCAGTAACCAAACAGCGAAAAGAAAGTCACTTGTCTCGGAGTCGGGTGAGCCAGCCGCAGCTATTCTGGCTTTTTAATGTGCGGCGACGTTATGTTGTCGACTATTCACATTGGATTGCCTCGAAACAACAGACGAACAGGGGAAATCCGTGTCGCCGGAAGCAAAAAGGGCGACGTTGACCCAAAACCAACCCGAAATAGGTAAGCCAATCTCCCAAATACACTTGCGCCTGCGCCTGCGCCTCAATGAGGTGTTGCTATTTTGTGCTTGCCATCCATGTTGGCTTAACATGGTCCAGGATGCGATCACCAATCCATCTCCACTATCACGATCCCTGACAAACGAAGTCTATCTTGTCCTTCGAAGCCTACGATGATATCCGTACGATGAATATGTACAGACACTGGAAAGACTGGTGCGATCAAGCCTCGGTTGCTCTTGGGCACGCACAGCACAATACCTACCTAGCTCCATCTTGCTGATCGCACTGCCGACTGCAGGCCACCCGTCCGTCTACTGTATGTACATACCTACGACCTGTCGGGTCAACTCATGCCGCCTCTTCTTACTCGAGGCCGGTGAGAGCAACTTTCGCCCACTATGGGTATAGCGACTGGTTCTGGACCGACTACCGGGGTCCCCCCTGGCCCTCCTCCCTCTCCCCTTTGTGCCCTTTGTCCCTCACCCCCCACACCAACCCTGCTCTACGATATGTAATTAATTAGCATATGCACGCTGCATCACCTCGGGGACGTTCTCAACTCCACCTCTTCCCAAGCCCAAGCCTACAGTAGTGTACCGTGTGCCAAGTGGCTTACGTGGGTACATACAACGGGCAACGGACAAGGGCAAGGGGAACGTACAGGGGGTGAGGTGGGAAGGGAGATTACCTACCCTTACCCTTACCCTTGCCGGGTGTTTTCTGTTTTGTTCCTTTTCTGGCTTCGTGGCTCGTCTTCCTCTTCCTCTTCGTCTTTGCCCAGCAACAGCAACAGCACTGAGCTTCCGGCCCGGTAAGGCTGCCAGCCAGGTCTGTCTCTGGGCCTTTGGCCCTGTGCTTGGCCCACCCATGTCGCTCACATCTCATCTCAATTCTCACTGCCCGCTTACATGGTCAGTCTCCTGCCCCTCTGGTAGCTCACGCCACACCCCCGGCACACATACACACATACATACATAGAGAAGCCCCTCCCCAGCCAGCCAGGCACTTGACTTGATCCCTTGGGTTTTCCTCTTTGTTGTGCTGCTCCCGCGCCTCGTCCATCGCATCGTCAAGAAGAAGGATTACCACGGTAACGGACCGACGGCCAACGAACCCGGTCACTCTTTTCTTCCCCGTCCACACGCTCGTTAGCAGTTGGCGATTTGCTCCGGCCACCACGAACTGCGTGACCAGGAAAAATAAGAAAGAAAAAAGAAATCCCAGCACGCAGCATCTCTGGAGCTTTTCGCAGTTCAGTCACTTCACCACAATGCCAAGGTGGCAGATCCTCGCCCTGGGCGCCTTGGCTGGTCTCGTCGGCGCAACACCAAACTGCCGCGAATGCTCAGACTACTGCGCCTTTCCCACAATCACCGAGACAACCAGCTTGAGTGCCTATATCCCCGAACCGTGAGTCGACGACCACCCCCACGCAATAGTGTCCAGGTCTGCAGCGCCACTAACTCGGCGTCTTCAGGACGACGGTCACGGAGAAAATTACCGTGACAGAGACGACTATCAAGTGGGATACCAAGACGGAAACCGAGACGGAGACGGAAACAGAGACGGAGACGAAGACCGAGACGGAAACGAAGACCGAGACGGAAACGAAGACCGAGACGGAGACAGAGTCGGTGACAGAAACCGTCCCAGCGTAAGTCGCCATGAGCAACCCTTCAATTGCCCCAATGACTGGCTCACGACCGGTTCCAGGTCCGCCTCCACTGTACTTGTCATTTCCACCGTCTTCACCACCGAGGTCGTGAGCGACACTGTCACCAAACTCGTCCCGACGACCGAGTGGGAAGTGTCCACGACCACCGACTACAGCACAACGACTGAGGTGGTGACCACTGTTAAGAAGTATCCCGTCACAGTGACAGAATCAGTGTAAGTTCTCCAAGTTGCCGTCGCAACAATCGACAATCGACGCATGGCTTGTGTGCATTTTCTAATGGTGATATACTCGCAGATGCACCGGCCCTGGAGAGACCAGCAGCGGAGCGGCACCCACGCCTTATCCCACATACGGTGGCGGAGCGATCTCGGTCCCTAGCGGTGAGCCAGACTGCGTCTACTACACCACCACAATATGGACGACCGTCACGGAGACGGACACGACCACCTACACGCTCAGTGTCCCCGAGACCGAGACGGTTACGCACGTTTCGACAGACGTGGTGACGGAGGTGACGACCGATGTCTCGACCTACACCTACTCGACCATCTCCACTTACACCACCACGTTCACCTACGTGACCGTGGTTCCCACGACCGTTGTCTCTGATCACACCGAGCTTGTTACCACGACGTATACCAGCGTCTCGACTTTCACCACGGAGGTCTTGGTCACCGAAGTGACGACCGAGACGATCGTATCTACCCTGCCGGGGTCGGTCACCACCGTCACCGAACGGCCCCGCGTGACGGTTTGCCCTGCGCCGACGAACGTGCCCGGCGTCAATCCGATCGACACGTACGACCCCAAGTCGAACCGCACGTGGGGGTGCAAGCCCGGCTTCGTGTGCAACCCGCCCAAGCCGCAAGGTTGCAACCTGTGGGCCGACTCGCCGGCCGACGACTACGTCTGCCAGCCGCAGCACTGCGTCCCCGCCCCTCGCTACACGCTCACCAACTGGGCCGAGAACGAGACGTCGTACTACCCGCCCAGCGAAGGTTACTTCAACCTCAACCCCAACGCCTTCGGTCTCCCGTACTCCATCTTCGACGCCGAGACCATCGTCAAGAAGATCGACGGCAGGAAGGTGACCATCACGACCGGCAACTGGGCGTCCGCCACAGACCTGACCGTCTTCCCGCCACCGGCGCCGGCCGCGACGGGCGCTGCGGAGCCTGCGGAGGAGGCTGTCGACAGGAGGAGGCACTGGGAAGCGCAAGCCCAGCGGCGCCAGAGCGACGGCTCCCCGGTCGCGCCGGCCATCTGCTTCGACGACTGCAACAACGTGTACGTCGAGGTCCAGGCGGTGGGCAAGTGGCCGACCATGTGCCTCCCCGGGTCCCAGTTCCTGAACGACCTGCAGCTCTGCTTCGACTGCATCGAGGCCAACTCGGACGACGGACCGCTCACGCGGCGCCACTACGTCGATCCCAAGTTTGAGCAGTTCCTCCGCTTCTGCGAGGGCCAGGACGCCGAACCGATTACCTCTACGAGCGCGCTCCCTTCGGCGCCGCCTGCCGAGTCGGCCGTCACCTCGCGCCCGGGTGGTGATGATGACGATGATGATGGCGACCATGTGTCGACTACGTCGCAGGCCCCGACCGCCTCGAATACGTCTGCCGTGCCGATCCCCCCCGTTTCGGAGACGGAGACGACGACCGCGTCGACGACCACGTCGTCCGAAGAGGCCCCGGCTCCGACTTGGGATGCCTCGGAACCGTCAGAGTCTGCAGGAGAGGCAACATCTGCACCCACCACACCCACCACACCCACCGGTCCGATCGAGACGGAGTCTGTGGTCGAGAGCGAGAGCGAGAGCGAGGGGGTAGAGCCAACGTCTTCTTTGCCTTTGCCTTTGCCTTCGGATTCGGATTCGGATTCGCCCTCGCCCTCCTCGGCCTCGACCGCACCCAGCTCGACGGGGGATGACGAGCAACCGGAGCCCACGTCGGAACTTCCGTCCGGCGTGCCCTCGGAAGCGCCATCGCCTTCGGAATCGGATCTCTTCCCGCCCCCCGAGTCGGTCACTTCGTCCTTCTCCATCGTGCCGAGCCCGACGTTTGACCAGCCGTCCGTCGTACCCACCGCCGCAGCCGTTCGTTCGGGCGTATCAGGCCTGCTTGTTGCATTCGTGGCACCCCTTTTCGCCTTCATCATCCTCCTTTAAAAAACCTCTCTCACCTCTTCGATCCGACGGTTCGACCACCTTGCTTTACCTCACGACCTAATAATTCATGACATTCCTTCATTTATGTTCCTCTCATCGTTTCACTTTCATGGGGAACCCGAGAGAGCATGCTTATATATACCACGGGCCTTTTTTTTTTTTTTTCTGGGGGACATGAGGCGAGATTCACGGATTCAACCACACTCTTTTACATTTACCGCATGAGGGTACACGCAACCAACGATGATGGTAGGAAAATAATGGTATTTTGGTCTTTTGGTCTTTGGCTTGGAGTTGACTTTTCGCAACGGATGGATGGATTTGGAACCCTACCGCGTGATACCCCTTGACACTCATTTTTGATACCCCCGAATCCGTGGGCCTCGGTCTGGTCTGGTGGAGAGATGGAGAGCTATTATACCTGGCATCTGGCATCTGTGCTTTGGCTGAAAAGTAGTTTAATGGTGGTTCATCACTGGTTTGCATAGGAGTTGCAGAATATAAGTGACACTTGAGATTTACTGAGTTTTTCTTTTCTTTTCTTTTTTTCTTCTTTTTTTAGACGCCTTTCTCGATCATCAAGAGGCCTATATCTTCATTCTCGTGCTTCTCAGCTGGACAATAGGCTGGGACACGTAGTCTGGAAGAGTGAACATGGGCCCCCTTGGACGAGCATACGACATAATTAGCATCCAAGCCACTCCCATTCAAGCCGCCCCTCACATGTCCTCGGCGTTCCTTTCAGGCCCGACTTGCCTACAGTGTTAGCATAGACAAGGAAAAGCAATGAATGGGTGTTGGTGTTGGTGCATCAGCGAAAGACTCCGGATCCGTCAGTAGCCCGAGGACGAGGACGGGGACAGGGACGAGGCCTGCAAAGAAACAAAGTCAGTTGAGCTGAACAAAGAAGCACACATTCCGGCCCTTTGCCGCTTGCCAAAGGCCGACAACAAAGACACCTCATTGACCTTTGAAGACAGGTGAAAGGGGGGAAGAGAGAGAGGAGAGAGAGAGGATGCTTTGGGGGGGTTCTTTTTGCTTTCTCCTTGCTCTGCATGACTTCCTTTTTTTAATTCCCGTTACTCTTTCGTCCGTCTTTGTCACAATGATCGATGCCGTAGGAGAGGAAGGGAGAGGTGGGGTGGATTGAGCTTCATTTAATAGGTGTTGCCCCCTCAGTGTATGCGTCTTGAAGGTGATGCGATGCCCGGAGTTTTCTTCACTTACACACACATTCGCATGTAAGAAATAAAGCATTGGATCTTCTTGTGCATTTCTTGTCTTACTACGGGGGAAAATGTCCGGAAGCCCATTCCCATTCCCCGATTTCTTGGGGGGAGTGGTAGGCAGCTCAGGGGAAGGCGAAGGAAGCGGAGGATCAAGCCAACAGCAACAACAACAACAACAACAACAACAACAACAACAACAACAACAACAACAACAACAACAACAACAACAACAACAACAACAAACAACAACAAATCTGTTCAACATACCAGCGGAGACCGAAAGTCAAGGTCAACAACAGCAAGATCTCTTTTATCCGAATCCAAACCCGGGTCTGTTCAGCTCGAGTACGGCGCAATCGACAAGCAATGCCCCTCTCCCCTACGAGACCCAGGATGACCAACAACAACAGGAGACCGGAGGGATTGCATCTGGCTTCATCTACCCGGCACCCCCTCTACCAATTGGGCAGTTCCCGCCATATGACCAAGTAGACAGTTACTATCAGCTAGAGCAGCAACAACAACAACAAGAGGCGGAGGCACAGCAGAACCAGCAAGGCTACAACCTCCTCCAGTGGAACCCGGGCACCAACAGCCAAGCGCAAGCGCAAGCCCAATTCCCCCCTCAACAACCAGACGGCAAGCCAGGCCGCTTCACAGCCCCGAAATGCAAGGGCTGCCGAATCAAACACCGCCTCTGCACGCCGGTCCGGCCGTGCCTGCACTGCCAGGAGACAAACCAAGAGTGCATAGATGAGCCGGCGAGCAGCAAGCGCAAGTTCAAACAACTCGCCGACAGGGAAGGCGATTCCACGGACGAAGAGGCCGAAGCAGCCGCAGATCCGTCCTCCTCCTCGTCGTCGGGAGGGCACCGGGCCAAGAAGCAGAAGAAATTCGAGACGCTGTCGGGCCCCTGCGACTACTGCAAGGCGCAGAACAAGGACTGCACGGCCGACCACGAGCGGCGCATCGAGTGCTCGCAGTGCACGACGGCGCGGGCGCGCGAGGACCCGGACCACGGCTGCGTGGTGCAGGGCGTCGAGTACTGGCGGCTCCGCAACAAGCACACGCGGAACAACTTCGTCGACATCCCGCGCCTCACCAAGGTCCGGACCTTCCGGTGTCAGGGGTGTAACCGGTTCAACGGGCTGCGCATGTGCGACGTCGACCCGGAGGTGCGGATCGGGTGTATGGTGTGTCGGATTCGGGGCGAGGTGTGCGTGTATGAGTCGCAGCTGCAGTTCATCGACCAGAACCAGAGCCAGAACCAGAACCAGAGCCAAGGCGAACAAGGGCAGCAGCAAGAAGGCCAGCGGAGACGAATCACCATGTGGCGCCGTCCCACGAAAGAGACCTTCGGCCTCGCCCACCCCGTCTTCTGGCGCCGTCGCTGCAAGCACTGCACCATCAAGAGATCCTACTGCTCCTGGACCGACGACGTGCGCCTCACCATGGCCAAGTGCACCACCTGCGTCGACGACGGCGTGCCCTGCTGCGACTACGAGGACGACTACCGCGTCGTCGACCAGGTCTGGAGCACCCCGCTCCCCGGCCGCGGGCCCACGGTGCCGCGCGAAGGGGGCAGCTGCGTGGCGTGCCAGTTCACCGCCGACAAGAAGTGCAAGGTCTGGGCCGGCTTCGAAGGCTTCGCCTGCGTGCGCTGCACCGGCTGGGGCCTCCCCTGCGTCCCGCACCACCAGGCGCCGAACCAGTGGGCCATGATCGAGGACGACGTCGCCGAAAGCGTCGCCGCCGTGCAGCTGCGCTACGTCGACAAGGAGCTCGTCGGCTACGGCACGGGGGACCGCGACGACATGGAGTTCCCCACCTGCGGCGCCTGTGCCGACCACGGCCGGTATTGCGACCGCCAGCGCCCTTGCGACAGCTGTACCGAGCACGGGGACCAGTGCGACGTCCTCGCCCCGTCGAACGAGCCGCACCTCGCGCCGGGCACGTTCCACCGGTCCAAGCTACAGGATTCCGGCATCGTCCCCGTCGACCGGCTCCCTCCGCCCTATTACATGGCCCTGGGCTACGGGCCGGACGGCGTCAACTCGGACCGGAGCGAGATTCCCGACGACATGCTCGTCGGTCCCCCGTTGCCCATCTGGGGTGTCTACGTCCCGAGGGGCGAGCTACCGAATTTCGCCAAGAGCGCGAAGAAGAGGCAGAAGAATTGGACTTCCACTCACGCACTGCGTCGGGTCAGGCCGAGGTTGTACGACTGGCGGCACAGCATGGCGGGGAACACGGCCCAGCAGGACGGCGGCGGCTTGCGGTTCGGCCAACAGGACCCGTCCTCCCTCCCTCCCCTGGATCTGGCTCTGGATCCGCAACTTGATTTCGGCCTGACTCCTTTGCCCCCGGGTGAACCCCTGGTTTTCACCGGCGACGGGTTCGAGTCGGGGATGGGAAGCGTCCCACAGCAGCAGCAGCAGCAGCAACCCCAGCCGGAGGAGACCAACGTCCCGACGCCACCGGTCAACGCCGCCGCCGGCTCCCCAGATTCCGCCAGGTCCAACATCATAGTAGGCGGCGGGGCCGCGTCGCAAGGCCAGGAATTCGTCGACTGGGCCGAGGCCCTAAACGACATGGACATGACCGACGCCGACGGCCTGGGCGACTGGGTAAACGACCAAGACTGGTTCAACCCCTTCGACCAGCCTGCTTCTTCTTCGCTGGACCCGCTGGTCCAGGACGCAAACGACGACAGGGACAGGGCCATCGCCGACGAGCTCAAGCTGCTCATGCATACCCGGACCTGCTTCGTCGCCCTGCACACGGCGGACCACGCGCTGCCCTTCGACAGGGAAACCGGCAGCATGTTCCAGGTTCCCGAGCCCGAGGTCGTCCTCCTCCAGATGGACGAGCAGGAATCGGCGGACGCGGCTAGCCGCCACCCGTTCGTGAGCCACCACGACAACGCCGTCACGAGCGAGCAGCGCGCGCGCCACTTGCTTACGCAGTGGAAGAAGCCGGGCGTCAACGTCCTCCGCGACATCCCGGACGTTCCGGACTTGGGGACCTACAAATGGGGGGACTGTGAAGAGCCCAAGACCCAGGGCCAGGGGCAGGGGCAGGGGCAGGGACAAGCCGGCATCAACACCACCAACACACCACAGCCCTGCGGCACCGTCTGCCTCGAATCCCACGTCTGCGCCAGCCGCCAACACATCGCCAACCAAGACACCTACGCCAAGGTCTGCGACGGCTGCCACCGCGAAAGCAAGCAGAACGTGCTCGAGGGCCCCGCGCGCCTGGAGAAGGGCGAGCTGCTCGACATGCGCAGCTACGCCTGCGGCGACTGCGCCGCCGACGAGCTGAACAAGGGCGGCGTCCAGCTCGCACCCCACCCCTTGACGGGGTGCCGGTGCGGCGAGAAGCTGTTCGGCCGCCGCCTGTGTTCCGCGCACCGCTACCTCCTGGCCGACCGGCTCGTCATGCAGACCGCGCTCGTGAAGGAGTGGCAGCTGACCAACTTTGCGGCGGACCAGTGCATGTTTTGCAAGAGGCGGCGCGGCGCGGCGGGGGGTGTCGGCGATGCTCATGGTCGTGGTCATGGTCATGGGCATGGTCCTGTTCATGGGCAGCCTCCGTTGCAGCAGCAGGCGCAACAGATGGGACAGGGCCAGAGTAACAAGGACCCGTCCATCTTCTTCTGCCTCAACTGCCAAACCCGTGTTGTCGATCCCGGGGAGAACGCGCCCACCTTGTTCCCCGGCTATGAGGCTTGGCATGACAAGTGGTTCCCCGATTCTGGACTTGGTTTGGGCGACGGTTCTCTGGTTCGAAATCCAACCGTGGCCGTCCATTAATGGTAAAGATGAGGAGGTGATCTTGCTGCGAGGGAGCGAGGAGTCGGCCGGCGTTCAGGACTAGGGATGAAAAACACGACCCGAGACAGGTCAGGGGTGAAGTGACCGGATAGATTTGGCATGGAGCATTCTTCTTTGATCATCTGTTAGCATTGCGCGGTAGTCAATATCTTGTTAGTGATACTCTAGAGCTTCCTCTTCGCATGCTGCCAGTGGAATTGTAGGAGATGGCTTGTCCCGCCGTCCTTTCACACAAACCTCTGCAGAGTTCGAGCTGTAGTCTCGACTTGGAACCGTGGATGCTTTGGCTCTTTCGACTGAGACCACACGAGTAGGTAGTCTCTTAAAGTCCTCACATTCATTGTGTGCCATATCCACGGTGTGTGTGTCAGTGTGAGTCGAGTGCCTTTGGTCGAGGATCGCCCCCGAGTCGAAGATGGTCAGGGGGCGGCACTCCTCCTCGCCATCTGCAACCGCCGATCTTCCCACCTGGACGCATCACTCACCGTACAAAGCGAAGGGATAACGTGAAAGAGGTCAGTGAACGGTAACGAGGAAAGATCAGAAGCATTTCCGACATGGAGACTGGCTAGCTGCCTAATAAATACAAGGAATTACAGCGAAGGGAGTAGAAAACGAGGAGTGATGGAAGAAGAAGAAAAGGGGGAAAGGGGGCTAAAAAAAAGGAAAGAAAAGAAAAATACTAAAAAAAAATAAGTCCAGACACCATATCCTGAAGAGAAGTGAGAATAATGAGAATCGTCCTTCCTCACACGAGGCCCCAGAACCACCTCGAGACGTGCATGGGCTGCTGTCATCGTCCAATATAACGACCACGGTAATTATATCTTTGACGTGCCTCGCCTCACCTCTCCCACTCCCTCCTCCCGTCCATGCGCCTGGTGAACAATGCAGACAACCAAACTCCCATTTCTTTTTTCTTTTGGTCTCATAGTGAGGGTGATGCTCGGTCGTCCGGATCGTGGGTCCCATGTCGCGTGGTTTAGTGTCGTCGAAGTTGAGCAAAGCGCGCGCGCATTTCTGTAGAGGGAACTGAGACGAAGAGAGAGAAAAGGAAGTCAAGGGTTTTCTTGTGACTGCTGCCATCTGCCTGAGCCCCAAGCATACGCCAACATACCGAGAAGGGGCGTCAACACGAGGGGTATCTCGGAAAGGGTTTTCTGCTGACACCCCCGTCCGCACCAAAAATGCTCCAAAGAAACCCTGCAACAGTAAAAAAGCGTTGTGATCCCCGTCATGGGTTGAGGAACGCACTGCGGGCCGTCCAAACGTTCACCTTCTCTTCCCGCCCCAGCTGGACTCTTTCCCCCCTCCTTCCACATCCTTCCTGGCCCCCCGTCGATCGAATAAATTCCGGGGGGGTTTTTTTTTTTCGTTTTTCGTTGCGTTCCAAGGTATGTGCTTTCCCAGATGTGCGCGCGGTCGCGGTGAGGCGTTGCGTTTACATTAGCACGCACTTGGAACAGCAGCCCGCGTCCCGCTCGCCATCCTCCACGTCCAGGGGCTTCATGGATCCGTTGGCGCCGGCGGGGCCACCGCTGCCGGTCGAGTAGCCCTGCATCTCCCGGTTGTACCGTCGAATCTCGCGGACAAGATCGTAGAAGGCCCTTTCGACGTTGATCCGGGACTTGGCCGATGTCTCGATGAACTTGCAGCCGAACGACTTGGCCAGGGCCTCGCCCTCTGCAAAGATACGTATGTCAGCAAAGATGTGCTAGCCGAGAGCGAAGAGTTGTGTTTTGCTGCAAGGTAGGGAGGAGAAAAGGCATGCATGACATGACAATTGACTGGTCGCTCGGGGCGTGTCATTCCATTCCCACACAATCCCACGCAGAAAAGTTCGTATTCGTACCTTGCCGTGTGACTTCCCTCTCGCCCACCAAATCGCACTTGTTGCCGACGACGACCATGGGGAAGTAGTCCTTGTCCTTGACTCTGAGAATCTGCTGCTGGAAGGTTGTGATTTCCTCGAAGCTCTGGCGGGATGTGATGGAGTAGACGAGCAGGAAGCCCTCGCCGGTTCGCATGTACTGTTCGCGCATGGCCGAGTATTCCTCTTGGCCGGCGGTGTCGAGGACGTCGAGGAGAGCCACCTCATCATCGATGACACACTGCTTGCGGTACGAGTCTAGAAAGCAGCGAAAACTTTGTCAGGGCGGGCGGTTTGTCCAGGAGGGAAAGAAGAAGGAATAAAAGAAGAAAAAAAGAAAAAAAGAAAAAAAGAAGAACAAAAAAAGGAGACTTACCTTCAATGGTCGGATCATACTCATCGACAAAGTGGCTTTGAATGAGCTGAATGGTCAAGCATGACTTGCCGACACCACCGCCGCCGACAACGACAAGCTTGTATTCTCTGAGGAACTATAGTAGAGCGGCGCACAATTAGCCGCTGAACGTCATTAAAGATATGGTCCAACCGTCCACAATTGGTACATTGGTGGGCGGCATGGCATATCCATCGAAGGGATGGATTCAACGCACCCGAGAGGCCATTATGTGTAGTTAAGGTCGACGGAAATTGCTCTCTGGGCAATCCGTCTAAAGAAACAAGGTAACGGTTGTGGGGTTTGGGTATCGAAAGAGGATCGTAGGTGGTTGACCGAGAGTCGACCCGTTGAATTGCGGAGGAGCGAAAGGGCGATTCGATGGACAAACGAGGGCGCGACTGGAAGATGAGATTGAAGTCTCAAAAAAGAAGCAAAAAGCAAGTAAATGCAAGGTCCGTAGCCCAAGTCGTCGTAAGGGAGATGATGAATGGAGGCAAAAATCGAAAAAAAAAAAAATGATCGCCGGGTCAATGTTGTTTGTCGTGAAAACCCCGAAAACCGAAAACGGGAGGACGGAAGAGGAGGACGTAGGGAGGTGAGAGGAGGCTCGATTCGGTTCTGGTTGGAGATGGAGAAGAAAGAGAAGAGAAAGAGAAGAGACTGGGGAAGAAGGAAAGGGATGTGACCGGGCTGAGGATAGGGTCTGGTTACCTTATTGGTGCTCAGCCCGGTTGACCACAGCGGATGAATGTACATTTACTTCTGAAGGTACTTAAAGATGCACTGTGGGATCTGGAAAAAGGGCAATACTGATTGTAGATGACTACTTTGATTGGGGATTGTCAATGTACAACCTACCCCCCTAGGTAACATGTGGAGATGGAGCCGGGACTAAGGGAATTGGGGGAGGGGTTTGGGGGGTTCAATTCGCTACAAAGTAACGGTTCAATCCTTGGCTCTGGTTCGTCCTGGCCTGTGCTTCTATGAGCTCTGGGACCAGAAGCGGGTGGGAGATTGGCAACCGTTGGCTCGCTCTTGTGTTAAAAAGAGCGGTATAAGGCGTTGATAGGTCCAAGGCCAACATCATCTAGCGCCTAGAATGGCAGATGGGGATCAGGAGAACGACCATCAAACGTTCTGGTGCTGCCTTGCCTTTTGACTCCGAGAACGCCACATTGAGGTGGTGCTACGGTGTACAAACGTGACGTGACGTCTTTGGAAAGATCTTCTTCTCTGTTGAGTGCAGGCGATCGATGAGAAAAGCAGGCCCTGGACCGTGGTGCTGGTGGACGGACGGCCTAACTAACTTGGGAATCAAGTTCGCACGGTAATGAGTGGGAACTCGTGACCCGTCCCCTAAGGTATTAAGGTATTAAACGCTAACCCCGCCATATTATATCCTTCGTCCTAGCCTACCTTAGCTAGTACCGCTGCGCTGTACATACTGTACCTCCTCCCTAGGTACCTAAGGTAGGTAGGAAGTCTGGCTGCATGACAGGAAGACAAGCCAAGTCCAGAATGGTCCTGTTTATGCGAATCTTGAAAATCAATGTGGGGTCTGGATGGATTGGAGTAGCTGATTTGACCATGCATTTCGTTGCATTCGTTGGATGTTTGTTATGCGTTTGCTGGAGCTGATTCTGAAGTACCTGCCGATAGCTCATGATACTTGTACTGCGTTCTCCTCCAAGCTATTAATTAGTGCAGAGAGCTTGGACTATCTTAACTGCACCGAGTGGGTCAGCGTATGTATACGGTACGGGTACTCCACACTGTCCAGATTCCCCATCTACACTGTCCCGAGGAACATCGCACGTTAGCTTATATACCTTACCTTAGTTTCCTTGCCCTCTTCACCGTCTCTTTCCAGCCAACCTAAGGTAGAGCATACAGCAATCTGCTCGTCAAACTCCGAACAACGTCCCTCGGACAAAGTATTGATACACGAATATCATCTCATCATTGCCACACTCAGCACTTCGCATACCCTCTTCATCGTCCGTAGCGCCTTAGCCCCCCCCCCCCTTATTGCATTTCTTTCGTCTACTGCGAGCAGAACGTACCAACGTAAAAAGCGTAAAAGAACCGCCCATATGACATCCCTCGCTTAGTCGCTGTTAGGCTTTGCCCTCTCCTCTGAAGGCACGTCGTCTTCGCCCTCGACGGCAACACGCCTCCCTTTGACCCCTTCAACCACATCGGGCACAATGCTCTCAATGTATTCGTGGTTTCTTCATGCAGAACGGGTGTCAGTCGCGGGGAGGGACAACGGAACTCTCGACACCGTCGAGGCTTCTTTTTTTCGGGAATGGAGACGACCTTACCGACCAACAAGCGTGACAATGCCATTCTGCTCCCATCGGGGGTAGCTGCCGACCTTGACACCCTGGGGTTCCACCTTGGCCGCCAGTTGGGTGAGGTAATCGGCGACGGCGCTCTCGGGCAAGGGCGTAGAGATCAATACTCGGGCGAGGCCCTTGCCGTCCGGGTCCGTCAGCCGGGGTACAATCACCGGCTTCAATCCGTCCAGGAGATTCTCGACTGCGTACCGAGACCTTATGTCAGCCTTGTAATCCACGACTGCCCCCCGTTTTTTCTTCTTCTTCTTAATTGCCCAAAAGGACATGAATGTGTGGAGGACTACTCACAGAGCCGCGGCACACCGGGAAGAATGTGGACGTTGCCGTTGACAACCGTGACAGGGACCCATAGATCATCATGCGGGAAGAGAAACTGCTTGCTCAGGTCACGCGTCTCGTCCGTGGGCAGGATGGCCATACGCAGCCTGGCCCGGAGCGCGGGCGAGTCGGTGTCCCAGTCAAAGTCGGGCTGGGAGGGATGCGGTTTCGAGAGCCTCCTCATCCTCTCGAAGGCCTTTTGGTTCAGGAGGAGGGGGAGGCTGAATGCTTTGGCGATGGACTCGTACGTGATGTCGTCGTGTCTGCCAGAGTTAGGATTCGTACCTTGATGTAAATACACATGACGAGGAAGAAGGAAAAGCAAAGGAAAACGGAGATGGCCGAGGCACGGAGCATGAATCTCAGACTGTGTATACATACGTTGGTCCGATGCCGCCGCTGTCCAAGAAACTCCAAGTTAGCTACACACCCCCGAGGTACCAGGTGAATAGGAGGAATTGCCAAGGCGCGAGCAACTTGCCTGGTCACGACAAAGTCGTAACGGTCACTCAGCCTCCTTACAGCTTCAACAATTTCGCTCTCCACATCCTCAATGACTTCAACGCGCTTGAGATTCTATCCCAGGCCCCTGGCGTTAGACTCTGGCGACTAGGGGGCCGTGAAGTAGGGGGCCTTGAAGCAGGGGGGGGGCGTACGATGCCGAGAGAAAAACACCATTTCGCCATATAAGCGGAGTTGGTCTGTAAGAGACGGACATCACACCGTCGTTAGAGGGACCATGCAGCCGGTAACTAGGGACAAACCGAGATGTCTTCGGGTGGGATAGAAAATGGTTCCCTCACTCACATCTAGGGTCTACTTGTGCCAAGGGTCCGAGGCGGTCAGTCTTCAGGGGGATAGTCAATAGATGAACAAATTGATTCGTCATTGACTGACCTTTCCGCCGAGGACCTCATCGCCGATAATCAAGCATGCCGCGGTGTGGATGGTCCGGGAATTGCGTTCGTCGGCAGAAGCCATGATACTCCGCGCCAGGCCGTTGGTGTTGTTGATGAGGGCGGGTCGCTTGGGGGTCCGAATCGGAGACGCTGCCGAGAGGTGTCTTGTGATCTGGGAGAGGCGCGAAAACATGAAGAGCAGGCTACCAGGTTAGGTTACTTTGAGAATGTAAAAAGGTCGACAAGTCGGTCAATGGGGAGAAGATAATATTAAGTAGCGGAAGTGGTTGTGTGGACAGCGTTGTGAATTGCGCAAGGGCCCAGAGAAGATGTTAGTTATTAGTCCCTCCCGGTAATTAGTATCTTAGGGTAACCCATCCAGTACAATATGATACCGCGGTGCTTGTTCCCCGCGGCATATTTCTGCGAAAACCCGACGTTAACAAAACGACGTCACTGGAGGTCTTTTACGACGAAACACTGTGTCAGAGCTTCCAAGGGTGGGGTCTCTCATTGTGGGGCTTAGTCAGAGGGGAGGGAACTCCTACAGTGCTGTACATGTACCTGTAATTAGGTACTCCGTATAATATCATGATTGAGGGGTTGACGCCTACTGGCTTCGTCATCTGCCTATACCACCGTCTTGCATAGCTCTCTGGACTTTCGATCTCTCCGTCTACTCCGTAATCTGAAATCTAAAAACCTCACAAGCAGTCTACTGTCTCCTCCTCGCTCCACAGAACACCGGAATATCCGAAGCAACAACCCAGCATGGTATACCCCTTCAGTGACTTGGTCTGGTCCTTGGTATTTTCCCTCCACGCCACTAACGTCCGCCGCTCAACCGTAGGCCTCAGAATCCCGCCTCTATACCTTTTCTCAAGACACGAAGGATAACCTTCGCAAGTTTCGTCTCGGGACGTCGCGATCCAACGACCCGCAAGCCGTCATCTGTATGTATGTCTGTCTCGTCCAACGATCCGTCATCCAGCCTCATTGTCTTCCTCGTCCTATGATAACGACATAATAAACTGACATCTAAAATTCGTACCCCTCGGTGCCCAGACCTGATTGATAAGAATACGCATGAAATTCGCCAAGATGAAGATCTCATGACCTACAAGTCCCTGGACGCCCTGGCCGATGACCTACCCGACCACAGCCCACGCTTCGTTCTTCTCAGCTACCCGCTGACTCTGGTGCGTCGCCCTGCCATGCTCGATGCATCCAAGCGGCTTGCTAAACCCACCCGTCTCCCATTCTTTAGCCGTCCGGTCGGTTGTCCGTGCCCTACGTGCTGCTCTACTACATGCCTACGACCTGTAATAGCGAGCTCCGGATGTTGTATGCTGGCGCCAAAGAACTGCTGCGGAACACGAGCGAGGCGGGCCGAGTGATCGATCTTGAGAGCATTGACGACTTGGAGGAAGTCCCGAAGAAGTTGGCAGCCGAATGATGTGCTGGTTGGGTGATTGATGACTGCGGAAGAAGTATTGATGGAGAGGCAATATCCGCCGTGCAAACACGGAGATATATATATCACCTTCATGCGATGGGGAAGGGATGGCGTTGGACAATCAAATCTCGCGTTCTCATATTCTAAATGGCAACCAGCGCCGGGGTATCAAATGTGTTGATGCTACATGACGAAGAGCAAAATAGAAAACTGTCTTATCACATCTATACCAGCTTTAGCCGGCATCTTTGGTCCGTTTCTTCCCTCTAGTTCAACTCGGGCAGCACTTCCTTGGGATCCAACCCAATCTCCTTGCTCATATTCCCCACCACCTCCTTAAAAGCGGCACAAGCCGGACTATCAGGGAAGCTGTCAAAGTAGCTCTCGCCGTAGTCACAAGCCATGCCTATCCGTGGGTCGAGCGGTACGCTCCCGAGGAACGACACGCCCATCTCCTCCGCCAGAGCGCGCCCGCCCCCCGTGGTAGCCTTGAAGATGTCGCTCTGGCCCGTACACTTGGGGCACACGAAGCCGCTCATGTTCTCAGCAAGGCCAATGACGCGGATGCCGGCCTTGCGGCAAAAGTCAATCTCCTTGCGGACGTCCAGCAGCGCCATCTCCTGCGGGGTGGTGACGACGACGGCGCCGTCGATGCCGCCGTCGCGCAGGAACGAGTTGACGCTGAGGTGCTCGTCGCTGGTGCCCGGCGGCGTGTCGACGAGGAGGAAGTCGAGGTCGCCCCACTCGACGTCCTTGAGGAACTGCTTGATGAGCCCGTTCTTCTTGGGCCCGCGCCAGATGATCGCGTCGTCCGCGTTCGGCAGCATGAACTGGATGCTCATCACCCCGAGGTTGTCCAGCACCCACACGGGACTCCAGCCCGCGCCGCTGACGTGGATCGTCTCGCGCTCGACGCCGAGCATCTTGGGGATGCTGGGCCCGCATACGTCCGTGTCCATCACGCCCACGCTGGCGTCCGGGTTCGTCGCCAGCGCGTGCGCCAGGAGGGTCGTGAACGTGCTCTTCCCCACGCCGCCTTTGCCGCTCAGTATGAGGATCTTGTGCTTCACTCCCGCTAGTCGGGCGGAGATGATTGGGATGTCCGGGTCCGGGCCTTTCGGGGCGGATGCGCATACGGCTTGGTTCGGACACCCGGCGCACGAGTCGGCTTTTCCGGCTTGTTCGGATTCGGGGCCCGGGCAGTGTTCGGGTTCTGGGGCGACGAGGTTCGGTTTTTGTTTGAGGGGGTTGGTGAGGACGTCGTCGACTGATTCGGTGGTTTCTAGAGAAGGCGCCATGGTGGGTGGAAGGTGAATGTGGTCCGCTGAGGTGGGTGATAGGATGGCCTCGTTGGCCGGTTTGTTGCGCTCGCTGAGCGTCCAAAATATAAGACTTGTAGCCTATTCGAGCACAGCTGTGAACGACGAAATGTGAGAGTGAAGGAGGATAAACTACGTGGCGGCTGGGAGTGCAAAAAATCCCAGATTGTGGTTGAGGAAGTGTGATGTTGGAATGGTGACGGATTACAGATCAGAGGGAGAGAGAAGAAAGACGATATAGAGGGGTCGAGGCGAGGGGCGAGAATGGTTAGATTAATCAGCAGTGGCCTCCGACATCGCTCAGCCCTACGAAGGAAGAGTCCAAGGTAGAGGTACCTGGGGAGATACTGAATCTAATCTGATAATGCAGTGACAAATCAGAGAATACGTCGAGTGCGTTGCAGTACACGTGTATACATGCGTCCCGTGCTGTACGCTTATCGGTAATCGATAAGACCGGGCCCCACATGAAATTTTCGGTTGATCGACCCAGCGACCCCTCTATCAATACAGGTTTGGCGCTTGAATAGGTAGGTAGCGAACATTTCGATGCTCGAGTCGTTTTCCGTCACACCATCCCATCGTTCCAACACGACACGATACGACACAGCGCACAGTCGTACATCTCAACAATGGCTCCATCCGCGGATATAACCGATTCCCCCTCCCCCATCTCTACGGAGACCACCATTTCTGCCCTCCGAAAGACCCTCGTCTCCGAAGCCACGCCCCTCCCCCTACGCTTCCGCGCCCTCTTCTCGCTCAAGCACGTCGCGACCAACTCACCTCCCCCCGATGCGGAAGCCGCCATTGACGCCATCGCCGCTGCATTCTCCTCCACTTCCGCCCTCCTAAAGCACGAGCTTGCTTATTGCTTGGGCCAGACCCGCAACCTGCGCGCCGTGCCCCCGCTACGTCATGTGCTGGAAGACTTGAAAGAGGACCCCATGTGCCGCCACGAGGCGGCCGAGGCGCTCGGAGCGTTGGGTGACGCCGGCAACTTGGAGCTTCTGCGTCGGTTCCGGGATCGCGAGGGTGAGGAGGTGGTGGTCAAGGAGACGTGCGAGATTGCCGTGGACCGGTTGGAGTGGGAGAATTCGGAGCAAAGAAAGGAGGAAAAGCTGCGCAAGAGGTAAGTGAATTTTTTTTTGAAAAGAATTGAAAAAAAAAAAGAAGAAAAAAAAAACCACAACACACGTCTCTCGGGATGCTTTTCGGCAACCGAATATCTATTGTCTTCCCAGACCATGTTCCCGCTAACGTCAAATGAAACAAAAAACCAGCGACTTCACATCCATTGACCCCGCACCGCCTTTGGAGGAAACCCAACGGACAGTCGACCAACTCGAAAAGACCCTCATGGATACCGACAAACCCCTTTTCTTGAGGTACCGCGCCATGTTCGCCCTCCGGGACCTCGCCTCGCCGCCCGACCTCCCCACAGCCGTCCCCGCCGTCCACGCGCTCGCCAAGGGCTTCGCCGACCCCTCGGCCCTGTTCCGCCACGAGATCGCCTTCGTCTTTGGCCAGCTCGCCCACCCCGCCTCCATCCCCGCGCTGATAGCGGCGCTCAGCAACCTGGAGGAAGCCAGCATGGTCCGTCACGAGGCTGCGGAGGCCCTCGGCAGTCTGGGCGAGGAGGAAGGCGTCGAGGATACACTGAAGAAGTTTTTGCATGATAAGGAGAAGGTGGTGAGGGATAGCGTTATCGTCGCGTTGGATATGGCCGAGTACGAGGCGAGCGGGCAGACCGAGTATGCTTTGATTCCGGAGGGAGCCAGGGCAGCAGCATAATGGGGCATATTTCGACTCTCTATTCTTTTCGCGTTATTTTTATTTTTTATTTATTTTTATTTTTTATCGAACGCCTTTATGACGTATATACGTTCCTCAGTTGTTATGCGACCACCTGCAGGTTGTCAGTTGGCTTCCCTCGATCCGGATCCTATACCGGAGGTCGAAAGTGTCGGTTGGAAATATGAGTAACGTACCTATAGCCACATTTACAAGTGAAAAACGTCGTACTGCCTTCGTCTGCACTGCGCAGCTGCACTTGTGTATAGTAGACCTCGTCACGTCCACACCTCGGGCACGGTTCTTTTGTCACTGCCTCGGTCCGAACCTTGTGCCTCTCCACCGTCTGGACATTCGATTGTAGTTTTTGCCTCAGCTGAGATGGAAAGTCGGAAGGTTTTGTTTCTGTTGTGATGACCTTTGAACCGGTATCTGTCATGTTTTGCCGATTATTAGCCACTGGGAGTTCTGAGGGAAGAGAACCGATTATTTTTTTTGCACCTTTGTTCTCCTTTCTGCAGCAGTCGCATATGAGGATGCCCCTCTGCTCTCCTTTGGACGCAGGCAGGAGGTTGCCGCAGTCCGTACAGAATACCAGAGATCCAATGGCGGACATTTTGAGGCAAACATTCGTCTTTGAGGTGGAATGTGACGTGGAAAGTTATATACACCAGTCCGCCTTACACGCAGAGTCGGTCAACATGAAAGCAGCGCGAGGTCGTTCGGACAATGGAAACTTCGAGGAAATTTCCCCAGGTATCTTATCGATAAAGAGATCCCTGTTAGAAGGCTGACGCCCCCGTCACAGCCCACGAACCAACTACGTGTAAAGTACCTTACCTTGATTGACGAACCCACTCCTCGAAGACGAATCGCTTCTCATTGGTCGAGGCTGTTAGTGGGTACACGGGCCACCTTGAGCTTCTGGGGTCAACCATGACGAGGCTGTCGCAACTTCCCGTCCTGTTCCTTCACTCCTGCCTGGAACTTCCCGCCTTCCAAGGCCGCCGTCCTTTCGAATTCAATCCTCTGTTGCCTTCCAACGCCGTATATCTATTCTGGACGGCCATTCAACAAAAGCAGCTTGAAAGACTTCTTCACTTCTTCTCTCTTACATCCTCCTCAGGCGCCGTCTCCTTTCGCCTTCAATGTACCGCTGATCCCAGGACGGACCTCCCCTTTCGCTTCCACCCCTCTCAGGCGATGCATCGCCGAACTTCCTGAGGGTTTACAACATGGCCGACGCAGGTGGTCATCACACGCCGAATTATCGACCGACTAATGGAAGCCATGGGACTACAGGACAGCCGCAGCCGCAGCCGCAGGTGCAGGAGATGAAGCCTTTCACTTTGCAGCAAGCTTTGCCTTACTCACCGCAAACATCCGTTATCCCGTTTACCTCCGGTGCGCTTCAGCTTTCTTTTCCCACTTCTGGCGTTCTATTTTATTTCGTGTCTTGTCAGCTTGCTCATGAGCTCATCCTTCTCTTCCAGATCTTATCCCTGACCCCACAATCGGCTGTGGCCTTCCCGCATCAAACCTCACCGCCGTTTTCGCCGATAACAATGACTTCGAGACGCTCAACAAACAAGCCCTCAGTCAGGAGCCAGCAGCGAACAAGCAATTAAGACATGCCGCCGATCACATACTTCAGGAGCTGAGGCCAAAGCAACGTACTTTCTAGTGAGCTTAGATGGAAGCCCCCCCCTGTAGGTTGGGAGGCAATGAGTATGTGACGTTTGCTGACGCCCGACAAGCAAATTCAAGTCCATCACAAAACCCATGTTGCATTCAGATGGACTACAGTCGAAGAAAGAGAGCCTCTTCAAGGGCATGTCACCTTTATCCCGCGTTATTCTCGACAAGGCCCCCACGTTCATTAAACAGGCCCCTGCCGACAATACTTCCTCGAGCCAGCTGAACGGCCTAGTCCCTCCCCAACAGCAACATCCTCCTTCGTCTACGAAACTAGAGTCTCCAGATAGGACGTCAGGTCCTACCATCACCAATGCCGACGCTCACCGACTGAACTTTGCTAGAATCGAAGTGGCCATTCCTTCCAAGTCGTTTGATGCTTCCGCATATGTCGAGATCCCCGACCAACCGGCACCCGAGCCAGTCGTAGCACCCATAGCACCCGACCCAGCCATGCACATGCCGAGATCTAGCAGCCAGCCCACCATCGCCATCGAGCTACCTCGTCCCACCATCAACAAGGAGGAATATCTTGACGTTCCGGACGAACCGGATGAACCCACAAACCTCTCGTCTCGAAAGGTGAAACAAGACAACTTGCAACGACAACAACGGGACGCCCTTGGCGCGAGCCTGGATCAGCGACAGCGCGCTGAAGCGGCGCTTGTGAGTCTAAGCCGAATCACCAAGGAAGTCTTTGATGCCGTTGGACGGGTTCTGGGGGGTGAGCCCGGCTACGACCACGTCGCCACGCTCACGACCGAGGGGGAAATCGCGGTTACGGCTGGTCATTACCAGAAACTCCAGAGCGAGCTCCAGAAAGTCATCAGCTTGCGATCTTACAGCCAGGTTCCTCTCGACGTCATTACTAGGATTCAGAGGTTGAGCGATGTTGGCATAAAGTTCGCCCGCGATCTAGACTTCAAGCTTGACGACAGCTGGGAGGAATCGGACGTTGAGAACTGGTTGAAACAGCTCCCCGACATCGAAACGGGGCTGAAGGCTGCTCGCACGTCCCTTCGGACCATGTGTGGGGGCCGGGAAGAGAAGGAGCTCTACTCGGAGGAGTCTATCCAGCACAGTATCGACCTTTTCAAGAGTGTCATGGAAGGCGTCGTCGTTCCTGTGGTCGAGATGAGAGGTGGCGGGTCGACGGCAAACCTCTTCAAAAGTCTTCTCCCGCACAAGAAAGCCATTGCTTCCGTTTTGACCAACTGTCAGAGACTTTTCGCTTTGCTGCTCGAACTCATTCAGAACATTCAGTTGTCCGAGATTGCGTTCGGTTCGCTGGAGTTCACCGCGTCGAGCCTCATCTTCGTTGACAACGCATACTACGAGAGGGACTCGGTAGTGGGTGTCCAGAGATTCGACGGTATTCGTCTGGTGGCGATGGACATGCTCTGTCAGATCTTCCTCATGAAGCCGGCGCAACGGCAACACATATTCAACGACCTCCTCACTTCATTGGAGAAGCTGCCCGTGGGGAAGCAAAGCGCTCGCCAGTTCAGACTTTCGGAAGGCGGCAGCATCCAGCCCTTGTCTGCGTTGATCATGCGTCTCGTGCATGCTAGCTCCGGCAAGGTGGACGGCCAGAAGCACCATTCAGCCTTGCCCCGGGAGGATGACGGTGACGGGCCCGAGAAAGCCGCGACGGGGCCCATGTTCACCATCAAGTCGGAGGAAGAGGCCGCCCTGCAGCATGACACGGCCATTCAAGAACTCGAAGATGCCGCCAAACCGCTGGTGGGCGAAGCACACCATAGCGCATCCTTCGTTCTCAACTTTATCGTTCGCCGTGCGCTCCATTCCACCAAGTCCGGCGACACGCCATACCGAAACCTGCTCGATCTCTTCGTCGAGGACTTTACCACCTGCATGGATTCCCCGGATTGGCCCGCTGCCGAGCTGCTTCTTCGGCAGCTCACCTTCTCCATGATGAAGATCTGGGAGGACGGCAAGTCGGCCGCTCCGGCCAAGAATATGGCCCTCGAGCTTCTAGGTGTCATGGCCGCCGCCATCTCGAAACTGCGTTCCCACGTTAGGAGGGTGGCCGAAAGTAGAGATGGCAGCGCTACGGACGAGCTCGGCTATTTCCTCTCCGAGCTGGCCGTGGCGGCGCTCGAACAGAAGAACCGGGCCGAGCATCTGGTTTCGTGGGCTGGGCCTTACCGCGCTTGTCTCGAATACCTGGAGGAGCGCTGCACCGACGATCCCCATCTACGCGGTGCCATGTCCCTTTTGGTCGCCGAATGGGCGCATCAGACGTACACCGGCTACCATGGCCTCGAGGAGGACGAGGGACGAGATCGGGAGTATGGGCGGCTTGCTTACAGGCTCCGCATGATGATCGACGACGGCAGGTGGTTATCGAACGAATACACTTTCAAAACGGTCCCGTCCAACCTGGCCAAGCTGTCGTACTGCATCGTTCTCCTCCGGTCGCTCTTTTGCGAGCATTTCGGCTCCATGCTGAACGTCCTCTTGAGTGCCATGGCGAGCGACCAGGCCACGGTTCGGAGCAAGAGCTTGAAGAGCATCAATCAGCTGTTAGAGACCGATCCCGCCATCCTCGACGGCGATTCGGTTGTCGTGCAGCTCATTCTCAATTGTTCCAACGACTCGTCGCCCCAAGTCCGCGACTCGGCCATTGGCTTGATGGGCAAGTGTATCCAACTGCGGCCCGGGCTGGAAATGAGGATGTTGGAGAAGATCCTCGACAGGTTCATCGACAGCGGCGTGGGTGTCCGGAAACGAGCGATGAAGTTGGCGCGCGACATCTATCTGCGCAACCAGAGCAAAGAGGCGCGGGGTGCCATCTCCAACAACCTGCTCCACCGCGTGCACGATCCGGACGAGGGCGTCCGGGACCTGGCGCGGCAAATGATGGAGGAGGTCTGGTTTGCGCCCTTCTACCATGCCGAGGACACGCCCGCTTTCAAGTCGTCTCTCACGGACCATGTCGCCCTCATGATCCAGACCGTCAAGTCCGGTAACGTCATGGCCGTCCTGGACAAGGTGCTGCAAGCCATCCTCAGCTCGCCGAACAAGACGCAGAACGGTCCGTTCGGGGTCAGTGTCAAGCTGGTCGGGAAGATGTTCGAGCTGATCGACGTTCTCGACTCGGACGATCCCTCCGTCCCGCACGGTCGAGATGCGCTGCATGTCCTGCAAATCTTCGCCAAGGCGGACCCGAAACTGTTCAGCTTCGAGGAGATCCGACTCCTCAAGCCGCATCTGGCGAGCTTCAACAACCCCGACGATCTGACGGTTTTCAAAGCGGTGGCGGTCATATACAGGCAGGTCCTGCCGCAGCTCTCCAGCAAGCACACCGAGTTCCTCAAGGAAGTCAGGGAGCAGCTCCAGAAATCGATCACCAAGGTGACGAAGCATCTTCTCGACGACGTGGTGGCGTGCCTCTGGATCATTGCCGGTCTGCTGGACAGCCGCACCCCGCTGGCTCGCTTGGGCGGATCCAGTCTGGCCGGTACGGTGAAGCTCCGCAAGCTCCCCACCAACGAGAAGAACGTCAAGACGTTTGCGCGATACGCGGAGATTGTGGGCATGGTGGGCAAGCACTGCGACCTCGACTCGGAACTGGAGGTCTTCCGGGGGCCTACGTTTGCGAACCGGAAGGGCACGTCGGTCACGAAGCTCATGGTGGACGAGCTGGCGCCCTGGGCTGATCCCAGCCAGCCGCAAGAGGCCAGGAGGGCGGCGATCGAGGCCATCGGACAGATTTGCCAGGCTCACCCGCGGAACTATACCTTGCCCAACGTGTACACTCGGTTCGAGCAGGTGTTCTCCGAGAAGATACCGGTCCTCGAATCCGCCATCTTGCGGTCTTTTAAAGAATTTCTGCTGGCCGAAGAGCGGCGCTCGGAAGCGGCGAGTCATCCGGCGGCGAACCACAGCGAGGAGGCGGGCAAGAGGCGTAACTTGACGGTCATGGGAGGCACCAACTACGACGACGTGGCGAGCGGCACCACGCAGAGGTTTCTCAAGGAGATCACACGGATCGCCCTGTCGTCGCTGGACGACCACGCGTTGTTGGCGGTCGAGGTCCTGGGCAGTATTAATCGGCAGGGCCTCGTCCACCCCAAGGAAACCGGCACCGCCCTCATCACGCTGGAGACGTGCCCGGTTGGGCGGATCTCGGAGGTGGCCTACATGGAGCACCGCTCGTTGCATCAAAAGCACGAGACGGTCATCGAACGCGAGTACGCGAAGGCCATTCAGTGCGCATTCAACTATCAACGGGATATCGTGAAAGATACGCGGGGCGCGACCACGCATCCCACGTTCCAGCCCAAGCTGCACCTCCTGATGGAAGTGCTCAAGATCAGCAAGTCCAAGAACAGACAAAAGTTCCTGGGGAAGCTGGTCAACCAGGTGGATTTCGATCCGGTCAAACTGGATGTGACGACGCAGGCCATGCCGCCTCACATGGGGTTTTCTCGCTTCGTCATCGAGAACATTGCGTTTTTCGAGTACGTCACGGTGGGAGAAGTGCTCGCGACGGTGAACGCGATGGAGAAGATCGTCACGTCTACCGGGTCCAACCTGGCTCACGTTATCGAATCGGAGATTTTCAATGTCCGCATGGACGTTGACCAGCCTAGTGAGACGACCCAACCGCCGCCGCCGCCGCCGCCGCCACAAGCGCTGCCACAGCCGCCACCGCCAGGCCAAGACGAGGAAATGGTCACCGAGCCAGCGAACGGCCAGGACGGTCAGGACGGTCACGACGGTCAGGCTCTCGAGAAGACACCAGCGACAGAGACGGACCTACTCGACCGCCTCGACGTCGACCCGCAGCGGCTCCGCCAAATGACAGTGGGCGCCATCATCCTCCTCTGCCTATGGGAAGCCCGGACGTATCTCCGCCGCCTCTACGGCCTGGGCGCCAACCGCCGCGAGGCGAAGGGCAAGGCGGCGTCCAAGGACCTGAGCAAGTCGCCCGTCAAAGTAGCCGGCATCACGGGCGACAAGTTCTGGGACGAGATGGCGTCGCATATGGACGGGCTCGCGTCGAGGGAGTCGGTCATGGCGCAGTGCCGGGCGTTCGTGGAGATGATGAACGTGGACAAGGAGTTTCGCGTCGCCGACGAAGAAGAAGAGGAAGACGACGGCGGCGGCGAGGGACCCGGCGCCTTGAGCGGGGGCGAGGGGGGGGACGGACACCAACGCGACGAGGGCGGGCGCGGCCGGAAGCGCAAGGCGGGCGGGGCGGTGGCTGGTGGGAGGAAGAAACGGGCGAGGTCTGCGTCGCGGCCGCGACCGCGCGGTCGGCCTAGAAAGAATCCGCTGCCGGTGGAGGACGATGATGCCGAGGGGGATATGGACTCGGATGATCCGGATTGGGTTTGAGGCTTTTGCACGGAGGTCTATACCAGTCGTTCGGAGTTGTCTGCTGTGGTGGTGGGGGTTTCTTTTTCTTCTTTTTTTTCCTTTTTTTTTCCTTCTTCTTTTTGTTCTTTTTCTCCCCTCTTTTTTGGCGCCTCTCTCACTTACGCAGACGACCATTTCCGGGGCGAACACAACAGTTCACAAGAGGGGTCGGCATATTTTCAAGTGGGAACTAAGAGATACGGAGTCATGCAAAGCTGGTATCATGACTACAACTGGGGAGGGGACAAGACGATGAGGCAGTTTACTCTTCTTTTTAGAGTCGCCGCAGGGACGTTTCCATCCACGAGAGGGGTTCGTTCTCTTGGCCTCTTATTTCAACGGAGCAGGGAGGTCACGGGTTGGCCAAGACGGGTTTAAAAAGGGGTTTGAGGGGGGGCGAGGGGTGTTTTTTTATTTCTTTTTTTAATTTTCTTTTCTTCTTTCACATGGATGGGTTCGAGATGGGAAACATATTTCAGGGACGGTGGAAGAGGGGAGTCAAATTGTGGTTTTCTTTTTAATGGCTTTGCATGATGGGAAGACAATCTGGCTTTATGAGATGAGGAGACGGGTTGCTTTTATATTTCTTCATGTTCTTACTTTGCTGATGATACCTCTTGATAATTAAAACGAGAGAAGAGAGAAGAGAGACAGAGAGAGATTTAAGACTACCTTGGGCTTGACTGAAGAGGGGACGATGCCACGATTGTCGTGGACTGGCTCTCGAATACCGAATCCTTGGAGTCGGTGATTTTCGACAATGCCTCTGTCTTCATATATTCCTTGTCAGAGTTGACTTGGCGAGAGGGACGACAAAGAAACAAAGACATATCCACTACGAGGAACGAGAGTATAATACTGTTGATTCCTCAGAGAGCCTTGAAAGTCATTTTGCCATATTTCTCTACTCCACGCAGTTAGTTCCCTGCCCGGATATTCATTAACCAAGGTAGCGAGATCAAACACCAAACAACCTCATGTTGGCCAGTCGTGATTGTGTTGCACTCTCCTCACCCATCACTGCATGCATTCACCAGCAAACGCCATATCAACCCATAGTGCATCCGTATTTGCTGCTTCCTTTAGGTGTACTTGCATTCCTATCTGGGAAAGAAGAAAGATGAAAGATGAAAAAAAGAAATGGAATAACAAACGACTGCAAAGCAAAAAACGAGGTCACAATCGTCCTCGTCGTGTTCGTGGGGGGGTATCACTACGTACTGGAATCGGGGCCTCTTGGTGCGCCAACATCGCCGGACATGGATGGAAAATTCAGCACATTGCAACGAACAAGGGTCCCCAAGACAAGAAAGACGAAAGAAGGGGAAACAAGAAAAAAATCAGTCGCTCGGCTCCATAGACTCCACCCAAAACCGCACCGCCTCGCGAAGGACATTCTCCTTCGGTCGTCCCCCTCCACCCCGGTCCCCCTCCTGATGATCATGATCACGCTGCTGCTCCGTCACCTCCCGGATGATATCATGCAGCGCCGACAGCACGACCGTCTTGCATCCGCCGCGCGGCACCTCCGAACAAGTCTGCACCGTCATGGCCCCCTCGGACCGCGACGTCTCGCTGCTAGTCCGCGGCCGGGCCTGGCTCGCCGACCGGGACGAGCTCGCCGAGTTCTGCTTGCTCGGGTCGACCCCGAGCGCGGTGACCCGTTCCACCGCCTCGGCCAGCGTGTCGTCGAACCCGCCAACCGGCTCCTCGATGAACTCCTCCTCGAGCTGCGTCTCGTACGGCGAGACCGAAGGGACCAGCATCGGCGTGCCGCCGCTGTAGACGCTGGACCCGGCGGAGCCTTCCGCCCAGACTCGCGGCCGGACGAGTCGACGGTAGCGTAGCCGTGTGACGGAGAAACCTGTCACGTCGGCCACGATGGTGGAGCTGACGTCGACCCATCTTTCCGCGGCATGTTGATCATCTGCAGCAGCACCAGCACCAGCACCAGCAGCCGGGGAGGAAGCCAACACGGGCGGCGTGGGTTCGGACCGCATCGACTCCTTGATCTGGTCCATCAGATCATCGTGGGGGGGAACCGCCTGCAGCACGAAATCCTGATGGAACCGCTGCAGAAACCCGGCCACGTTCATCGGCAGGTCGCCGTCCGTCGCGCCACGAGACAAATGCTCGAAATATTCCAGCCCCGATCCCAAGCCGGGCGTGGGCACCGACAGATAGCCGCTGCTGGACGGCGAGCTGACGGCCGTCTCAAACGACGTGATATAATCCGGGAAGGGGATGTCCACGTCGATCACGCCGTCTTCCGGGTTGACCGTGGTTTTCACCGGCGACGGGAACGGTCCCCCGGGCCCCGCTAGCAGATCAGGCACCGCCCTGCCCGGGAAGATGGCCATCTCGGGAACCGTCTCGGGTTCTTCGTCATCCATCAGGGCCTGTTCGTCGTCCGGAAAGCCGCGGAGTGTTTCGGGCGCCGTGGTGTCGACCGACGGTCTGGCGTGCCCTCCACGCCGACGCTGTGCCGCCTCCATGGCCGACGCCTCGCGGACCATCTGCACCAGCTTGTCCGGCCTGCTCGATGACGGCTTGACCGGCGAGGTCGGGCTGTTGTTGTTGTTGTTCTTGTTGCTGCTGCTGCTGCTATTGCCAGATCCGTTGTCGTGCAGACTGATGGAGCCGCTCCGTGCCGCGGTGCTCCACAGGCCGCTGATCATGCTGCCCCATCGCGAACCGGAGGCCCGGGAACCCGTGCTCCCGGTGCTGACGTGACCACCCGAGGTTTCGCTCCGCTTGAGGGAGCGCTTCAGATCGTCGGCGGCGATGCTGCTGCTGCTCTCGGGGCGTGGCCGGCGCCGATCCTCGATTTTGTGAATGGTGGAAAAGTGCGGAATCGACGTTTCCTGGGTGATGGTGGTGGTCGTCGCTGCGCTGCTCTTCCGGCTTCCGGGGTCGTTTCCGGTAATGGGAAGGTTGGATCGGATGGAGGCGGCGTCCGACACGCGCCGTTCGTGTTCGTGTTGTTGGCCGCCGCCCTCCATGGCAAGGTGCGCCAGCGAATGTGGTACCGAAGGCCGTGCGGCGGTGGCCTGGCTCGCGGTACGAGAGTGCGACTGCGACTGCGACTCTCGCCTCAACCCGGTGCGGCGGTTGATCTTGCGACGCAGCGATTCTTCCCGGAGGACGGGGACGACATAGGACGGCGGTGATTGCGAAAACGGGCCCCCCATCCCCATGGTGGTGGACGTGGTAGACGTACTCGGGCGATGCGGGCGCGCCGAGCAAGTAGGCTGGTTGGCGGGTAAAAAGGCCGATAGCAGGAATACGAGACGTCTGGCGAACATCTTATCCTGGGAAATGATGACGGTACGGGCCGGCAGGAACAAATCCTCGTCCCCTTTTGCTTTTTGTTGCTCGTGGTACTTCCATCGATAAGCGAGTGGCGCCAGCGCTTGAAGCCAATCCGTGTGGGTGGCCAGAAAGCCGGTGAGTAGGTTGTGAAAGAAGAATCCGTGCTCATGTTCTCTGTCGCCGGTCATGCGGGCCACCCACCTGGCCTCCTCCCGCCAGATCCCCCATCTGCCCTGTCCGGTGATGACTCTCTGGGCTCGTAGCCCCGTGATAACCCTCACCCTGGCGGCGGCGGCTTCCTGGATGATGTTTTCGTCGTGTTGTAGCCTTTGCGACTGCAGGACGATGAGCTTCGAGTTGGTCTTGGGCGGCTTGAAGTGGGGTTGTTGTTGTTGTTGTTGTTGTTGTTGTTGTTGTTGCTGTTGTTGTTCGTCGCCCCGGCGGCTGAACGACGAGGTTCGGCTGGCGAAAGACGCCACAGGTGGGGGTGCGGTATAAGGGTCTGGCGAGTTCAAGTCCTCCTGCTTGAGGAGAGCGCCCAAGGTGGTAGCCACGACGGACTGGAGATGGGTCAGGGTTCTCATGATGATATCCCAGTGTTGGGTGATGGCGTCCATCCGATCTTCCAAATCGGTCGAGTAGGAAGAGTCCAGAGAGTCGTGGAAACCGGAGCCCGCCATGGACCACCCCGAGCGGCGAGCCGAACTCATGGAGGAGGAGAAGGAGTCTTGCTCGGTAAAGGACCCAGGTCCAGGCGCAGGGCCGCGGAAAGAAGGCCGCGTGGTCGACGTGGTCGGCGGTGGGGCCGTGGGCACAGGTATCATGTTGTGAGTCGGAGTGGGCGGAAGCTGGATGACGAGTACGACGGCATACATGGGGGTTCGTTTCTGTTTCGGCTGGGGCGGCTTCTTCCTGGGGACTTGATCATCAGCTACCCCATGAGGTTGCGCTTGCGGGGGGGTCGGATAATAAGACGGGTTGTGATCAGGGCATCGTGCGGAAGGAGTGTCGCCCGAGGTTCGGAGGTCGGCGTCGTCGCTCGGAAGGACGACAGGGAACAGCCTGGTGATGAGGATTTTCTTCCTGTCGCCATGCCGGGGCGCCGAGGAGTGGGCCGAAGCGAAGGAAGGAGACGGGTGGGCTGGCGATACGGTGTCGGAGGTGTAGGACTGCGCCAGCCTGCTGGAGCGCATACTGGACCTTCCCATGGAACCACGGCCGTCGCCGATGATAGAGGCTGCATAGTCTAGGCGGGTGTCTGACGGCCCGGGGACGATGTGGACCTTGGTGGAAGTGCCTTTGTAGGCCATCAGCTCCGAGTTGCCAAAAGTGCAGCTGGAGAAGGCGGCAATCTCGTCGTGGTACTCGCGGCGCGCGCGGTGAATCTCGGATTCGAAGGACGATTGGGTCCGGCTATGCATGGAGAAACGGCGGTCAAAGGCACCCTGGCCATGATGACGTGGCTGGGGGCTATCTGGCTGGACAACGGAAAACGGCCTCGAGGACTGGCTGAGACTCGACTTCCGGGGCGACGTGGGCGTCCTCTGGGAGTCGACAGGGCTGGTGGTGACGGGAGAGGGTCGGTCGGAAGACGAGGTGACGCTGGGTGGGGGGCCCTGGCTGTCGAACAAGAGCTGGGAGGGATAAGGACCAGCGGCATCTTGCATGATCAGGACGCGGACGTGACGAATGTCGAGGTCGATGTCGGCGTCGTAGTCAAAGGGGTTGGCAACCAGGGCCGGATGCGGGACGTTAACGTTTGATAGAGGGAAGACTTGGTCGTTCTGGTGCTGGGACAGAGCGTCGGCGTCGGGGTACAGGAGGTGGCGGGTGTGTATGCCCTCTTGGACGGATTCGAGAGAGGTCTGGTGAGAACGGGGAAGGTTGGTCGGAAGCGGAGGAGGATGAGACGGGCCGGAGCCCAGGTTGAAAAGCTTCCCTAACATAACTGGCGATGAGGTGGAGGGCGAAAAAAAAAAGGGAGGGGCTTATTAGTAAGATTTCGCCCCGAGGAGGAGGAGGAGGGCGGGAAGGAGACGGCCGCAAAGCCGTGTCGGCGTCTTCTCTCTTTCGCTTAGAAGACAAAAGCAGATGCCATTCTTAACAGTCTGGAAGGCAATCTGGGGTCCGGGGCATCCTCTGCAGATTCCATGGGTATACGGGGAGACAAAAAGGCAGAAGAGGCCGTCAAGGAAATCGGTCTTCGAGCGTGAAGACCGCGGTCAATATGATATGGTGATCCCAGCAGTCCGGCGTCAAAGAAAAATAGAGGAGTCCGTCTAGAGAAAAACCAAGCGCGGGAGGGATTAAGGATCAACGGAGTGTTAAGAAAAGCGGCGGTGTAAGAAAAGGCGAAACCGAAAGGGCGTATGGAAGAACGAGGACTGAGGGTGTGCGTAAATCGTAGAAAAGACGAAGTTTAAAGTCGTGGGCGGGCAGGTAACAGTAGGTAGCTCATCTTACTCGGCCGACACGACCGGTTAACCGCCCCGTTTCTGTTTCTGTTTCTGTTTCTAGCTCGTCGCTGCGTTGTACGTTGGAGCAACGGTACTGGTGCACAGCGGTCGTTAGCGGTAGGCGGCAGCTGTGTCGTTGAATCACCAAGACAGTTTCGTCTTGGTCGAAGGTGAGCGCTAGACCGGGACCTCGTCAAAAAAGGGCGCCCCTTTCGCTTTTGGCGTGTCGCTTGTTGCTTTCAGGCTCGTCTTCCCTCGGAGTCTCCGTCGATGGCGAGAAATGGCCAGACTGGAGACTTGGGCCGGACCCAGACCCAGAGATAGTCTTGAGTTGTTTTGGCGGGACGTGGGGACGATGGGGGGATATGACGAGTCAGGGACCGAGAGTTCGGGTCGGTTAGCGGCTACGAAGAAAAGCTCTGGGCAGCTTCGAGGTTCGAGAACCGAGAACCAAGGTCCACTTCCTTGTAAGGCCGTGTAGTTTTCCCGAGAGCGCACACAAGGGAGCGGAGAGACAACAGAGGTGAAAAAGGGAGAGTTGCGAGAAAAGGGATGGTCTCTATGTCTTGGGATGATGGTGAGGAGATTAAGAGAATCGAGTAATCGTAATCGTAGTACCCTGTGAGGGTCCAACCAGATGGACGCGGGGGTTTCAGTGGAGCGCAGAAAAAGGTCGGCGGCGTGTTCGGTTCGCGCGTCTGTTGTCGATTTGGAGAGGCCCGTGGAGGTAAAAGGAAGTGGGAATCTGGACCCTTTGGGAGATGTGCAGAAGGGGGAAATAGTGGGCGCAGAGGCAGAGGCAGAGGCAGAGGAGAGATATTTGCAGAAGAGTCTGGGGGGCGCACGGGTCGTGGACCAGGTGGTGAGTTCAGTGGGTTGTAAGTTCAGTGGGTTCAGTGGATTCAGTGGGTTGAGCTGTGGGTACAGGACGCATATGCGGTACTGAGCTGAGTACGGGGGTACAGACAGGCAGCAACATGTACCGGTAGTGGTACGTTGTAATCGGTTCGAGTCGTCTCGTCTCGTCAGTCAGTCAGATAGACGCGAGGGTTGGGATGATATCTCCGTCCCTTTTCTTCTTTTCCATGTGATGGCGAGGGAGGACAGGAGAAGAGGCTGAAGAGGTAGAAGGAGAAAAGAGGGAAGAGGAGAGGGGAGGGGAGAGGAGAGGAGAGGCCGAGGAAGGACGGCAATGGGCGTGAATAGATGGGTGTGGCAAGGTAACACAACCCCCGTCTTAGACGGACAAGGGGAATCAAATCAACTCTTTCGCAGTCGGAATGGAAGAGGATTGGATGTCGAGTCGCCTAGGATTCCCGAGCTGTCTTGATGAAGAGGTCCGCTTCGTCGGCTTCGTCGGCTTCGTCATGGAGGTGGGAGGGCACCAGTCCCTTCCCTGCCACTTTCAACGAGTATAGAAATGCACTAGTAATAATGCAAGAGGTATTCTCGGCATTAGAAGTGAGGCGTGAGCGTGAGCGTGAGCGTGAGGCGAGACACTTTGCTTCTGATGCTGCTTCTGCTTCGTTTGTCGGGATCCTTTGGGATGAAGATGCGTCCAATGTGACCACTTCGACCTATGACCGTTTGATGGAAGTTATGGGGTTCGGGTGCCTAATATGAAAATGCGGTGAAGAAAGAGCTGAGGGGGCAATGGGCAATGAGCAATGAGCAACGAGCAATGAGGGAGGAGCTATGGAGGGGAGTACGTTGTACTTTCTCGGTACTGGTGGGGGAGGGGGGGTGTGTGGGGCAGAAAGCTGCCGCAATTACAACGTACGAAGTATCTGTACGGAGACAGATAGGAGTCAAGGTATCCGTGGGAAGGTACGAGTACTCGACCCCCGTTACAGGCCAACCGTTCACCACCACTCCCACCACAACGGTGATAACCTGGAACCTTTGACAGGCCCTTATCGGAAGTTCCCTCGGAAGTCCTTCGTACAGCTACCTTAGTAACTTCGTACAACGTACTCCGGAGCCACTTTGATTACCAGGATATCCCGGCACTTCTCCTCCATCCTTTCGGGTACGGTTACGGTTGCTGTATATAAGGTAATTACGCCACCTGCCCCTCTCACCATTTCTTCTGCTTCTGCCTTTTTGCCTATCGAGGTCAGAGGATCGGAACCTACGGAGTAGCTCCTTGTAAGCCAGCATCAGCTTTATTTTAGGTATTTCATCATCTTATTTGCCACGAAAGAAACAAAATTCAAGACTTCAAGACCATCTCTCGAACCTCCTCGTTGACGTGATTCGCAACCGCAAGACTTGGTGCTACCGGCCTCTTCCTTTCTGGGGTGGGGTATATTAAAGCACAGCGAGTACTACTGACTCGAAAAAAGAAAGAAAAATGACAAAAACCCATACCTACACATTCGTATTCTGGCACCTCAACTCTAACACCGATTCAGTCACGGTCATGGGGGTTCGGTACCTAGTTGACCGCTCCTGTATGATAAATACTCCGCAGAGTAATCACTGTCCACCGCCTCAAATAGTCTCACTGCTTGTCCGTTGTACACGTACGTGTAGTGTAGACCCTGCGGGCGATCATTTCTATTTTGAGCCTTCTCAACCTCTGCACCACGTTGAGGCCGATGACAGGAACCGTCTCCATGTCTATGGTACGCGTGTGCCAGCCCAGAATACTTCCGAGTGCTTAGCAAAACTTGAGTTGAGGATGAGAAACGGCTTTACGTATGCCTATAAGTATTGGAATACCTATTCCTTAGGTAGTGTATTAGATCTGTAGGAACAGTACCTTAGGAGTTATCTGCCTGGCGGTCCAACGTCAACCCGTAATGGATGAGTAGCGCCGTCAAGGAAGGGTACCTGGTATTCATTCTTTAACGGCAACAACCGGCGATAGGATCTGGGTGATAGGATCTGGCTTTATCCATATATGTACTCCATACTTCGTAGGTACTTTTACAACGGAGCGGGTCCCCAAATTAGCACCCGTACCTTGGAAGTACTTACATACTTCGACCTTCGCCGTCGCCGTCATCCTCGATGCCGATGGTGATGGTCAAAGGATATTTCGAAACCCCCGCCCCCATGCCCAGGTTCGTAATAAGGATCAATTGGGCCTCAATCTCCATTCATAACCGTTCGTAGCCTAACACGCCATGCGGACAAACACACACGACGAGCAGGACAAAGAACGGCCCGAAACCTGATTGCCACCCTTGCTTGCTTGCGACTGCGCTCGGTTGCACCTCGGACGCTCCTTTTTTGCAAACAAGGCGTGTTTGCAAGTAATTAATTAGTATCTCCGTACCATTCATCATTTCATCAGCTATCTGTACGGAGGAGTCGGAAGCATTATTATTCGTCGGCCAAGCAAGCCTTGTGCTTATCTTCGATTCCAAGGCTTGGTGCCAAGATGGAGAATTGACGTCCGAGGATCATGTCCTCAAATCTTGCTTCTCAGTAATTTGATAGCAGAAGACGACACCACGATTCGTAGCCGTGTTTTCTTTTCTTGTTTACAACGAAATATATTTGATATATATTATGTATTTTCGAGGAGGTCCAGGGTCCGAGGTCCGACCCAAGTTGGAATCTGCCGAATTTTTGAGGTCCGATGGCCAATTGCAGCATGTAAGGTAATTAATACAACGGGACGTGACATTTCACGCATTTCACACTCAGTTCTCCCTACAGTAGGTAAGGTAGTCTGTGTAACAGAGCCTGGGGAAGGATCTTGGTCGGACCGTTCTCCAAGAACCGTTGTCCCTAAGGTACCTAAGGTACCCATGTAGTCGGGAGCTCTGCCTCCCCATGTCGCGTGTTGCATTCCCGGAGAGATGTTAGTGAGGTTGTAGGTAATTACCATACTTGGTTAAATTGCATGTAATTACGTTGTACTTCGCGGGACACTCAACCACACTTGTCCTCCGAGGGTGGCAGGGCAAGGGGACATGACAAAAATACACGTAAGACGACTGCCTTCTCGCTAGGTGCCTTAGGTATCCGTACTTTCAGTATTCCAGACCGTACGGTACCTTGGGTAGGTAGGGTTACATCTGACATCTCACCGCTCACCGGTCAAAATCCCGTGCTCAGGTCTCTGGTTGTGGAGAGGCTGTTTACATAAGCCTGGCAGCTTCTGTGGGGTGTGAGGAAGCCCCAATAAACTAATACCAATAAGGCAGGCGGCGTAACGACAAGCTCCAAGTCATTCTGCCGAACGTCCCTCGTTTAGTCAACGACCAACCACATGTGATCCTTTTTTGCCCAGCATCTCGACATCTTCACATCGACACACTATCATCGAGATCCAACAACAACAACAACAACAACACCTGAGCCCCGGATCTTCGCACTACCTACACTTCTTTTCATTGACAGGATAGCACCTCTCCTCATCAACATCGATAATCCATCCCATGGTCGCATCCGAAGCCGCCCCAAAGTGAACCACGAGAATGCGTCTGGGCTCTCGTCTGTCCTACGAGCCTACCTCTATTTACACCTCGATCCCTCCCGGCCCCCAATGACGCACCATTAAATCGCCCTTTGCTGACCGTCTCCATGTCGCGCAATGTCAGTGCAACGTCCTCCTTACGTAAAAGGGCCGAATTGGTCCTCCCACCTCCGCCAACGCAGTCGCTCCGGCATCAATCTCCATCTCGAACGCCCCGGCTCCTCGTCCGTCGACTCCCCCCGCTCGCCCGATACCATCTCCAGCGCGTCCACCATACGTGGTGACCAGTCCTCGGCCTCCTTTCGCCAGCGTCGTCTCGAGAGGCGATGTACCGTCACCGTCAACGAGGGCTACAGTCGCGATGATGTCCTTCTCAACTTGGATATCTTCGACGGCGAGATTGTCCCTGGGAGTCTCATGGCCATCACCCTGGTCAAATCGGACCAACCGGATATGTGTACAAGCTCCGTCGGCGGCAGCAGCGTGAGTGTTGGCGGCGTCGGTGCCGGTGTCGGTGTCGGCGGCACCCACAACGGCACAAACGCCAAAGACTACGCCTTCAGCAACCCCGCCCCCACCCAGGGTCATTCCCATCCGTCCGACTGCGCCGAGGCAACGGGGAATCGGTACTTCTTCGTCGTCAAGGACATGTCCAAGGAGCTGAAGACCCGCCATCCCAACATGGAGATCTACATCATGAAACACGTCGCCGACGCCTTCGGCATGAAAAGGGGCTCCCAGGTGCTCCTGACCCCCGTCGACGCCACCAGTCCCGCCACCGCCGCCTCCCACGTCGAACTCTCCTTCAAGGACCAGTACCTCTCCCGAGCCGACATGTGGAGGATGGTCATCGGCGAGCTGACCGAGAGGACCGTCTACAAGGGCCAGTCGCTGCTCTTCATGGGCACCATCAAGGCCCAGGTCACCGCCGTTTTCGTTGATGGCCGACGCGCCCACTCGGCCTTCTTCACCCGCGACACCCGTCCCATCTTCCGCAGCGAGTCGGCCCGTTACGTCCTCTTCATCCAGATGGCCCGCGAGATGTGGGACTTTGACGCCGAAGGATCCGGCGAGATCGTCTTCAACAAGGCCGTCAACGGCTTCCTCCCCGCCCTTTTCAAGAAGTGGGCCAGGATGAAGGTGAAGCACCTCGTCAGTATCGTTCTGTTCGCCCGCGTCGAGTACGACACCGGCATCTCCGCCGAGCTGGCCGCCGAGTCCGCCCACGGCCAGTATTATACCGGCTTCCAGTCCTCGTCCGCCGACCGCCGGCCCTACAAGGACTTTTACCGCGTCGTCGTCAGCGAGATGGCCAGCGGCGAGTGGACCACCATCCTGTACGAGCTCAAGAAGGGTTTCAATTTTTTCCGCCGGGACATCAGCATCCATCACCACATGGTGAATGAAGCCGCCAGGGCCGCCGGCGCCCCGCCCATCGCTCCCGACCGCGTCAAGGCCGAGTCGTCGCTATCCATGTACGGAAACTTTCTCGAGGCCATCAACCTGGCCTCCTCGCAGTTTGCCCATGATTATATCGACCGGGATCTGATGCGGACGGGCATCTCTATTGTCATCATCAGCCCCGGTCCCGGCGTGTTCGAGGTCGAATACGAAACCCTGCGGAGGACCACCGAGGCCCTCGTCGGCAACGGCATCGGAATCGACCTCGTCTGCATGCCCAAGATGCCGCTTCATTCGGTACCCCTCTTCCGCTATCGCAATCCCCATCCTTCTACCGAGTCGTCTCACGGCCTTTCCCGCACCAGGTCCACCCGGGCGCGAGACGGGATGCGAGACGGCGGCACCACCACCACCACCACCGCCACCACCTCCTCCTCCCATACGGCCCACAATCGTCAGGGCCCGCCCACCCCTATCGTCGGCAGCTATCAATCTCTCTCCGAGTCCCTGTCGCCCACCAAAGGCCTGGAGCTCGTACGACCCGGAGACTCGCCCTCTTCTCGCTCGCAGGACGAGTGGTGCTACGCCGTCCCGCAGTGGCTCCACGTGTCCTACTGGACCGGCACCTCCGAGGAAGCGCTGTCTTACCAGGGCATCGCGCTGTCCGTCGCCGAGGACCCGAAACGAGAGCAAGAGGCCCGAGAGGATTTCGCCATTCGCGCCAGGATGTACGCCCTGCAGATGCGGAGCGTCCTGGAGACTAACGAGATCGAGACCACGCCGCTGCACGCCGACCCGAATTATCCCATCCACCATAACGACTCGCATAACCTCCTACTACACAAGGCGCGCCAGGGCGAGAATGCTCAGGCCGCCGCCCTCGCCATCGCCCTGGCCCCGTGCAAGCGGGTTCCCAACTCGCTCTACGACCACGTCTACGGCTTCCAAAAGTTCATGCCGGACAAGCTCACGAGACGAGGAGAGAAATCGCTGCGGAAGCAACTCCAGGAGTACGACGAAACCAGAGCCAAGCTGCCCAAATTCCGTCGCCCAGCTCAGTCTCGGCATTCTCGCGAGCTTGAGGAGTCCACGCGCCGCCAGCTCATGGAGGATACCGGGCTCTTCGGGACCTCCCTTCCAGAGAAGAAGCTCGTTGTTGACGGCCACCCCCTTGTTTCGGCGGCAACGGCCGCCGGCCGCAAGTTGTCCGTGAACATGGAAGATAGCGGCGGGCGACCCGACATGAGAGCCGCCGCCCTCTCTTCGCAACCACGAAAACATCGCCCACTCCCGCCGTCTGTCAAGGATATCGGCGCCAACTCGCACGTCGGTGCCCACGCCCACGTCCGGCTGACCTCGCCGATCAAAACGCCCAAGATCATGCGCCAAATCAGTCTCGGCGCTCGAGGTTTCGGCATCGCCGCGCCCAAGGTCGTCGCGGCCGAAGCCAGCTTCCAGACGGCGAATGCATCCAATGCCGAACAGGCCGGAAGCCAACACCACCAGCACCACAAGACCGGCGGCGGCGGCGGTGGAGAGGACCTCACCACGCCTCTGGTCAATTCCACCCTCCCCCGCTCGACCTCGCCGCAATCCATCCGCCCGTCCGCATCGGCCCTGTCGCCGCCGCTGTTCCGGTCGGCGTCCCGGGATACGCTGACGGATTTGCCGTCCACGCCCAGCATCCCCATCACATCGGCGAGGACGACCTCGCAGCGACTCGACGGCCCGGCCGCCAGCCAGCACAAGTTTGGGTCCATCAAGATGCAGTCGCTGGCGCGGAGGGACCGCATGCAGGACGACCGGGATCAGCGGCACTCGAATCTCCTGCGGGCCGAGGACGACCAGAAGATGTACAACAACAAGCTCCGCGCCGGCGGCATGCCCGAGCTGCCGTCGACCCTGTCCCCCCACACGGCCATCACGCCCTGGCTGACGCTGCTCAACCCTTCGAACCCGGACATCAAGAAGGTGGACGACACGTTGCTGTACAGCCGCTGGCAGCACGTCTTCCCGCGCACGTCGGAGATGCGGGTCATGAAGTGGAAGGCGCTGTGCTGCCCGGCGGCGGTGCCGCTGACGACGGAGCACTTCCCGACCAAGGCGCAGTTCGACAGCGAGTACCAGCGGCAGCCGTACATCATCGCGCAGAACGCCGACGACGAGACGCCCATGGCCGAAGAGCCCAAGTCGCGCGAGGACTTCATCCGGGAGCTCATCAGCCTGCGGTTCTCGCAGGGGTTCCAGCTCGTCATCGGGCCGTCGGTGGCGCGGGCGTTCGGCCAGAAGCAGATGAAGATCGCCGACATCTTCTCGCGCAACCAGGCCATGGAAGACGGCACGAGCATCTTCATGTCCGTGGGGAACACGATCCACCAGCTGTCGTGCGTCAACGGGACCGAGGTCGAGGTCAACATTTTCGTGCGCAAGCCGACCGAGTCGATCGCGCGGCCGTACGGCGACGGCGCCGGGCCCATCTACAAGCCCGCGATCCGGACGCTGCTGGACTCGACGTACCGGACGCAGGAGATCGACATCCTGACGCCGAAGCCCGAGCGGAACTGGAACTACATCGACTCGTACCTCGCGGGCCACAGCGACGAGCTGACGGAGCACCTGCGGTTTTGGAGGGCGCGGTTCGTGCTGATCCCCATGCTGCCGCGGAACGCGCATGTGCCGAGGAACCAGCACGGGGATAGCCCCGAGGAGATTCGGCTCGAGGGCATCCGACGGCTGTCGCTGCAGTGGCAGAGGAACCGCTACATCCCCGCGTCGGAGCGGCGGTTCCAGACGGTCGTCGGTTCTTCGAAGAGGAAACGGGATCTCAACCCGCTGGACATCGTGTACAAGACGGAAGACCCGTCGGCGGTGATCGCGGCCGAGCTCGAGTCGCTTCCGTTGCTCGAGGGCGCGGAGATGGCCTCCCGCAAAGGGCAGCTCGTCACCAGCCGGGAACGGTTTCGCAAGTCGAGTCTGAATGTGGCGGCACTGGCCGAAGCCATCCAGCAGCCGGTGGAGAACGGGGGCGTCAAGCTGCAGAATCGCCGGTGGCACCTGCGGCTGCACTACAACTGCTTCATCGGGTCCGACATGACGACGTGGCTTCTGGGGAATTTCGAGGACATTGAGAGCCGCCAGGAAGCGGAACAGCTGGGGAATATGCTCATGGTGAGCAAGAACGACAGGCTGGACGAAAAGGACAAGGACAAGGACAAGGACAAGGACAAGGGACGGGGCCTCTTCGTGCACGTGGAGAAGAGGCATCCTTTCCGGGATGGGCAGTATTTTTACCAGATGGCGAGCGAATTCGCAAAGCCGCACGCGCACCCGCCGGGGTGGTTCAACTCGCGAAAGCAGCGGGACTTGTCGGTCCCTTCCACGCCCCTCACGGATACCACGCCGCGCGATTCTCCACGCGGCGCGATTTCGGTGGCGGACGAGCACTCGCCCATCTCGGGGACCAACACGCCCGGGCCGCCGAACAATAATAACCATACCTTCTTCAGCGTCAAGAAGAAGCCCGAGGTGGTGCTCAGCAAAGTCATCAAGTACGACGTGGACCCGCGCAAGCGGTCGTACCGGCCCGAGCGGATCGACCTGCACTACGACCGGCTGCACAACCCGGACAACTGCTACCACATCCGGCTGGACTGGCTCAACGTGACGGCCAAGCTGATCGAGGACGCGGTGGAGGGCTGGGCGCGCGAGGCGGCGACGTACGGGCTGCGGCTGGTGGAGGTGCCGATCCGCGAGGCGTGCACCATCACGGACACGAACCCGTTCCGGCGGCCGTTCGTCGTCAAGCTCGCGGTTCCGCCGCCGCCGACGCCGCCGCCGACGACGACGACGACGTACTACGAGCCCGGGTCGTTCACGCTGCAGACGGCGTCGGGGCGGCACCCGTACCAGACGGCGATCCTCAAAAAATTCGACTTTGTGCTCGACCAGGAGGCGGCGTCCAATTTCCCCGCCGACGTGGAGGTCAGCTACTCGTGGGGGAAGCCGGATTTCAAGTACAACCAGTACATCCACCGCAGCGGGACGCTGATTGCGGAGATTAACGACGAGGGGGACTTTCTCTTCCTGGCGAACCGGCTGTTCAGTAACCGTGCGGCGAGCGCGCGCGAGAAGGAGCTCAAGGAGGCGCGGGAGGCGGGAGAGATGGCCGGTAGTGGTGGTGGTGGTGGTGGTGGTGGTGGTGGTGGTGGTGGTGCTGCTGCTGCTGCTGCTGCGGCTGTGGGTGCTGGTGGTGGAGGAACGAATAACCGCATCATGTCCGTGGGCTCATACATGCCGTACGGCATCCCGGAAGCCAACTCACCGTTCCTCAAGCCGGCGGACTACTCGGCACCCCCGACCGCCACACCGTCGGGCTCGACGTTTGCCTCCCCGCTCCCCGGGACTTTCACGCCGGCCCCCACCGCCAACATGAATTCCGCGACCAACGCCAACGCGAGCAGCAGCAGCAGCAGCCTCCACAACATGGCCAACATGGCGCGCGCCTCCTCCGTAGGCCTCGGCGCCGAACCCGAGGTCGTGAAGGAACAACTGGTCAGCTTTTGCTCCAACGCGGAAGCCCTGGGGGCGTTTTATAAGGACCTCCTCGACGGCGCGGGTCAACCCCCTGCTCCTGCGGCGGCGACCTCCTCGACTCCGAGCGCCGCGCTGGGCTACCCCCCGTCTTCTTCGGCGTCGGCGTCCGGGGGCGGACCGGGCGGACTGGATGCCGTGCCGGAGGCTAGTATCCCGACGCTGGGACTCCCGGAGCGGGTGCTGGGCGAGATGCGGGAGACGGGGGGTGGGGGTGGGCCGGCGGCTGCGTCGACGACGGTGACGACGGCGAGGGGGATGATGAGTAGTCCTGTGCTTTCGGGGATGAGGTTGCTGAGGCGGGGGAGCGTGCAGGCGCAGATTCAGTCGCAGATACAGCAGGGGCAGCAGGGGCAGGCGGTGGACGGAGCTGAGTCGGGTGGGAAGAAAGAGGGTCCTTCTTCGCCGGGCTTCTTGTGAAAAGTGTTGGTCTATGGGTGTTTCGGGTCACGGGTAGGATAAGGATGAAGGGGGCGTTTGCCATACTACGGCCGGGGGGGGGGGGTTTTTTTTTTTCTCCTTTTTTGTCTCCTTTTTTTTTTCTCCGTTTTATTCTCACTGCGCTCTTATATATGATGTCGTATCTCTGTTCAAGTGTACACATAGCATGAATGCATCACATGAGAGAGAGGCTGCCATGTTGTCACCCAGATCCATGTTGTTATTGCTGTGTCCACCCTAAGGCTAAGCTACCTACTGATCGATTCATGTTCCGACCGTCCATGAAGAGGCGACGAAAAGCCTGCCATGATCAAGAATCGCAGGTGTTTCGTTACCTTGGGCAGAGGGGAAAGGAAAGGTGCATGTGGATGGGATAGAAGCAAGTTTTCCTGTGGTGCAGACTTCGTCCAGATGAGCGAAGCTGCGCAAAGGACAAGGGTCGTCGTGTTTATTCTTGGGCGCCCCCGATCTGAGCCTTGAGCTCGGCTTCCTCCTGAGCGCTGGGGCGCTCGATCTGAGACCTCTGACCGAGGCAGGAGACTTGGCCGCGGTCGACCTTGACTTCCTCGGCTGTGAAGATATTGTTGGTTAGTTGGTAAGGTCGTTCGTTCATGGGTGAGGGTATATTGCTGAGGAGGGCGACGTACAGAGATTGATGGCGCAGAACCACCAGGTAGGAGGCAAAAGAGGGTTACCAGAGTCCTTGCGGCAGTTACCATTCAGCATGACACGGGTGAGGTCGATTCCAGGACCGCGTCTGTCGAGAAAGAGCTTCTCGACAGAATGAGAGTAGTTGCCCCTATGGGAATAGAGCGGCATGGAGTCAGTGAATGCACAACCTTTGCCATGACCATGCTCAAGCGTCTTAAGGGGAATAAGGAATAGGTAGATAGATAGACATATGAAGCAATAACGAGAACGTTGAAGGGAGAAAGGGAGAGCAAACAGAACATGAACAATCAGGAAAAGACAAAGACTCACTCTCTACTCCAACGCATATTACCATCAACGTTGGTGATGCACTTGTTCAGGTCGAGCTCGTTGTACCAGATATCGCCAGTGCGCGAATCACGGCAAGCCATCTCGAGGGGGGAGTGGTTCCAGCGGTCAGTGTTGATCTTGATGTTCCAGCAATGCTCGTGGAAGTTGGCAGCCGCAAGGGCCGCAAAGCTCAGGAAGAGGAAGCGCATGGTGATGTTGGTGATGTTGGTGATGTTCGGTGATGTGTTGATGTTGATTCTTGCTCTCCTAGGTGCAAGGAAAGCTTGGGCAAAGAGATGGAGAGGCTTGGGAGAAGAAGAAAGAAGAGGAAGAGGAAGAAGAGTGAGGGTGAGAGGGATATTTATACTGGAGAGCCCCTGGGAGAGGAGGGAGGATTGATTTGAAAAAAGGGCCATTACTTCTTGTGATCTCTGGTTACGGAAAGAGCAGCATGATAAAAAAAAGGAGAAGGAGCGCGCTCTTGCCTTGGTTATGGTTAATGTAAACAAATTGGAACGAACAGAATAGGGGTGATCCCTTAACTTGAATCACCTCCTGCCGGAACTACTGTAAGAGCAACTTCCTCTTTGAGTAGTTGCCCTTTGAGTTGGGACTTGTCAAGAAGAGCCAACTACGTTTCTGTACCATGTAAGGAAAGAGCTTTACCACTTACGTATGCAGTTGTGTTAGACTGATGCCTTGAGAATATCTCTTGCAACCCCTGATGGCGGCCCGTTGCTTGGTTCCCATGATGGGCTAACGTCACTCTGTTTGATGCAATGGTCAGTTTCTATAAGTAGCTTGACAGATTCCAAGTTGGGTTGAGTTTGTTCAGTTTATTGTTCATGATATGTTGTCAAAGGGGAATACAAAGGGTAAAAGAAAGTCCATTCATCATTATACGGTTTTCCTCTGTAACAGACTATCAACATGTGACTCTTAGACTCAGTCATAGATACATAGGAGACTCTCAGTAAGAGAAGAGGAAAGGAAAGGAAAGGAAAGAAAGGAAGAAGAAGAGACGCAGAAGAGAAACCACATCATCCCTCTGTTCTACCGAGCACCCAGCCTAACCGCCTGAACCGCCTTCTTTGACCTCTCCACCTCGTCCTCCAACTGCTCCCGTTGGCGCCGCGTAACAAGTTCCTCCCCCGCAATGGCCTCCAGCTGCGTCTCATCCAGCGCCATGACAAGATCAGGCCCGAAGATGCGCAGCGGGCTGTCCTCGGCGTCCAGCAGGAGATGGAACACCACCTGCTGGCAAACCACGTCGACGAACCGCCTCCGCGCCACCTCGTAGTAGCTGTGCAAAATGTCGTGGATCTCCTGCCGCACGAGCTCCGCGTTGGACTTGTCCGCCACCACCCCGGGGATGGCGGCCCGCGGCACGCGCAGCATCGCAGACGAGTCAAGGTCTCTTCCCTGCATGTGGTGGTTGCCGTAACTATGGTGGAGGACGGGTTCGCCCCCGTCGGCAATCTTGTCGAGCGCCTCGAGCAGACGCTTGCCCTGCGCCGTTTGCACGTTGTGGCTGAAGTGGTGGTTCATCGTCATGAGCTGCCCGTGGCGCTCGATGCTGAGCAGGAGCTCGGCTTGGTCCATGGCCCGCTTGTAGGCGTCGCGCAGCTTGCCGCGCAGGAGAATGTCCATGAGCTGGCCGTAGACCTCTTCGTCCGGGCACACTTCGATGAGGAGCCGGCAGATGAAGTCGTGGGCGATCAGGATCGCCTTGCTGACGTGGGAGAGGACGAGGGGCTTCCACTTTTTGGATTGTTCTTTGAACACCTCGAGCAGGACTGCCTCGGAGAACTGTACAAGTGTAGATATTGTGCGTTAGTCGACTCGAAGGCACTTTGAACTGAAAAAAAAAAAAAAAAGAATAAAAGAAAAAGGGGGAAAAAAGGGGGAAAAAAAAAAAGAAAAAAGCCAACCTACAGTTCCCAAGCCCACGCCACGGGAATCGTTGTACACCTTCTCGATGTGTCTCATCAACGACTCGTTGATCGGCTCTGGGCATTTGTAATCGACCTCTTTCAGAATGGCATACAGGTCGGGATGCTCATCCAGAATTTCTTCAAACATCCCGTAATCAGAAGGAGGCTCCGGCATCGGCCCCGCCAGCGTTTCCGACTTTGGAACAAGCCCTTCCAACTTGGCCTCTCCCTCAAAGTTCCGCATATGCCCCCTCGTCCGCATAGCGTCGTCGAAATCCTCCAGCAGCCGGACAACGCGCGTCACGAGCCGCAGATCCCAATGCGAGAAAAGGGGGCGTGCGTACTGACTCTGGCGAGCGCAGCTAGCCATCGTCTGGAACTCGTTGCTCACCCGGCCCAGGTACCGCCGTTGCTGGCCGGCATCGTTGCGCGCGTCGCCCATCAGCTCGAGCTCGGCGCTCCGAGCGCGCAAGTGCTCCTCCAGGTCGGCGGTGACGTTCTTGAACTCTTTCTTCGTGACGGCGCGGAGGAGGATCTGCAAGGCCGACGACAGGCCCTGGCTGCCCAGCCTGTTGGTATGCCTGAGCGCCGACCAGGGCGCCCCGCTGAAGAAGGCCTTCTCGGAATTATGCCGCTTCCTGAGCACCGCTTCCCTGCTGCTGCTGCTGCCCTTTTTCTTGCCGTCCTCGTCGCCGCCGCCGCCGTCGTCGTCGTTGTCGGTATCGTCCGACCCCCGGTTCTTCACGACGTAGTATCCCAGACGCAGCGCATGCACTTTGCCCCTCACCAAGTCGCACACTGCATTCTGCGTGGCCCGCTCGGTGGCGAGGTCGGGCTTGGTGAGCACGCCCAGGGTCCGGAGCCCGTCGGGGTCGACGTCCTTGGCGAGCTTCAGGACTTCCTGCGTGGTGATGTCGACGTTGCAGGGCACGACCGCGAGGATGACGGTGCGCTTGTCGGCAATGTACCGTTTGACCATGTTGCGGACGAGAAGGATGTCGTCTTCCGTGGTCAGGTTTTCGGTGGCGGTGCGGAAAATGCCGGGCACGTCGATGACGGTCAGATGTTGTTGCTGGTCTTGCTGTCAGGAGGTTTGGGGGGTTTCACTGCCCTGGAGACGTTACTGTAACTTACAGTTGGTCCGCTGATCTCTATTTTGAGTATATCCTCGGAAAAGGTGGTAAGCTCGGACGAGCCGGGGTCGTCGTCGTCCAGGCTTACTCGAATTCCCATGGCGACGTTGGCCTAAGAAAACGGGGGAACACCCAAAATGAGCCAGAGGACAGAGTATGCATGTGTAAAGAATGAGACTGAGAAGAAGAAGAACAAGAATAAGAAAAGAAAGAAAAGAAAAGAAGAAGAAAAACGCCCACCTCGGCAAACACCCCCGCCAGTGCCAGGTCATCAACCCCGAGCGACCTTTTAAACCCCCTGAGGCGCTCCCTGCGGGCCTCGTTCGAGTCGGAACGGGGGATAATGGAAATATCGATCCCCTCGACGGCATCCCGGCGGCAGGTAATCTGGGTAGCATAACGAGTACACAAGCCCGGCGCACGGGGGAAGGCGAAGCCGGTGATGCTCTCGAGGACCGAACTCTTCCCAGACGACTGGTCGCCGACGGCAACAAGCTGGGGCAGCGACACTTTATCGGCCATGCCGAGCTCGCGGAGCGTGTCAATGACGCCGACGCAGACATCGCCGCCGATGGCGTTGACGGTCTTTTGTTGGTGAAGGCTGCCCATCTTGTCGCCTCGTGCTACGTTTGGCGCGTCTTGGAGCAGCTTGCAATGCCGAGGAGAGCGGAGAGAGGTCCAGGAGGAAGTAGAGTAGCTGGTGTAAGCGGGAGAGTGGTATGATGGGAACAACTGGCCGTGTCTTGAGAGATGGGGAAGCCTGAGCCTGATATCAACCGAGATGGATGAAAGTTTGGGAGCATTGGATAGAGGTGAGCATGAACTATAAGTGTTTGAGGTGGCGAGCCTCTGATATACGTTGAAGAACAGCAATGGGATACCCAGCCTCGAAAGGAGGGAACTTGAAAATAAGCATGGTCAGGTTGGCGCATACCTTGGCCGAGTTCTTCCACTTCAGTTCCCTGTACCAACGACAGGGCGTGTGAAGACTGATGAAGGTGTCGGCCTCCTGCATTGCATGTAGCTGGTGGCTCGTCGTTCATTACAACTTGCGCCAACGGCGGCCGACTTGGCGACCTGCAGATTGAGGCGGAGGTGGGCTTCCCTCCTTATTCGGGGACTTGCACATGGAAATAGAAGCCACAACAGCGACCTGAAACAGTCTGCAACAGATATCACAACAAGGAATGCGGCCTCTCGGCGGCAAAGATAGGCTTACTGGTTTAGACTTTTGGTTGGGTGCATGTGCAAACAGTCAGTCAACCTTGCGCTGCCACACCGGCCAACTACATTCGACGAGGGGAGATGCGATGCCAACAGCGCGTGGCATATAGCATACTGCGGGAGGGATGCTTCTTATACAACCGGAACAGAGGAGACGAGTTGCTGTGTCTCTGGAGGAGATGCTCAAGCTGGAGGAAACGAGTCGAGGCTCAACTGACAACTGACCCGACCCCTTGTCAGCCACAGACCCCTGAGGCGCAGTGAGCAAAGCCACTTCACGATCCCCCGTCCACTGTCCCACTGTCCACTGTGCGCTAGGAAAATATGGCAAAAATCGCTCACGCAATTTCCACAATTCGCAGGTTCGGTGGTGTAGTTGGTTATCACGTCAGTCTAACATCGGTCAGTTCCAAAACTGGTTGCAGTACACTGAAGGTCGGGAGTTCGAGCCTCCCCTGAATCAGCTTGCGATGGGCCCGTCTGAGAAGATGCGCTCTCATTTTTGTGCTTTTTTTTGTTTTTCTTTCTTTGTCTCACTCTCTTTTGAATGATTTTTCCCCCGCCATGGCTAATCTTGCTGTCCTCGTAAGATAATTATAGTATATGGTATAGCTCCAAGCAAGAAAAGTGCGCCTCCATCACTGCATGTCCATCCGTACACTGCATCACAGCACAGCACAACACGACTCACGGATCAACAAGCCCAACAACCCTCCCCACCACGCGATCCCACTCGGCATCCCACCGTAGACTCCCCTCCTCCACAGCCCCCTCCCTCAACCCCGCCAGCTCGTCCCTCCCCTCCTCGCACAGGAGCCGCGCGAGCACCTCCGCCAGCTCCGCCGCCGTCGCGAACCCGCACCCATTCACCCCTTCCCGCACCAGCTCCCCAAAGCTCTCGTACTCGGCGTACGCCGCCACCGGCAGGCCGGCGCCGAACATGTCCACCACCTTCATGGGCAGGTCGACGCCCGAGCTCGACCGGTGCAGGCAGATGCCCAGGTCGGCGCACGCCAGGAGCGCCGCGTAGTCCTCGGTCGCGAGCCACGCCGTGCGGACCTGCACGCCGGGCAGCCGGCCCTCGGCCGTCCAGCGCGCGATCCGCGCCTCGTACATGGCCTTTTGGGGGCCCTTGCCCGTGATGACGGCCAAGAGGGGGTTCGGGGTGGTGGTGGTCCTCCTCTGGGTTTCTCCCTCCTCCTCCTCCTCCGACGACATGGTCATGGCGGCGGCGTACGAGACAAGGGCGTCAAAGAGGAGGCCGAAATCCTCGTCGGGCGTCCAGGAGGTGCTGCTGACGACGAGCCGCACGTCGCCGCGCACGATGCTCGCGGCGGCGTCCCGGGTCTCCGGGATGCGGGCGAGGACGGAGGCCCGACGGGCCGGGTCCCTGATGGGCTGGAAGGTGTCGGCGGGACGGTCGTGCAGGGTGAGGATGGGCCTGGTGAAGTTGTAGGGCGGGCGGCGCAGCTGGCGGGCCATGGCGTCGGTGACGGTGAGGTTGGCGGTCGGGGTGATGCGGCCGAAGAAGGACTCGTACTCGAGGTAGGCGTGGACGAAGCGGTCGGCGCGGCCGCGCGTGGTGGCGAGGATGGACCAGCCGTAGTTGTGCCAGTCGATGAGGAGATGGCTGCCGCGGAGGATGGAGATGAGGAGAGCTAGATGGAGGGTTGGGATGGAGGGGGGGTTCTGCAGCTGTTAGCCCAGGAGAAGGAGGGAGAAAAAAAAAAAAGGCATGTGAGAAGGAGGGAGGAAAAGCCCACCTGAATGATAATCCAACGGGCTGGCGGCGTGGTGTATGCCAGCACGTAAAATATGGACAGCATCTGCCAGAGCACCTTGAGGGGAGCCAAGACGAAGAACGGCAGAGACTTGGACTGGAGAAGAGCCGGCAGCGGAGGCAGCGGGAAGACGTTGACCGTCGGGTGACCGTCTAGGCGAGGGTGCAATGGACTCTCGTGGTAGCCGACGAGATCGACTCTGCCCCCATGTTTGGTGACGCTGATGGCGTGGTATTGCATGCGCGGGCTCCTTCCTATGTCTCCCAGGACGAGAACCTGGATATGATCGTCCCTGGCATCGGGTGACGGCCTATATCGGGTAGGCCTGTACATGAGAAAGACGAGAGCAAGGGCCCATGTGGCTAGAAGGACAACTTGCAGCATCAGGCGGCCAAGTAACCCCATTTTGCCGAGAGAAGTGGTGGTGGTCGTGTCCTGTTCGTTCTCACGTTCTCACGGTCTCACGTTCTCATGGGGTTCGTAGGTCCAGGGGCGTCGAGGGATGCGGGTATGGGTTGAGAATAGGAATTCACATTATCCTCCCGTGCCTGAAGAGAGCATATCAGATAGAAGTCCAGGACTTGCTATGGCGGGATGCTGGTGGGTGGTGGTTGAAGAGGAGATAAGAATCAAAGATCACTGATGAGATGCTGCCGTGTTACGTCGAACAGTGTCACTTGAACAGCTCGGTGTGGCTCGGTGACAGGCCAATTAATAAGAAGAATCGGGAGGAGCATAATACGGATATTAGAATAAAGTACACATTCTTATGTTACGCATATTTCAGTAACGGGTAGTCAGATGAAAAGACCGAAAAGATTCCCAAAAGACACTAGCCGAATTCTGATGGTTTGTCTGGTTCCTGAAAGATTCTTTAATGCACAATTGGACTGCTTCTTCCCATGCGCGAAGGATAAAGGTCGAAGTATCCAAGTTATTGTAGCGTTGCACTGCAGATGCAGATGCGTCTTCGTCTTCGTCTTCCCCTCAAAATATATTGTTCTGGTTGCCCAGTCGCCCATAGACGACGTGGTACGTACTTTGTATTATCTCATCATCGAAGGATCGATAAGGTAAGGTAGAGATACAGAGAGTAAGTACCTAGGTCGTCAAGCAAACATTCGCGTGACTCGCGAACCGGTCGCGGGTTCGGGTAGGAGGTACCAAGTACGAAGCAATAGCCAGTGTTTACTCTGTACGTACAGTATTCCGTACAGCAGCGAGTTTTACACCGCTCTTACCTTATAATTAGTCCAACGACGGAAAAAACGACAAGACACATGAATTACAATATACGAATAAAAGTGGCAAGAAGAGCAATACACCTACATCCCTTATTAGCCATCAAGAGCAGATCTCAACAGACGCACGTTTATCGCGTGCTCCCCCAATTGCTCAGGCTCAGACGCAGCCAATGCAAATCGACCTCCCATTGCGGACAAGCCGGCGTTCTGCGTTCTGGGCTTGGCTAACTTGCCCTCCCCCCCTACTCATCAGAGACATCACCAATGAGAACGGCTTTGGACGAGAACGTGCCCCAGTCCAGTGTCCGCTTTCTTCATCTGGTGGGGCCCATCCCGGTGGATTCTGCAGGGGTTGACTGGGAGAGAAGAGGCCCAGAGGAGAGCTTGGGGGGGGAGTTGGGAGCGGGCAGCCGACAGCGGGTCAAACCCAAGCACCTCTCTGTCTTCTCTGTCTAGAAAGGGGAGGAGGATAACGGTAAAGACCATAATGCCATTCGCATATCACCTACTAATTATGCCAGTAACTAGTACGAACGCAAATACGGCAACACTCGATCAGTCGAGCCACCTTCCCTCTTGAGACTGAGGGTCGGTGTCTTTCGGGTCTTCTTCTTCTCTTGTCCTCCACCTTTCCGAATCTCGTCATTTCATCTTGGTCTCTCTTCCCTCTCCTGTACAGCGGATCAAGTGTCCCTTAAGACAGCACAGAAACAATAACCAGAAGGAGAGGCGAGACACGCACCTTCAGTTCAAGCGACGGGCAACAAATCAACAAATTCCGAGACATCTCATCTCGACCCTACTACGAGACCGAGACTACACACGACGCCCGTTTCGCGGCGCACGATACCAGCGAAATACCGCCAGCTATCTCGAGCACGCTCAATCGCTCCGAGGTTTGAAGACCGTGGGCCGTGGCAGTGAACAAACAAGAAATCAGAGACGAAACTTGGAGCGACAGCAGGCTTCCCCCCGCCCCCTTATCCATAGCTTCCCTGGCTGGAGCCTCGCACCGCCAGGCCGTGAGAAACTGGGTGCCATGGCGTCGTCGTACGCTCTTCCTTCGTCCGCCCTACCGCATGCCCACCGTCAACACATGCACGCCCATTCGCACTCGCACCCGCACCCGCACCCGCACCCGCATCCCCCGACGTCTCTCAACGCCCTCAAATCCACCATGGCCTCCGGCGGCGGCCTTCACAACCACTCCCAGAGCCTCGACCGCAGTCGCCATCCCGACAGGCCGCATCTCGGACACGCGCGATCCTTCTCCCACGAGAACTCCGAGTCACATCCTCCCTCCCGTCCCTCCGCCCACGGGCACACCCCCTCCCATTCCCTCTCGCATCTTCCTACCTTCAACCCGAACGATGCTGATACGCACGAACCCAAAAACCGGCTCCCCCATCTCCCGACCTTGCGGACCAACCCGACGCCCGGCTTCCACATGAGGGAAAAACTGCCCCCGACTCCGTTGTCGCAGGTGGACGGCTGGAAAACCGAGACGGCGCCGAGCGGACGCGAGCTTCTCACGCCGATGAGTGCAGCGTCCAAGTGGTACGAACCGCCCGATAGCGCTGCGACGAACCATTCCCATTCCCATTCCCATGGCCATGGCCGTAGCCACGATCACCACCATGGCCATGACCACGACCACGACCATGCACATAAACACGCCCACCACGACCACGACCATGGCAACTCCCACGAACCAGCCAAAATCTCCCTCTTTTCGAAGCTTCTACTGCGCTACTCCCCACACGTCCCAGTCTTCCACGCCATCCTCGTCGAAAAAGACTCGAGGCGAATCTTTTATTTCCTCTCGTTAGTTTCCGTAGATCCCATCCTTTAATCCTTTTTATTTATTTTATTTTTGTGAGGAAGCAAGACAAAGCGCTGACATGGCTTTTGCAGGCTCAATTTCTCCTTCATGGCGGTCCAGGCATGGTATGCCCACGCCACCGAATCCATCGGTCTCCTGAGCGACACCGTCCACATGTTCTTCGACTGCTTCGCCCTCTTCGTCGGCCTCTGCGCGTCGGTCATGAGCAAGTGGGCCCCCAGCCAGCGGTTCCCTTATGGGTTGGGCAAAGTCGAGACCCTGAGCGGGTTCGCCAATGGTATTCTCCTCATGTGAGTACAGGGCAGCCAAGAAGAAGAAAAGAACACCGCGAAGACAAAAGATGGTCAATTGCCAACGGGTCTTCACTCTGTCAATGGCCAACGTCTTCACTCTATCAATTGCTAACGGTCTTCACTCTTCCCAGGCTACTCAGCGTCGAAATCATCGGCGAGGCATTCGAACGCATGGCCGAAGGGACGCCGCCCCGCAGACTCCATGAACTACTAGCCGTCAGCACCCTGGGCGGCCTCGTCAACGTGGTAGGCCTCGTGGCGTTCGGCCATCACCACCACGGACACGGGCACTCGCACGGCGGCGACGGCGGGGGTTGTTCCGGCAGCCACAAGAAAACCGACGACCACGACCACAACCACAACCACGACCACAACCACAACCACGGCCACAACCACAACCACAACCACGGCCACGGCCACGGCCACCAAAACGAAAACATGCAGGGCATCTTCCTCCACGTGCTGGCCGACCTGATGGGCAGCGTGGCCGTCGTGGTGTCGACGCTCCTGACCATGTACACGGGGTACGCGTGGTGGGACGCGGTGGCGGGGCTGCTGGTGTCGGTGCTGATCGTGCTGGCGGCGTGGCCGCTCCTCGCGTCGTCGGCGCGCAATCTGCTGCTGGGCATCCCGGAGACGGTCGAGTATAACCTGCGCAACACGCTTGCGGGGATTGCGCAGCAGCGCGGCGTCGTGGGCTATAGCGTGCCCAAGTTTTGGATGGATGAGGTGGCGGCCGCGGCGGGGCATGATCGTCACCACCATCAACATGAGCATAGCCACGACCGCGACCACGACCACGACCACGACCACGGCCACGGCCACGGCCACGATCATCAACATGAGCACCACAGCGCAAGCGGGGAGCGGTTGAGGGGCATCGTGCACGTGGTGGCCGCCAGGGGGGCGGGGCTGGACGACGTGCGGGACAGGGTGAGGGCGCACCTGGCGCAGCATGGCATGGATGTCGTGGTGCAGGTGGAGCGGGAAGGGGATGGGTCGTGCTGGTGCGGTGCTGGACGGTTGGCGCCGCCGTCGGCGACGGGGCTGCCGAGTCCGCGGGCTTTCTAGAGCGGGTGGGCAAAAAGCATCCCCGATTGTTGGTATGTGGGTTGGCGACTACCGCGGGTACATATCATGGGATTTTGATGCAGTGTGGGCTGAGGCGGAGGAGATGATTTCCGCTGATCGAGGGTGCATTGCATAGTAGAGTAGAGGGGGAGAAAGAAAACGCTATAGACGCACATGTCTTGTCTGCATTGACATTTTTGTCTGCTATTAGGAGTTCAATCGGGATGTTTACTTTTTGGAGGTGCCGAGTTGAGTTGGCCGACGCAAGGGAATTCAATGTGCATAGCTTATTCTTCCCAGTCGTTCGGCCGAAGCCGGATGATGCCACGGCACGGCATAACGATTGGTGATACACAATTTAATTTCTTTGCCTGAACAAGTCCGCCCGATCGCCCGCTAAGAGACGAGGGACCGCGATGATGGGAATTTACAACGTGGAACAGTTCTGCCCAGGCTTGCGGCGGAGGAGTGAATCTTCAGAGTACATTGGTAAGGTACCTTACCTTAGTTACAGAGTACGTTGTACCGGTTGGACCCCCACGCTACCTTAGACTCGGGGGAACAGGAAACGAAACACGGATACGGCTGTTCGTCAGGAGAGTTATTAAGAAGTAGGTCCCGAGCTGAGGTACCGAGTTATCCACCCCGTCGCTACGTAAACTCAGGTACCAGGGTACGTAGAGTACGGATGCCCGAGCTCGCTGTACACGTACAACGTACCTTAGGTAAAAGTACCTTAAGTAAGGTAACGTGTAACGGCCCAGGACAAAAGAGCCGAAAGACCGAGGCACGGCAAGCTTCGGCCGGACCAAAGCAACGTACCGCGACGAGGGCAAACGGAGGGACGAAGGTACCAGGGTTAACATTGGGGAAGCATCGAATTGAAAAACAACGAACGCTCCCGCTTTTCGTCTTTACATGTGATCCACGAAACTCTCTTTCTGCTACCTGACCCATCCCACCCGTACCTCCCAGTACCTCCTGTACCTCCTGTACCTCCTGTACCTCCTGTACCTCCTGTACCTCCTGTACCTACCTCCCGCGCACGCGACCAGATACACCTGAATATCTGCTCGCTTCACTGGGCCTTTCTTATTTTCCCCCTCACTTCTTCTCATTTTACTCTCGATACCACTTCCTATAGCTATTATACCGATTTCCCTGGATTCGAACGTTGGAAATTCAACGAGGCTACCATCTAAGGCTGTGACGTAACCAGCCTTTGAGACTTGAGACTCGTCCGCCGTTCAGCAGACCGACAGACCGACAGACCGACAACTTGCCGAAAACACATTCATCCCAATCCCTTCGAAATATCGCGACTCGACACAACGATAACAAAAGAGAGGGCAACGAAAAGCATCTTCGCCTCGCTTTCTCCTCCCCTCTCCCCTTTTCCTTCGCCTCGTCTTCTCACACCCTCTCCACAACTCAGCCAACATGGCCCCCTCAAGCGAATCCACATCCCTACCCTCCCTCCCGCAATCCAAAGAAGAGCTCAAGGCCGAGATCAAGGCCGAGTCGCAAAAGGTCGTCAGCGCCGGCTTCGCCCAAGTCCGCTCCTTGGCCGCCGGTGGTTTCGGCGGCGTCTGCGCCGTCATCGTCGGCCACCCCTTCGACCTCGTCAAGGTCCGCCTCCAGACCGCCGAGAAGGGCCTCTACTCCAGCGCCGTCGATGTCGTGAGGAAAAGCATTGCCCGTGATGGTCTCGCCAGGGGTCTCTACGCCGGCGTGTCCGCTCCTCTCGTCGGCGTCACTCCCATGTGTATGTTCTCCCTCCCTCCTTTTTTTTTTTCTTTTTTCCGTCTCCCCCGACAACCACTGACGAAAAGCCTACAGTCGCCGTCTCCTTCTGGGGCTACGACGTCGGCAAATCCCTCGTCCGCTCCTTCTCCCCCACCCAAGACCACTCCGCCCCCCTCACCATCGCCCAGACCTCCGCCGCCGGTTTCTTCTCCGCCATCCCCATGACCGCCATCACCGCCCCCTTCGAGCGCGTCAAGGTCATCCTGCAGGTCCAGTCCCAGAACCTGAAACCGGGCGAGAAGCCCCGCTACACCGGCGCCGCCGACGTCGTCCGCCAGCTCTACGCCGAAGGCGGCCTCCGCTCCGTCTTCCGCGGCTCCGCCGCCACCCTCGCCCGCGACGGCCCCGGCTCCGCCGCCTACTTCGCCGCCTACGAGTACATCAAGCGCCGCCTCACCCCGCGCGACCCCGCCACCGGATCCCCCACCGGCGACATCAGCCTCCTCGCCATCACCGCCGCCGGTGCGGCCGCCGGCGTCGCCATGTGGATCCCCGTCTTCCCCGTCGATACCGTCAAGTCCCGCCTCCAGACCGCCGAGGGCCCCGTCTCCATCCGCGGCGTCGTGGGTGACCTCTACGCCAGGGGTGGCTTGCGCGCTTTCTTCCCTGGCTTCGGCCCCGCGCTGGCCCGCGCTGTCCCTGCTAACGCGGCTACCTTCCTCGGCGTCGAGCTGGCGCACCAGGCCATGAACAAGGCTTTTGGTGGCTAGGTGGGAGACGGGAGGGAAATTAGAAAGAAAAAAGAGAAAAGAACAAAAAAAAACCCCGAATTTCAAAGTGAAGAAGAAGGAGGAGATTAGAAGGATATATATACAGGCATTTTTTTTTTCTTTCCACTTGGGAAAGCGTTGCCTGCCAGATTTCGTGCAGATGGGGGAACGCATACCGAGCATCATCCGCATGTGCGCTTTTTTTTTATGTTCTCCCATTAGAGACTAGGTTCGCAGAGCCATATACCATTGGAATGAGAATGGAGCCCTTAAAGACGTGTCCCTCAGCCATGTCATCTCGTCATTTATGAGTTGTGATTGTTAACTTAACCATCCCCTCCGGCAACCTTTTTGCGCATCACATTCAGATAGAATCGCAACACATCGGGTATTCCTGTCCATGAATAACCGTACTCCAAACGACCCTCAACGCCGTCAATTTGCCTCCCAGGCAGCCGGCCAAATACCGATACCAAAAGATCACGACCAAAAAAAAAAAAAAAAAAAAAAAAAAAAAAAAAAAAGGAATTCTCCGCTACAACCCCCACAGACCCGTCGAAAACATCACCGCCGGCCTCGCTGCCTCCAACTTCCGCTCATTCCCGACATCCAGAGACCGCACCGTCTCGCCCGCCTTGTCCTTCTGCGGCGCGTCTGGTGCCTTCGGAGGATCCGCATCCCCGTCCTCCGCCGACGCCGATTTCACACTAAACCTCCGCGTGCCGTCGAAATCGGGAAACATGTCGTCCTCGTCGTCTTCTTCTTCGTCCCTCCGCTTCCCCAGGAGGGACGACGCGCCGCCCGTCGGCGTCCACAGGCTAGGCACCGCCGACCTGGCCTGCGGCGACGTGAAGCTCGTGGCCCCGCTGCCGACCGTGATCCCGTTGTACAATCGCGGCGGCGCAGGCGTGTACGTGGCCGAGGGTTTCCGCGCGCCCCCGAGATGGGCGCTGGCAGAGTTGCTCCTACTCACTGTGCAGCCCAGATCCGGATAACTAAGACCGCCGCCGCCGACACCACCACCCCCGCCGGTGGCCGGATACGACGAGTTCATGGTGGAGACCCGGCCTCGACAGCCGAAACTGGGATGTGGGTGAGGGTGCGGGTTGAATCCCGGGTTGGACGAGACGGACGGGTGGCGGCACATTCCGGAGCTCGAAGAAACGCTGAGATTCCGAAGGTGCTCATTGCTGGCCTGGATCTTGAGGTCGTAGTGTTGATCAACAGGCACTTTGGCCTGCGTTTCCACGTCGGCTTCGGCGCCGGATGATGGGTCGAGGAACTGGCCATCGGGTCCAATGATGACGGGGTCGTCGTTCTTCCGACGGGCCATCGTCAAGGTAGCGACGCCGACATCCATCAGCACGGGCTGGCGGGTGATGGCGCCGATCATGGCGTTACAGCCGGCGCCGTGGGAGACCAGGACGACGACCGACTCGGCTTCTTCTTCGTCGGCCTCGATCTGGAGAGGCTCGTAGGCCTGGGACGTGCCCAGCAACGGAGACGCCGCGCTGAGCTTGGTGACGAGGTTGGTCGGATCGTCGGTGGTCGTCGCGTACCAGTCGACAAGACGTTGAAGCCCGTTTCGGAAGCGGCGGTGCATGGTGATCCACTCCTCTCCATATTCGCCGCCGTCCCCCCAGGACCACGGGTGCTGCGACGTGTCCCACTGGTAGTCGGGGGCCGTGCAAGCATCGCGGGCGTGCGCCACATAGCCGTCGGGAATCTTCTTGTTGGTGGAAGCAGCGTAGTGAGGGATGGGCGCGACATAGCCGCCGGTGTCCTCCTGTTCTGCGGAAACGGCCGTCCTTTGGCTCGAGCTGCTAGCCGCACTATCGGCTCGTGTTCTGCCGAAAACCGAGGCCATGGCCGGGGTAGTAAGATCCAAGCCGAGACCGACGGAGCCATTCGAGTCCATCGAGTCGGTCCTCTCGAGAGTCGGGGCCGAGACGAGACTGCTCCAAAGCTTATCGCGGCCCTGCGACGTCGAGCTGGAGTGCGGCCGAGGCGGGATGGCCTCTTTGCGCAGAAGGGCAACTTTGGCAGCAGCAAGCATCTGGGCAGAGCAAGGAGGTCGCGTAATGGACTCGAAATATTCGGGGTTGAGCCATTCTCCGAGGAAGGCATCGATGCGCAGGGGCGTCTTCTGTATTTTCTTCTCGGGCTCCTTGGGGAAGCCTTCTTGCAGCGAGAGTTTGCTTAGAGAGTCGGTGGCGGTAGCGGTAGCGGTAGCGGCAGCGGTAGCAAGCGGGGGTTGTGTGGCTTGGGAGGCGGTCGAAGAGGGGATCGGGGTGGCGAGGCCGGCGGTGATGCCAATGGAGGTTTGGACACATCGCAGGAAGGGCGAGGTGTGGACGACGACGCGGAACTTCTTCCGCTTCTTGTGGATGCCGGCGGCGCGAGCCGCACGGGACGCTTGTTCGGACTCGGCTTCGGCTTCGCGGAGGATAGCGGCAACCCTAGCACCGACAGCCTGGGCTTGCCGCCAGCCGCCATAGGTCAGAGGTGGATCGTATGGGTTCTGGGCGGAAAGGTGCCATGATTTGTCGGCTTGATCGAGGCGGGCTCCGTGCCTGTCACGAAGAGCTGTCAGTCCGAGCCGCCCATTGATTGCGATAAAAAGGGCTATAGGTGAACTGCAGTATCACGGAAGACCAAAGACCAACCTCACAACAAAGATATAGGCGGGAGGCTTCCCCATGGTTGGAAGGACAAGAATAGGAGGGAGTGAGATGCAATATGCGAGATGCGCGAGGCAATAATCTCTCCGGGTCGACCTATCGGGGTGTTACTTTCGGATACCACTGGGCGAAAGCAAATCTTCTATCCGCGCGAGTGTTGATCTGTACTGAGAGACGTGTTCTGGATTTCGTAGGAGAGTCTGATTGGCTTCCCCGTCGAGAAGCTGTTGGCAAGCCAAGTTCTGAGCCCCAACAGCTACAACGGAGATGGAGGGGCAGACGAGAGGTCGGAATCGAGATGCGAGAGGACTGCGAAGAGCGGTGGGAACCTGATGATTTTGCACAAAAAGGTCAGCGTCCGGGACAAAGGAGCGAAGGCTTCGTCGATACCTACGCAAGGGTATACCGGGCGGATTGGATTGGTTTGTGTGGGTGGAAGAGGGTAGAACAAACAGCAAAGGGTGAGCTGTTGCGTTTGGGAGCTCGCGGCAACAGCGTACGAAGTAGATCGAGAAGGAACAAGAAACGACTCGTATCAACGAGCTATGACCTTGAGACCTTGAGTAGTCCTCTCTGACCGCAAGGAGCGGGAAGACGAGGATGAGAGGAATGCAAGGCTTGAAAAGAGGAGAAAGTGTTTGGAGAGAGAGAGTGTGTGTGTGTGTGTGGAGGGACTGGGAAACTCTCATGAGGTAAGTGTCCCAAATGATGTACAAAGAAAGAAAAGTACACAATACGATACGAATAATGACAGGCAGTGTCGTAGTGGTGCAATGCGGGGAATTTACCTCTGCAGGACTGAGGTACCTATAGCAATTCAAGGTACCTACGTGCTAATGGAAGAGACATGACATGTGATGTACTACCTAGGTACCTACGTCCCACCCGTCTTTTGGACCCTGGCAGGAACTAGCCGGGGCATGATGAAGCTTGTCTTTTTCTTTCTTTTTCTTTTCCTCTCACATGCCACGCAGAGGCCCATTTTCCCCTAAGCTTAAGGCCGCCCACCCAGTTTCCTGGCGGTGATACCGTCGGAGATGAAGGAAAATAATGACAATCATAATAAATTAAAAGAAATCTTTACGACACCTTATTTCCCAAGCCTCTGCTCATCATTTAAACTACCTTGCGGAATAATGAGTTACAGCCTGGCTACGCTATGTACAGAAGGTACACACACTTACACCAGCTCCAAGAGGGCATTTGAGAGAACAAATACAGAGTCTCTACTCGAAGCGAAATGCTTATGTAGGTGCCCCATAGAACAGTCATAAAAGTGCGGGCAAAATCATCCATTGCCCACATGATCGTGCCAAATGACCTCCTTAACCAGGGGTCTAGCCCGTCGTCCTTAGCGCTAGGAGCTGGTCGCTGTTTGGAGGTTGCCACTCACTCGGATTTTGGGGACGGCAACCGCGTATTGATTTCATGGTGTTGGTACCTACGTACTTGGTAATGTCGTATCGTGACCTTTGTCGAACAGACCATAGTCTTTTCGGTTACGTAATGGGCCGGATTGCTAAGAGTATAATCCGGGTGGACGCTTGCAGAATCTGCACTACCTACCCGGGTTTGGGGGGGTATAGGACAGAGCCCGATAACTGGTCAATCTGTCAACAGTCTTAGAACATCATGTCGACAGAAATTTCTCTGTCCTGGCTCTGGTCAGAGCAAAAGTCTCTGTCCGAGCTCTGACCTAGAAACCCCCCCTCCCGGGTAGGTATATAAAATACGGTGGCAGCGTTTCCCTGACGGTCGGAGATAGTTATAATTGTATATAATTGCCTTAATTAATTTTGGCCTATTTTGTGACGATTTTGACTACGCTTTATCTGATAATTAAGAGTCTTACTTACTAAGTGAAGATATATCTATTTTTACCTACCCTTTTACTACTATTACTGATTTAAGAAGTTATTTAGCTATGCCGATATAGCGTATTAATCTATAAATAACTATTAAGATATCGCAACTTAGCCCTGTTACGTATAAAACCTATAAGGATTAGGAGCTCTGGCGATGCCTGTACGAATCGGTTACGACCTATAATAACGTGTGGAGGTTTCTCCGCCTAGTCGATCCGACTTAGTTACCCGAGGAGCCTATAATACCGAATTAGGACTCTTTCCCCTCTATAACGCCTAGGCATACCCCTATATAATATCTTAATCTTACGGACGCCGGCCAGAAGGCGTACGATGTCGAAATCGCGCGCTGGAAGATCCTATAAGCGTAATACGATAGCTACCTAAAAGGGATTAACGCTATACTAACCTGGCAGGTTAATACTATCGACTAAAGCCGTAGATAACTCCTACGAGGAGGTATACCTCGCGAGGTATATAAAGCCGTTAAACGCGATACGGATTAGTACCTGGCTACCTGTTAAACCGATACCTATAAAGAGTATATCGAGTATACCCATTACCCTGCGAATAGCCTTAAGAAGCTCGGGGAGTGGTTAGATAAGTGGTAGCTACTACTATAAAGCTATAAAGATACCGGTTCGAAGCCCGCCATGTATATATATGTTATAGACTTCTTTAGAGGCATACGCCCCTATACCGGCCGCGATTAGACTAAGGCCGAGGGTCACCTAGTAGATAACTAGGTAGTTATACCCGAAGACCTTTACACTCTTAGCTAGAAGTATATTAATACTAGACTTAAAGACTAAGGAAAACGCGGCAGCCACCGCGCTATAGTATTCCCTATACTATATACTAGAAGCGAAGAGGGTAAAGATACCTTAGAGGCCACGGCTAAGCCTCGTAAGAAGGGCGGCCGTAGGAAGAATAAAGCTAAGAATCCCACTGCCGCGGTATCTATAGCTATACCTTTAGCTGTTTTAGCTGCTTTACCTGCTTTAGCTAACCGTTCCTCTTCTAAACGCCGCTAATCTACTCTATAGAGAGGTTAGATCTGCCGCGTATATGCTATGCCTGGCCACGATATTAACGCCTGCTTCTATCTATTCCCAGATACGGTATATAACGATTAGAAACCCTTCGAGAGCACTAAAATAACCGTCTAACGGATCCTTAAATACGACCCCTTACTACGCGCGGAAGTAGAAGAACTACGCGCCGTAAAGAAGGTGAAGAAGGATATAAGCCGGGACTCTGTATAGCTTAAAGAGGCGTGACTTAACTATAGTAGCGTCCGTAGCGGCGTCTCCTACGCCGCCACCTTTACGGCTAGTATTACTACTAGTTACCCTCTTCGAACCTCTGCTATCCTTAATTCCGGCGCTACTATTTATATATTTAACGATTTTTCCCGTTTTTCTGATTTTATACCCGCCACGTAGGGGGACTACGTGGTAGCCGGCAGTTTGTCCCTGCCTATTAAAGGTTACGGTAACGTGACTATAAGATTAAACGGACTAATAGGAGGCCTTGATTTTAGGCTATTAAACGTCGTATACTACGAGGATTTTACTTATAATTTAATCTCTAACTAACGCCTACGTCTTCGAGGATATTAGTGAGATTAAAAGCCACTAAATAACTATATTCGGCGTTTCGATAGATCTATACTATACTAGCTAAGTCACCGTTTTAATTAAACTGTTATTAAATACATACCCTGTAACTAATCTACGGCTGCTTTTGTAGGCTTTTCTTCCACCCGAAAAGCTATCCATAAATCGACGATACGCTATCTAAGTACTACGGAGGGTATCATATAGTATCTATGACTAGGGCACGCTGGCCCTAAACCGCTTAGGCACCTAAAAGAGTAGACGTAGGGGGTTAAAATAAAGGGACTAATAACTATCGACTATAAGGCCTACGAGCTTATAAAGATTAAACGGTATATTAGTAGGCGCCCTCGCACCGTACCTGCTTACGTAGGAGAGCGATAGGCAATTGATTTCACGGATTTTGAACGAATATCCGACGGGGACTCGAGGTTTATATTTTTCACCGACCGTTATAGTGGTTTTATAGCCACCTACGTTATAAAGAGTAAGCTAGTAGTGGATATCTTCGTAATAATTAAGGAATTCCTCGCCTAGGTGGACCACTAATTAGACTATAAGGTGCGCGTTTTTAAATCTAATAATAAGCTAACTTAATCGCACGATATCACCTAATTTCTACGTGGCGAGGGCATCCTTTTAAAGGTATCTGCTACCGATACTTAAGTATAGAACGGGGGTGCTAAACGCGCTGCTGCCGTGGTTATTTTAAAGGGTCGTGCGATAAATATCCACGTAAAACTACCGCTATTTATATAGCCTAAGGCTATTCCCACAGCGGTATACGTCTATAACCGGACGTCATAAAGGCAGTATAATAATAAGAATTAGAAAACACTACATAAGGTCCTCTTTAGAAGGAAGCCGATTTTATTATATCTTCGAGCTTACGGCTATAAGGCGTACGCGATAATAAAGAACGCCTAAAAGGGCGTGAATAAGCTATTAAACCGTATCGCTCTCCGCGCCTATATCGGCTACCTTATCGGTTACGATTCCACTAATATTTTCCGTATCTGGGTGCCTAGTCTACGCCGCTATAACCGCGTTATTCGAACGCGCGATATGGATTTTAACGAACGCGCCTTCTTTAACGGCGATATTGCTACCTTTAAAGATAACCTCCGTTAATTAACCGAGGAATAATTAGAAGATCTAATTAGTTAGATTAAGTAGGAGAGGGCTGGAGATTTATAGCCGTTTATGGGCGTATAAGCTAAGGACCCCCCCCTTTATATAACTGCTTATTTTGAATTATTAGATCCGAGCCCCCGGATCCCCTTCCTTAACGGCTTTACCGTTAAGGTTATAGTCCGTAATACCCGGCCGTAAGGGGGTAGAGGAGGCTATCTTGAGTTAATTAGGATAAGATTTAGGTCACGAATAGTATAATTTAGCCGGTATAGCGCCTAATCACCGTCTATATCCGCCTAATCCACTACTTCCTACTTTAAAAGTAACCCCGTTATCAGTTATAGCGCTAATAGTAGCCGTTATATTAGGAAACCATAATACCCCTATAGCCGTAGGGTTCTAGGATAACAGAATACAGTGCTACGATACCTCTATAGCTACGGCTATAGGGCTCCTATTAAACAAAGGAGCGTAACTTATTCGGTAAGAAGATAGCTAGAAAAGAGACTATTAGGTTATAGTATTTAATACTAGCCGTTACGCACCTAATATATATATATTAAATAGAACTCCGCTAACTAAATTACGGTTAAAAAGGTCTACGCCTATAGCGTTATAGCGACGCTTAATAATACCCCGTGAATCCACGGCCCCGGCGGTAGCTACCGGAAATATATCCCGGGAGGCTATCTCGAGAAATATAACCCCGGCGGTTACCCCGGCGGCTATAAAAATCCACCGTAAAGACCTCCCTCCTCCTCTAAAAAACCCTCGCGATATACCCTCACACTCTTATAGCCACTTATTCCGATAAGTATAAGAAGACTACCTACGGAGCTATAAGGAGATAGGGTCGTAGATACGGGTGCCGGCGTCCGTAGTAGATAGATATTAGGTTCTTAATTCGATATAGGTAATAATATATAAATTCGATAAGTATAGATTTCTATATAAATATAAGGTAAGGCTTATAGTATAAGGAGATTAGTAGTATGAATCCTTACTTAAGGAGATATACGTAGTAATACTAGCCAGACGGTTATTCCGCGCGTTAATAGCTATCGTCGCCCGATTCAACCTTACGCTATTATAATTTAACGTTATAAACGCGTTTATACACGCGCCCCTCCCCTATAATATCTTTATATACCCGCTACTAGGCTTTCTAGCCCCTAGGAGTTTTTTTTATACCTGAAAAAGGCGTTATATAGACTTAAGGAGTCTTTACTGCTTTAGTAAAAGCACTTTTCGGCTATCCTTTTAGCGGACGGCTTCTAGATAGTGCTATAAAAACCGTGTTATTTTCTACGCCGTGGTTTAATCCTATTCTTCTACGTTAACGATATCGTTATTACTTATAAGAGATAATATAAGGCGTAGATAGAGTAGGCCGTTAATAACCTATAACGCTACTATAACCTATAAGGTAGCGATCCTCTATAGTAGTTTCTTAGTATTAAGGTTATTCGCGACCGCGTCGCCCGTAAATTCTAGCGATTATAACGCGACTATATTACTAAGTTAGAACGCCTATTAAAGCCGAATAGTAAGTATAGTAGTAACTATCGCCTAATGCACCTTATTAAGGTTATAGAGCTACTACCCTATTTAGGAACCTTGACTAGCGTTAAAAGCTATTAACGGAAGATAGGTTCTATACTATATATAGTAGTGATATCACGGCCTAATATCGCGTTTATAGTATCCAGGCTATATCGGTTTAACGTTAATCTAGGGCCTATTTACTATAAGGCCGCCGATTATCTAATCCTTTATCTAATTAATAGCTAATCGTTTACGTTAGAACTAGGGGGTAGCGATACTATCGAAATCTACACTAACGCCTTATTTACCGATAATACTCTTAATCGAAAGAGCAGTTAAGCGTACGTGATACGCTTATTTAGCAGTATAATAGCGTAGCGCGCTAATAAGTAGAATACGGTTATAACGTCTATAATAGAAGCAGAGCTATTAGCGTTAGTATAAGGTATAAAAGAGCGTATCTTTATATAATGCCTATTACTTAGTATAGGAGTGGAATTTAACGATCCGGAATTAAGGATCTTATACGATAATAACTAAACGATTCGATTAGTTAATTAAGAGATTAGCACGTTAATAACACGCCTCCGCTATATCGATATCTACGGCTACTAGTTATATTAAGTAAAGGAATAAGGGTAAATACTCGTAACGTACGTTATAAGCGCGGAAATAGTAGTAGACGGATTAACGAAGGCGTTATACGGTGAGAAATTTAAGATATTTAGGTCCTAGGTAGGTGTGATAGATATACAGGAACGATTATAACAGAAATAGCTAGAGGAAGTCCGGATAGAATATTTAGAGGACTTAGAGGATAAATTTAAGGGCGGCTATAGCGAATAGATTATATAGCTGGATTATCTGCCGATTACGAATAGTTTTAATCGCCTAACTAACGTTTAGGGCGATTAAGAGGTATATCGAATAGACTATAGTCTTTTCGGTTACGTAATAGGCCGGATTACTAAGAGTATAATCCGAGTGGACGCTTATAGAATCTACACTATATAAAATACGGTGGTAGCGTTTCCCTAACGGTCGGAGACAGTTATAATTATATATAATTGCCTTAATCAATTTTGACCTATTTTGTGACGATTTTGACTACGCTTTATCTGACAACCTTCGATACCGCGACCCTCGGTTCCCGGGCCGTCCAAATGGCCGGCATCGGAGCTGCTTTTCCTCCGACTGTCGAGTCGTCTGTAGGTACGTCGTACGAAGTATTGCTTTGTATGAATAAGACGATGAATGGCCACCGGCCGATCGACAATGGCGTCACGTAATTACAGTAAATCCGTCAAACATTTAATATTCGTAGAATGGACGGGATGACTTGGCACGGATAAAGACGAAATACCAGGCCGAGTTTAAGGCGACTCAGATACCGTATGACCAGTTGGTCGCAGCTTGGCATGCGTCTTACTCGGACACGGAAATTTGTCTCGCCCGAGTTGTGAGACTATACGGGCTGTGGATGTACGATGACACCGTAGGTCCTCTGAAATCTAAGGTAACCTGCAAGCATTCTTGGGGTACCTTTTCCTGCGAGGGACTCGATCAAGTCCACAAGGAGCCAATTTGAATCCTTAAGGTATCTGATCCGAGACCTCGGTGTTGGAAGGTGTACTTCGGTGTGATATGATATGACATGTAGAAGTGGTCCGTGCATCCCCAGACTGAGCTACCTATGGACCTTAATCATCAGCCAATCATTGGATTTGTCATGATGCACCATGCAGAAGGGATGCACCTCTTCGGACTCATGGTCGTCTCCCTTGTTCGACACGTCAGGCGCCCCCCCCCCCCCCACGTTAAGGTAATACCTAACCGAACGTCGCTCGTTTTTTTGTTCCTCCTCCTACTCAAGTGTATTTTCGATTACACCTCCATCGATCGCCCTTGATTTCCCGTCCAAGTCCAGTCCGTTGCCATGAGGATAGGTGACCTCCTCCGGCTCCCCGTCCTCCTGGCGGCGGCCGCCCTCCCGCCGACCAGTCTCGCCGAACACACCAGCAACTGGGCCGTCCTGGTCGGCACGTCGCGCTTCTGGTTCAACTACCGCCACATGTCCAACGTGCTGTCCATCTACCGCACGGTCAAGAGGCTGGGCATCCCCGACTCGCAGATCATCCTCATGCTCCCCGACGACATGGCCTGCAACCCGCGCAACGCCTTCCCGGGAACGGTGTACAGCAACTCGGACCGCGCCGTCGACCTGTACGGCGACAACATCGAGGTCGACTACCGCGGCTACGAGGTCACCGTCGAGAATTTTATTCGTCTGTTGACCGACCGCGTCGGCGCCGAGATGCCGCGGAGCAAGCGGCTGCTGACCGACGACCGGAGCAACATCCTCATCTACATGACCGGGCACGGCGGCAACGAGTTTCTGAAGTTCCAGGACGCCGAGGAGATTGGTGCGTTTGATTTGGCGGATGCCTTTGAGCAGATGTGGGAGAAGAAGAGGTGAGTTTTTTCTTTTTTTTTTTCCTTTTTTTTCCCTTCTTTTCTTTCTTTTTTTTTTTCGGATTCCTTGTCTTTTTCTTTTTTCTTTTTCCTGACAACCCTTCACCATCTTCCTAGGTACCACGAAATCCTCTTCATGATCGACACGTGCCAAGCGAACACGATGTACAGCAAGCTCTATTCCCCCAACATCATCGCCACCGGCTCCTCCAAGCTCGACCAGTCCTCCTATTCCCACCACGCCGACCAGGACGTGGGCGTGGCCGTGATCGACCGCTTCACCTACTACAACCTCGAGTTCCTCGAGAACCAAGTGCAGGACATGAGCAGCAAGAAGACCCTCGGCGAGCTCTTCGACAGCTACGACTACGAGAAGATCCACTCCAACCCGGGCGTGCGCTACGACCTGTTCCCGGGCGGCGAGGAGGCCGCGCGCAGCCGTCGCATCACCGATTTCTTCGGAAACGTGCAGAACGTCGAGGTCGACCGCGTCAAGAGCCTCGCGCTGGACGAGGAGCTGCTGGAGCTGAGCCGGACGATCGCGGCTCTGCGGCGGAAGGCGGATGAGGAGGACGCGGCCGCGGCGGAAGCGGAAGCGGCCCTGCGGAATGCGACGGTCGCCGCTGCGAACGAGGGACGACCGCCGCCGCGGACCGAGATGAGGAGGGTGCAGCTTGCTAAGCCTCTGACGGAAGAGAACTGGTGGACTAGGAAGATTGTGGGTGCCACGGCCCTGGCTGGCTGTGCGGCTCTCTGGCTTTTGGGGTCTTATTTCGAGCCTGGGAGGAAACGGGATGGGCTGGTTGGGAGGAGTAAAGAGGCTGTGGTTGATGGGACAGCCAAGTCTGGACCATAGGGACAGGAGCATATAAACTATAGGGGCTATCAGGGGCGCATTCTATTTCGTTGAAGGGAGTTGGGCAACGTCTGGTCCTACGAAGTAGGATACCTAAGGTATACACTACAGTACGGCGTACGGAGTATTAAGGTAGTGTACGTTGTACACTACCGTACCAGGTACCGATGTTTATCCGATTGACTTCTAAGAATTACCTTATTAATTAGGTACATTCGCACTTACACTGGACTGGCTCTCCATTTCTTCAGTACATCGAGTGAATTTCATCATGATACCTTGAAGGCTAAAGATTAAGAGAGAACTCTCTGTAAGGCATATACCTTAGGCAACTCTCTCTCGCCTCCTTTCTCGAATCCTCAGGCTTTCCAAATGTACAGCGACATGGATGTGTCTGTTATCAGTAACTTGCAATGGATCACATTACGGTGAGCAAACCTTCATCTCTTACATCCTCTGTACCTTCACTTCACTCCACTATGACCATTACTCTCAGGCATATGAGATATATCTTTTTGTCGGCGATTCGACAGCTGCTTCACCTACTTGGTCGAGGCGTACTGTACTGACGGAAAAGACAACCAGGTCCCGCTTCTGGCCACAGTCACCCTGAAATCTCGGCCTCTCAACCCGCACTCCCTCGCCATCTCTTGCGATGCTGAGCTGGCCGTTGCCGCCGACGACTCGGTCCATATTCTGCTCCCCGAGTTTCCCGTCCCCACCGAAGACCCGGACCTCATCCGGGCCCGTCAGAGAAAAGGAGCAGACGACGAGAACGACGAAGACGCCGACTCGGACGGCTACCAGACCAAGCAGTACCATACCTACCGCACCCAATTCGCCACATCCAAGAAACCCGACCCCCGCGCCAACCTCAACCTTTTCGAGTCCGCCGGCATCCGGTTTCCCCCGAGCGAGTCGTCCGAAGAGCCGCAGCAGCAGCAGCCGTACTATGGCGTAGGCAAGAGCCTGCCCACCGGCTGGGGTTCGGCCATCAGCCAGACCGTTTCCCTGGCATGGTCTCCCACCGGCCTGGGCTACAACCTGCGGCCCGTCCTGGCCATCCTGCTCACCAACGGGTCGATCGTCGTGTGCGGCCAGGACCCCGCCGCCGTCGTCGCGGATGGCGGCGAGGGCGTTAAGACTTTCGATGCCTGGCGGCTGCTCTGGGCCGTCGGCGATACGTATCCCCTGCCTGACCGGAAGGCGAGGGGCGGGAGCCACCTGCCCAGGGACAAGATCATGGCTTTCTCGTGGGCGCACGAAATCGCCCCCGGACGGGCCCTGCTGGCCTATCGCAGCCATAGGGAAGACCTTGCCATTCTGCGGGTCGATTTTTTCGAGTCGGACAGGTTCAAGGGTCGTCCCTCGCCTTGGGCCTGGAGGGTCGAGGAGGTGGCGAGATTCAAGAATGACGGACCGCATCCCCCCATCGACGTGAGTCTACTGAGTCTCCCATCTTCTTTTCAACACGGGAATGGAAAAGGGGCAACCGAGTTGATGGTGAAAATAGGTCATGCATCCGGATTTCGTCCCGCACGGTTCCGCGTTCGGACTGAAATGGAGCCCCTGGCTACTTGAGGGTGATAAAAGGATCTCCATTCTGGCGCACCACGCACGTAGCTACGTCGGCTTTCGGCGTATCACCGTCCCGGTGAACTGGGAGAGGGGCCAAAGAGTGTCTGTTACGGTGGAAGAGTTCGACCTCCTGGGGATCTGCGTCAACCTCCGACCCGAGTCGTTTGTCGAATGGGAAGACGCAATCTGGACCGTCGGCGACAAGAAGATTTGCCGGGGCGTCATCGCCACGCCATTTGAAGCCAAGCCGTTTCGCATCGTCGTGAACGCACCGGCACCAGCTCGTGAGGCTCTCCCCACGCATCCGACCCATGTCTGCAAGACCACCTATCCCGAAGATTGCATGTCTAGCAATCCCATCACCGGTCTCATCATCTACCCCCCTGAAAACGGCAGCGATCATTCCAGCGGGCCCTATTATTCCCTCGTCCGCATGTCCGCGATAGGGAGCAACACGAACTGGTTCCAGGAAAACAAACCACTGCTGCCCACCGAGACCCTCGCAGATGACGACCACCAGCAGGACCAGGACGCAACGGCATCATCATCATCATCATCATGCATGCCACAATGGGCCGAGATCATCGCCAACACGGTCAACCAGTCTATCCCCAAAGCCTTGGCGAGCCGCCGCCACCACGACTCGGACAGCGAAGGGGGCGACGAAGAAGACGGAGTGGGACAAGCGGAGCTCGGAGACATCGACGCGGAGGGGGAGGAGGACGACGAGGAGGACGACGAGTTCGATTTCGATGATCTTGATGAGAACACCGAGCTTGTGAACCCGTGGCGCGTCCGCATTTGGGATCTCGCCGCCTGGCCTGGCGGTGGCATGACGGCGGTCCTCATGTCGCAGCACAGCACTCTCGGGCCGGAGACGAAGATTCGTACCAAGGTCCTTTTCGCGCCTTGCTCGCGTCGGAAGAAGGGGGTGGATCATGGCGGTGGCGGCGGTGGCGGCGGCGATGCGGCCGTCACAACCGTGAGGCGTCTGACCACCGAAGCCCGCATGTGGGAGTGGATGTACGGAGGCGGACCGCCGGTACCCGGTACCGTTACGAGCGGAGATGAGGTGGTCATGCCGCAGGATCTGGCGCTGCGGGAGGCGATCAAGCCCGTCATTGAGGCACAACGGTGTCTCTTCTGCCAGGGAGTCCTTTCGGATACAGGACGCTACTCTGTTTGCGAGATGAAGCACTCGTTCGGTACGTCGTCTTTCCAATTTACTACGCCGTTCTTTTTTTTCTTCCTTTTTTTCCTTTCTTCTTTTTTCCTTTTCTTTTCTTCTTCTTCTTTTTTCTTCTTTCTTTTTCTTTTTCTTCCTTTCTTTTCCATCCTACCTCATCCTGCCATTGTTCCCCTATTCCCCTGTTTTGATTGCTAAAGTGCTTTATTTGTCGCAGCTACCTGCTCCGCAACCGGCTTGGCCATCCTTGCACCGGGCATCTCGCGTGCTTGCGGCGTCTGCGGTCGTCGGTGTCTTACGGTCTCCAAGATTCGGGAGGCGGCTGAGAAGCAAGGCGTCAGTCTTGACGACAGTAGGTCGTTTGGGGAAGCCTGTGGGATTTGTGGAGGGAAGTTCATTGCTTGATCCAGCCCTACTTTTTCTTCTTCTTTTTTTCTTCTTATGCCTGGTCTTTGTTCACCCAGAGCGTTCATGTTCCCAAGATGGGCTACCATTAGCATAGGGTCGGGAGACATTCCCCGAGACTACCGAGTTGTCATAAAATGGGGGCCATTGAAGGTCATGTGGGTGGTATGTAGCCTCTAATATCATCATATATATCATTTATATGTTCTTGATGCCCAAATTCCCCCAACCAAACAATCATCCTGATGTCTACCACGCTGTGATGTCCTCCACCTCAGCCTCTCCAAAGGTACTGCTCTTGGTCAACTTCCCCACCCCTTCCTCCACCTCCTCCGCTCGCCCTTCTTTACTCATGATATCAGGCAGCGTCTCCTTCAAAAAGTCCAACACGTACCGATTCACCTGCTCGAACTGCAAAAGGAAAGCATCGTGTCCCTCCGGGCTGTCTATACGCTCGAGCCTCGCGTTCCGGATGTGCGCCGCCAGCTCCTCCTGCTCGGCGAAGGTGAAGAGCCCGTCGCTCTCGATGCCGAGCACGAGGGTGGGCTGCTCGATCACGGCCAGGCCCTCGGCCACTGTCGGGGCTCTGTCGCGCGACACGTCGTGGGTGTCCAGTTTGCGCGTCATGGCGATGTAGCAGTTGCTGTCGAAGCGCTTGACGAACTTTTGGCCCTGGTACCGGAGGTATGACTGGGCGGAGAAGTAGGTCGATGTCGGGAGCTTTTCGCCGCCTGTCAGGCTGGTCTCGGTCTGTGGGCCGTGGAACTGGGGGTCTGCCGAAACGGCCTGGTGGGTGGGGGATGACGGCGAGGACGATCCGTTCCTCGTGTCCCCGTTGGCGTTGGCGTTGGCGTTGGCGTTGGCGTTGGCGTTGGCGTTGGCGTTGGCGTTGGCGTTGGCGTTGGCGTCGGCGTCGGCGTGGGTGTTGGCAGTCACAAAGGATGTTTGGCTGTTGTGGCGAGATAAGCCGGCCCGCGACACCCTGTGGCCGTCGTTGTGGATGTGGAAATGGGCCTCGGACGGGGTGGTGGGCCTCGGCCTCTCGCGGATGGTCTGCCGCCTGGACGGGTCGGGGATGTTTCGGCCGAAACGGGCCTCGAAGGAGTTGCGACTGCGGTAGGTCAATAGGGCCGACATGCGGGCGGCGCCTAGACCGGTGGAGGGCGGGTCTTCGAAGGTGTAGTAGCCGTCTTCGTACTTGGGGTCTGCGTAGATGCTCTGGCGCTGTGCTTCGCCCCAGCTGATGCCCCAGGCGCTGTGTCGACTCGATGTGGCAATGGGAACGATGGACCGGACGTACGCCTTGCCCAGGTAAGCCCATTCCAGGACGAACATGCCGCCAAGGGAACCGCCAATGACGGCGGCAACCTGCTTGACTCCCAGATCGTCCAGTAGCATCTTGTGTAGCCTGAAGGAGGTTTAGCGGGGGGTTGGGTCAGTTCAGCCCTCTGTCTCTCATCACGTCACCGTAGCTGCTGTGGCATCCCTTCCCTATCTTCCGTAATTTACTCACCTGACGTCATCTCTAATGGTTGTGAGAGGAAACTCGGGGCCATAGCGGCCCTTGGAGGGGTCGCCATCCTTGGCGGTGACAGGGCTCGCCGTCCCGTAAGGACTACCCAGACTGTTCATGCACACTATGAAGAAGCGCGAGGTGTCGAAAGCCTTCCCGGGACCTCCGAGGAGGGGTCCCCACCAGTCACCGACGTCGGCGCTCCCAGTCAAGGCATGACAGATGACCATGGCATTGTCGCCCTGGGGAGACAGGGTGCCTCTTGTGGTGTAGGCCACGGGGACATTTCTAAGAGTGACGCCGGACTCGAGGGTGAAAGACGGGATGATGGCTATCTCTTGGTCGGGGATGAGAGTAGCAAAGGGGTTCTCGGGTTGAGACTGGGTTCTTTCTTGGACGTATTCAGCCACTGTTGTTGGAAAGGGTCGTAGGAGGATATAATGAAAGGACAAAGGGCGAAAGGGCGAAAGGGGTCATGGGGAGAGGTATAAGGTACAGAGAGACAGGGAGAAAGAAGGTGAGGGGGAACAAATCGTGACTTTGTACTGACCATATTTGGGCCGGTTTTCGGCCTTGAGCTCCGTCGCAGCCATGACGCAGCCTAATTCTTTACTTTAGGGAAAAGCCACACCCGTGCTGGTGTATCGGTAGTTTGAATCGGTAAGACAAGGAGCACTCTTGAACTTGGAATATCGAGCCTTTTTACACCTCATAATTCTTTGAGTCATTTGTGAAATCCTGGGGGGAGAAGGGTATGACTGCTCTGGAGGTCGTTGTAAAAAGACGTTCAAACTGGGGAAGCGGATTTAGCGTCAATCACGTAATTTTGGGACGCGTCTGTGATTGGAGAAATAGTGGCTAGTTCCCCGGAATCGGATGCAGTAAGCTAAGCGTTCGACGCAAGTAAGTATTCAGTACTACTGCTTCTACGTCATCAATGCAGTCACAGTAAGTATCAGTTACTCTCAAAATCATTGTCCCCATCCATTTTATTGCAAGGCACCCCGTCGAGCCCGTCATAGGTACCTTATGAAGTAACTGCGTGGGGAGAACTGTGCATTGCGGACACCCTACATCATTATGTAATCAATATCCCGTCCGCCTCATTTCCTAGCCTTAGGTAATCAAGGAACAATGGCTCGTACCTCGTTCGTACCTTGCAAGCCTCGTGCACATTGATTGTCGTGTTTCAACGCGAGGCTTCCAACTTTGACGTTCTTTCCTTCTTTCCTTCTTGGCTCCAAATCTCTTCAACTTCAACTCTCCCATCGGGCGGCACCACAACGAAGGGCAATAAAATCCTTTTTTACTCGCCCTCATCAGGGTTGTCGACTGGAGTCTTATTTCCGTTACATACTTCGCTTCCATACCCCCTTCACCTTTGATCGATAGCCTTTTTCGACACCACCTTGTGTTCCCTTTGTCCACGGACACACGCCGTTCGGCCTGCTCTATTCAACAGACACGACGAAATAATCTCGATCGACCATCGACTGCTGCGATCCTTTCGCTTTGGGACCCCATGTTTTATGTTTGTTTCTCCCGAAGAGATGCTGTGTTTGCATCAATCAGTGAAAATCCCAAGCCTATGCCCCGATACTGACTGATATTGTTTCTGCCCCCCAAACAGGTCGGACCTTCTATCAAATGACACCTTAAGTGCAAAGTTCCCACATCTACACGGCTTTGGCTTTTACCATGCCCCCAAAGCGCAAGCGACCCGATCGCTCCTCAAGCGATGTCGGCCGACCGTCCCCCCATCGACCTGCTGAGACTTCCCTTGGTCAGCGTGATCGTGACGGCTTTGACAACGCCGGCAGAGGAGGACGGGGCGGTAGGAACACGAGACGGCTAGACCGACGGGATTCCTCCCAAACCTACCCCGCTCAATCATCGTCGAATAATTCTCAACCCGCTTCGTCACCTATGGCGGCTCGTCACCCAGCAGCCGCTTCTTCGCAAAAACTTGCCCCCACCACCGCGCCACCACCGCCTTCATCAGTCGCCCCTGCCCCTGCTCCTGCTTCTACTTCGGCTCCCGCTTCAGCACCTGCTCCTCCTCCCCCAGAACCTCCTTTGCCCATCCCTTCCCTTTATTCCTATGAGAACCTGACAGACGATAAGATCGCTTCTTGGGAAGCTGGCTCGAGACAGGCATTAGTCGAGCACGGCATTCAGTCGAGGCAAGATGTCGATGTCACCGAGCTCTCCAGTCTTTTCCAAGAATTCATCCAGTCCGTCGTCGACAACCGGCTCAACCCCGCCGACGCCGGTGCCTGTGTCAAAGAGATCCTCGGTCCGGAATTGAAGGAGGTTATTAAGGATTCCTACTCGTTTGAGCCGCACACCCTCTTCCTCGACACGTTTTCCATCACCGTCGACAATCATGCCGACATCTACCAACACAAATTCCGCGATTTCCTCATCGCCACTGCCATTTCCCCCGCCCTCATCCGTCAGGTGCTGGAGGCCCCGATCCTTCAGAAACTTGGTCTCATACGGGAGACCTTCGTGAAGCTAGGAATCCGCCATTCCACCAACGTCCTCTATCGCCAGGCCAACTACAACCTGCTCAGGGAAGAATCCGAAGGGTATTCGAAGCTGCTTACCGAGCTATTTACCACCTCTTACGAGAACACCTCCACCGACGTCCCTACCCAGGTCGCGCGGGAGGCCTTTGAGAGGATCAAGGCTTTAATCGGCACTTTCGACCTGGATGTTGGTCGAGTTCTTGATGTCACCCTCGACGTGTTTGCCACTTCCCTCGTCAAGGCCAGCAGGTTTTTCGTCAAATTGCTGCGCGTGAGCTCGTGGTGGCCGCGGGCCAAGATTCTCCCCAGGAACACGGAGCTCGGCCTCAGTGGCCTCCCCCTCTGGGCTGTCCCTGATCACTCTGAGGCGGACGAGGAGAGATTAACCGAGCTCAAACGGCAACGAGACATCCGCTTCTGGGAGAGGGCTCGCCAGAAGCAGATCCAGGCTTTCTTCGAGCTCGGCGGCCGGGAGGTCTCCGGGGAGGATCTCCAACGCGCCAAGGCCTCGGCCACCAACCCCGGCGCGGAAGCTGACGCCCTTCGCCTCTGGATCGAGACGACACAAACCCTCCCTCCCCAAGGCAATCGAGTCGCCGCCCAGCTGTTGGGCTTCAAGCTACGCTTCTACGCCTCCGATTTCAGAGACGGTGAAGTCCTGCCGGCTAATCTCCTGTACCTCGCCGCATTGCTCATCAAAATCGGCTTCATCTCCATCGTCGACCTTTATCCCCACTTGTGGCCCTACGATGACGACATGGAAGACTTCAAGGCCCGGAAGCTGAAGGAGATTGAGGAACAGGAACGCGAGGTGCGCGGCGAAGCTACCAAAAACGCCTTGCTCACCGCTGGTGCTTTGCCCGACGACATGATACCCCAGCAGCCTCTCTCTCGATCCAGAGAAGCCGCCGCAAGGTCTGACGCCACGACGAAAACAGGACCGGACGAGACCGAGAAGGAAAAGCCGCCTCTGGAACAAAAAGGTGCCTTGGTTACGAACCTTCTCACCATCGGCGCACTTCCCGAAGCCCTCTTCTTCATCGGTCGCTGGCCTTGGCTGCTTGAAGCCTTCCCCGACATCATCGACCGCCTCAACCGCATACTGGAGTACTCTGTCGACAAGGTGTACCGGGAAACTCGTCCTGTAGCCCCGGATTCGATGACGTGCCCCCCGAAGCAGGTGTCTGACCCCGATCAAAGCGGCGTCCCCAGAGGAACCATAAAGCGCATGGAACTCCCGGTCAAGAAGCCTATGCGATGGCCTTGGCCCGACGGTCGCCAAGGTCCCGCCGACCAGCAGTACCGCTTCTACTGGGACGACTGGGCCGACGTCATCCCCGTCTGTCAGACAGTAGATGATATCTTCACGCTCTGCCGCACCTTGTTAAACGTATCGGGCGTGAACATTGGCCGGAGCGAGAGACTGATGGTCAAGCTGCTCGAGATCGGCGCGAAGAGCTTGGCCGACGACACCTCACAACACAACCTGGACCGCTGGCAGGATCTACTGCATCGGACCCTGGCGCCGGCCTTGAGCACGACAAAGAGCAACGCGTCCATTTCGAACCTCTTATGGTCGCTGCTCAGACTGTACCCCGTGACCACCCGATACCGAATCTACGCAGAGTGGTTCCAGGGTCCGACTGCACGACTCCCGGCCATGAAAAAAGCCTTCGCCAACACGAAAGCGGAGACCCAGAGCACGATGAAGCGCATCTCCCATACCAACTTGCGCGAGATGGCCCGCACTCTCGCCAAGACGAGCCACTCGTCTCCCGGCATCGTTTGCAAGGTCGCCCTCGAGCAAATCTCCTCCTACGGCAACCTGACCGATGCCGTTGTCGAGTGTGCCCAGTACTTCACCGACCTCTCCAAGGACGTATTGATCTGGTCACTGATGGATGCCCTGGGCACCAACCAGCGCAGTCGAACCCAGGCTTCGTACATCCTCTCCATCAGCAAGTGGCTCCAGGCCCTGTCCGACTTCACCGGCAAGGTCTTCAGGCGGTACGATGAGCTGGACATCACCCCGATCCTTCGCTACGTCAACGATCAGCTGTTCCATGGCAACTCGACGGACCTGATCATTCTGGAAGAGCTCGTCGCCAACATGGGCGGCATTATCCAGACACCGCACATCGGCGAGGATCAAGTCATGGCCATGTCGGGCATGGCTTTGCTCCAACGACACACCCTCCTGAGCATGAAGGACAAGCGCTTCGAATCCGCTTCGAGTGCGAAGCGCCTCACGCGGGCCTTGGTCGACTCCCGCCTTGCCGGGCGCCTTCTCGTCAACCTTGCCCAGTTCAAGCAGTCGGCCAGCTTTAGGCTGCCGGACGACGGAGCTCACATCAAGTTCCTCTCGTCCATGATCGACAACAGCCATCAAATCCTACTCCAGTACATTGATTTCCTTCGCGCCCACTTGGACGCGGAAGACTTTGATCGACTGGTGCCTACCATCAGTCAGCTGATGCTGGATTTCGGGCTCGAAGCCGGACTGGCCTTCATGATCGGCAGGGATAGCTTAGCAACCCACCTTTTCTCCAAGACGGCGCTTCCCGCCGCCAAGGTGCCTGCTCAGCCTGCGGCCGACGCCGAAGGCGATGTTATCATGGGCGATGACCCGTCTTCGGGGTCTTCCAATGCGACGCAGGCGGCGAACCTGTCGCCTTCTTTGGAGCCGGAGGGCACGACGCCAGACCAGCCCAACGGCGGCGGCGGCTCTGACGCCGTGCAAGCCGTCGTCGAGTCCATTCGCGCAAGGACACCGACGTCCGTGTGGAAGCACATCAGCCCGGAGTTCTTTGTCATTTTCTGGGCTCTGCAGCTCGGCGATCTCGTGGTGCCCTGGGCTAGTTACCGTTTGGCACAGAATCGTCAGCAGGAGCTGTTCAAGCAGGTCTCCCGAGACAGAACCCTCATGACAGCTGTGAGGGATGCCAAGGCGAAGACTTATCAAGACTCCGCCACCGGCCTGATGAAGGAAGGCCAGCAACACTCGGAACGGGTGGCCAAGGCGAAAGTATTCATCACGAAGCGCATGGACAGCTGGTTTACCGGCGACATCAACAAGCTGAACGGCATTTCCGACGCCATCATCGAGCAGTGCCTTTTCCCCCGGCTCGTGCTCTCCAAGATCGACACGGAGTACTCGTACGCTTTGATCAGACACCTCCACGAGCTCTCCTGCCCCAACTTCCGGCTCATGGTTTTGTACGACCGCCTCTTCAAGGCGAACCGGCTTCGCACCATGCTTTTCACCTGCACCGTCCAAGAGGCCGAAAACCTCGGCCGCTTTTTCCACAACGCCCTGCGCGACCTCGCCAAGTGGCACAAGGACAGTGTGGCTTACGAGAAGGAAGCCATTGGAAAGAACGAGAGGAGACCTCATGGTCGTTTCGGATTCGCCGATACGTTTGGTCATGACGGTCAGCCTACATCGCATCTCGATCATGCTCGGTTCCAGGATCTACTCTATGGGTGGCACAAAAACCTGAACCTGGCTCTCAAGTCATGCCTCTCCGGCACGGAATGGATGCATATCCGCAACGCCATCACCTTCCTCACCGAGGTCCACCAGTTCTTCCCGGCTATCAAATTCATGGGCTCGCAATTCCAGCAGCAGCTCGAAGAGATTGGAAAGCGCGAGGAGAATTCCAGGGGCGACTTGTCTACCACGGCCCGTGGCGTCCTCACGAAGTTGGCCAAGATGGAGAAGACTTGGGTCATCCCGGCCGCTTTCCGTACCAACCTTGTAAGTATTCGATCGAATTCGACGACACCGACTACAGCTTCGAAGTACTGACGGGGCAACATAGTCTGCAAAGAATCTGGCTCAGGCCATGGAAGACGAGCAGGCCGCCGCATCCAATCTCCGGCCCAGTGCGCCAGAATTCCAGCCAAGGTATGATCTCCAACACCAAAATCGGCCTTCTCCATCCTAACAATGCTTAGGGGCGCTGCGAATGCTAGATCCACGACCGGCGATAAGGAAGACGGCGAGGTCCGAGACACCAGTCGCGACAAAACCCAAGCATCTAATGCTGGCGCCCAGCGCCAGAACTTGCCTCCCGCCACAACGCAGAAGGAGACGACTCCTGCATCTAATGCCCAACGGGCAAGCGCAGCGACGGCCAACGCAGCCAACAACGAGCCGTCGAATCAGAAGCAGGCTACTGGACCGGCTGCGGCGCAACAGGCTACGACAAACACTAGCACCATCCCAAACAGGGGTCTGGCCAACTCGCACCCGAGTCCTAACCTCCCTTCACGGCCACCTGGGCCGATTCCAGACCACAGGCTTTTGAACCACTTTAGGCCAGCGGCATCTCACGAACGTAGGGACGTGAAGGAACACAGAGAAGCGCAAGGTCATCGAGATGTTCGCGAGCAGAAAGAAACCAATCGCGAGTTCCGGGAGCCCAGGGACCTTAGAGATAGAGACACCAGGGTACCCGAACCGGCACGTACAAACCCGCCACGCGACTTTCCAAACCCCGAGCGGCGAGTACAGGACACTTCGGGACCAGCTGGGGCCAGCGGCCGATCATTCGAGAACGAGCGAAACGCACGACAGGAAAATCAACACGGCCGTCGGGGCGAACACGCTGCACCCGACCGAGAGGCGGTGCCGCCAAGTTGTCGAACGGCCGATGCGGTTAGACCGGCTCGAGAAGGGAGCAGCGCAGTCGCATCTGCTGCGGGCGGAGATGAGCCGCCCATGAACCCAGCCCGAGCGGCACTGATTCAAGGCGAGGCGCCGACGCGCGCTGACCGCGTGGATCGCCATGACCGTGTCGGAAAGGACCGAGGTAGACCACACGAGCCGGACCGGCGAGGCAGGGGTCAGGGTCAGGGTCAGGGTCAGGGTCCAGGCCAACAGATGCCTGAACCGGGCCATGATCGACCTGAGATGATGAATGCCGAACGTGCTGCGTTGTTCCAAGACGGTCGACCGCAACCACCATCTCGACCGCCACGAGACGAGGTTCGCGACCGGGGAGCGATCAGGGCGTCTTCACCCCGCCCTGGCCCAGGCGGACGTCACCACCCAGATGCTACAGGAGATATGGTTAGAGATGATAGCAACGGTCCTGGCCGGCCTCCGTACGCAGATCGTCGAGGCCATCCCCGCGAATCCCGAGGCGAGGGTCCCCCGGGGCCGCATGCGAGAAGTACGGACGGGGACAGGGAAGACCGTCCCGCCCCGGACAACAACACCAGGGAGGCTTTTCTGGGCCGAAGTTCGGACCACGACCACGGCAGGCCTCGACAGGACGACACGTATGGCCGTCTGAACTATCCCATTCAGTCCGTGGTGAACGATGTTCCTTCCGGTCCTCGAGGGCGAGGCTCGCGGCCGATGCGTGGCAACGCCAACGCACTTAACACGCCGCCGCCTCGCATGAACGACAGATTCCAACCGCGCGCCGACAACCATGCTGGGATCGACCTAGAAGAACGGAACGCGCCTAGTGGACCGGCCGGGTCGGGTAGGGGGACTCGGTCTCAGTTCGCGACGGGGCCGGGATCGGTGGGACCTTCCCACCCTCCTGGACCAACTCCCGATCGCGGACGTCAGAACCGCGCCGACATGCCGGCTTCTTCTCCTAGACAGCCAGGCCCAGAAACTCCGGTCGTTTCGGGGGTCCATCCTGATCGACTGGCCCAGATCTCCGGTGCTCCTCCCCCACCGCCCGGTCCCGGCTCGTCGCATGGTCCTGGGCACCATACACGACAGTCCCAGCTGGGCGGTACTCCGGACCGACAGCCGGTTACCCCCTCGGACAGCGGGCGGACACTACCAAGACACGTACACGTGAACGACTCCCCGGCACCTGATATGGCGCCACCCACGGGTCCGGCTGCGTCATCTAGCAGCGACCGTAGGAGGGGAGGCGGGAGGAGGCAGCTGGAGGGGATCAACTCGATGCTACAACAAGCGCAGGATCCCAACCGGAGCAGCATTGGACGCGGTCGGAGTAGTCGCGTGAACCTGGCCAACTCGGATGCGCAGGTCTTGACGGGCGGCTCGCCCGTCACGACGCCGTCGAACGAACGTTCGGACCCTGTGCGTCAGCAAGATAAGACAGCGGCGAATGCGGAGGAGCGGGTCCGGGGCGAGCGCGAACGTGGGCGGGACCGCGACCGTGATCGTGATCGTGATCGTGAGCGAGGAGATAGAGAGCGGGAACGGGGTCGCGAGTCGCACCGCGAACGCGAACGCGACCGAGACCGTGGCCATAGAGACGGCGAACGGCCAAGCCGGGGATCGCGGAGGAGTAGCCGTGATCGCAGCCTCAAGCACGAACAGGAACACAACAAGGACAGCCGCGAGTATCGGGATCGCCAGGGTACGGCGCCAGGTGGGCGGGAGGAATCCAGACGGTCTGCGCTCGACACGGGTTCCACCGGGTCGCGAGAGGCACCCGAGCCCGCTCCCCATGGCAGAGAGGCAGGAGGGGGAGGCCGCGAATCACGCCATCGGAGCTCGCGGGAAGGCGCCGCGGCGTCGGCGTCGGGGAGCAAGGGGGAAGATTGGGGCGGGAGCATGCGAGGACATCCTCGGGGCGGACCACCACGCGACAGAGGGTTGCGGACGGGCGACGAACGACGCGGCGATGCCGGGCGCGAAGGCGGACGAGAAGACCGAGGACGGAAGCGGAGGAGCGAGGACGCGGCGGGGTTCCCGACCGAGAAGAGACCGAGACGCTAGCCGCCGTTTTCGGCTCGATTCGCGGGGTACGAGAAGCGACTAGGAGGAAGAAGAGGGGAAGGGTATCATCATTACAACACCGTCGCGACGGGTGGATGGGGGGATGTAACAGGCTACGGCTACGGCTACGGCTATGGGGAATCGGATTCGGCAGCACACGGAGTTTACACGGACGACCATCGACTGTACGCACATTGCAGACACCGAGCGGCAGGAAAAGGAGAGGTCCTCCCTTTGACGCGACTCGACGCAGATTGATTCCTTTCTTTTCTACTACTCATTGCATAATATTATTTTCTTTTACGGCCCTTGGATTCTTCTTATCGGCAGAAAACGGTTTTGCCAGGAAGGTTTCCGCTCAGAGATACAGACGGAATGCTTTTTGCTTATTTTCTTCTTTTTTTTTTGACCGACCCCAAGAGAGAGACAACCGGAAAAGGACGAAAACAGTCGAGAAAATTCAAAACCAAAATGCGTTTTTCTTTTTACCTCTTTCTTGTTACATCAGATTCTTCGTATCCAGCGAATTCAGTCAACTTTAAAGCTTTGCTTCTGCAGCCATTCAGAGATACCCGCCCGAAAACAAAAACAGCGAGAACGCAACACGATGCATGCACCGGCGTTGGGAAAGGAACGGAGGGAAAGGAGTTCAATTCGACGCACTTTTGGGGGAGGAGAAACACGAAACCGTTTGCGCGAAAACTCGGCAACCGCCTCCCATCACAAGGGGAACACCAGGGCAAAGCCGTTCGCCTTCGACCTGCGCGGCTTACTCCAATGTGCGAGGAGAACCCCTCTGACGGCGGCCCAGCCTTCGTTCTGTGTGCAGCTGTATGATTATTGTATCATTTCCATCATAATAAGCTCTCTGGGTTGCATAGAGACGTGGAAGCGCAGGGCTATTGTAAATCATGGCTAAGAAATCATAGGAGTAGAATAAAGGGGCGGAGAGGCGGAGGCGTAGAATATGCTCGCAAGAGGATATAGGTAAAGACACCAGGGGTTCCTATTCTTGATATTTCTCTATACTGTTCGTGTCATGTGATATACAGGAGTTGTAACATTGGGGCTGAAAGATGATTCAGGTACCTAGATGCGGTCCCAGGTACGTACACGTCTCAGTCCCAGGTCCCGACGGTTCGGCATTGGATCGGTCGGAGACGCCATTCATAGTCTCCACCCTTTTCTCCGCCCGGGTCCGGACCGACGGACGTCATATCCATAGCCGAAGATACCCGACTTCATCTCACATCGCCAAAACCATCCACCATAACTGATCAACACTTCAACTTGTCTCTCATTCCCTTCACGCTCATTTATCGACAAGGTAGTAAAAACCAAGACACCATCAGACGGTATACAAAGGAAAATGCGGTCCCTCTCACTCCCCATCCGCCGCAGTCTCCGCAACCTGCACACGTCCCACCCAGCAACACCCTCCCCCGCCATCCTCCGATCCTACAGCACCGCATCGAGCAATGGCAGCACACCAACTTCCACAGCGCTAGAGTCAGAACCGCCCACCCCTGCACTGAGCTCGCGGTGGTTCGCCGACCTGCAGTGCCGGCTCCGGCAGCTGGCCGCTTCGAGCCTGGGCGCGGCGGGGAGGAAGGAGGCCGAGCGGTTGCTGCAGTTCGCGCAGGATGAGTGGATGGTGCTTGTGGCCGGGCGGCAGGGGTTCCTCACGGACGAGAGGTGGAGGGGGCTAGACCGGTGTCCGGTGGTGTGGGGGGACATGGTAAGTCGGCCCTTGCGCCATGCAGGAGAATTCTGGGATGTCGTTTTTCGTTTTGTCGGATTCGTGAGCAAGAGTTGGGCTAAGAATATAATTTCTTTGCTCTGATCCTCCCGATGTCTTAGGATAGTATGGTAAGCAGTTCCGTTCTTTTTTCAAGTCAATGGTAATCCATGGAATAAAATAAACCGTCGCGATCTGGGTTGGTATGCTGAACACTTTTACATAGGGTACGAACGCACTGCGCCACTCTTCTCCCATCTCTACATCTCAATCCTACGGAGCATCTTTATATCATGAAGCACATGTTAAACAGGGTCTAACCAGCCGAATCCCCCACCAGGACACGTCAACAACGTCATGTACAACCGCTATGCCGAATCCGCACGGGTAAACTGGGCCCTCTCCCACGGGCAAGGCCGCGGTCCCGAGGAACAAAACCGCTGGGAAGGCCTCATGACCCCTCGCGGCGTGGGTCTGATCCTAAAAAGCATCAAAACCGAGTTCAAATTCGTAAGCTTTCCCTTCCTCCCCCTCCCGCTTTTGCTCCGATAACCCCTCGTCTCTCACAACCGAACCACCAGCCCCTGGGATTCCCCGACAAAGTCACCGTCCTCGACCGCCTCGTCGAGAAACCCACCTACGACGCCGACGTCCTCAGACTCGACGTCCTCATCCTCTCGGAACGCCACAGACGCGTCGCCGCCCGCTGCGAGGAGGAGGTCGCCGTCTACGACTACCGCTCGGCTCGCAAGACCGTCCTGCCGCGGGACATGGTCGACCGCCTCGCCGAGACGTATGAGCTGCAGGAAGAAGCCAGGCGCGTGGCCGAGGCCAAGGCCGCCGAGGTGATCCGGGCGGTCGAGAGGATGGAGAGTATGTGAGCAGCAGCAGCGGACGGACGGGTGGAGGGAAAGTAGACAAAGGTGAAGAAGGGACAGTGGGAAAACAAGCCCGAGCCATGGAAAAAGACTACTTCGTACTCGTTGAAGCGTATACGAACGCATGTTTGCGCCGGATATACTGAAAAGTTCAACCCCGTTTAATGTATCTCATGTCCAGAAACCGAACTTCGAGCGCAAAACGTATAGTATAGGACATCTATGACACTTGCAGCAGAGATATTGACATAAGCGCTTTTATCATGCTGCTCCAGTGGCCAATTCTCAGGCCAGCGACTTCTGCATGAACATTCGAGGTTGCCCTTCCACGACACCGCCGCATGGATATCCGGGTCTATTTACACCATGGTCTCCGACTATCTAAAACACCGCCGTCGAATCCAGTAAGTGATATCGGGGCCATCGCAACTTAGTTCGCATCGGGTTCGCTACACAACCTCCGCTGCCAGGAAACCTGCGTTTCCAAGCCTTTGCACGTCTCAATGATCGCTGGGATTTTTTCCCCTCTGTCGCGCCGGAAAACATGAAGTCGGCGCAATGCATGAGGCTTGAGATAAGAGGAGAAGAAAAGGGGAAAAAGAAACCCCAAAAAAAATTGACCGCTTCCAAAGCACTGTGAAGAAAAGACAGATAATCCTGCATGCAGCATGATGGGTGTGCATTAACCAAACCAGAATATCCCTCGGTCATCCCATCCCATTTCCGTTTGTTGCTGAGGAAATCCCGCTACCCCCCATGAATGTCTCCCATACCATAACCGTATGCCCCCCAAAAAAGAGGAGAGCAAGAAGAACGCCGCCCTGGTATCTCGAAAACAACAAAGATGAAAATGCAGAGGCCCCATTTTTTTGCGACAGGGACCCTATTCGTGTGCGTCGTAAAAGCAATGGCCGAGTCTAGTCTTCATCAATCGGGTCGGGATTGGTGGCGCGTAGTACGGGCCTCGTCACCTTGCGCGAGTAGTCGTGCTCATCGTGCAAAGTGTTGACGCTCTCCCGGCTCTTGTTTCTATACATCGGCGCCGCATAAGGATCCATCCGCGGATCAACTGCCATGAGCCTGCTGCTACGACGCTGGTCTCCGTTGGATTCGGGATTCGCGCCTGATCCGTTCATAGTCACGACCAGTTTGGGAAGCCGAGGAGTGGGTGTCGAGCTACCGCCGCCGTGATTCTCGTACTTATCATTGCTGATGTCGGAGTCCGCATTCAGTTGCTTTCGCCGTCGGATGTAGAAGAACACGCCAACGGCGGCAAAGACGATGACGGCACCGATAACGCCGATCACGATGCCGACAACAGCTCCTGTGGCGAGGCCCGATCCTCCATCGGATGACTCGTCCGGGTCCGCCGAGCCGCTGTCTGCTGGGCTGGACGGAGTGACGAAGACGGTTCGGACGGTGCCGCTGGTCGTTATTGTCTGGACGCCTGAGGCTGATGGATCTGGATCCGGCGTCTCCTGATGAAACGGTTAGCTAATGTCCCTTAAGCCGGTGGAAGAGAAACGCCCGCCTCTCGCCCCTTGCCAGAACTCGGGCACCCAGCAATTCCTACAGCCGCACTCGACATGCCCTCCGATGAGAACGACGAGAAACACGACAAAAGAGATGACAAAGGAGACGACGAAGGAGACGGCGCAGAGGGCGGCAATGGAGACGAAAAAGACGTTACCGAAGATGTTGCCGAACTCTGGACAGTCTCAGTCTCATCCGCCGTAGAGGACTCCGTTGGGGGCACCGTTGGGGACGCAGAAGGAGATGTAGCCTGAAACCCCGGTATTTAAGTTACTGTTCTTTTTTTCCTTTGTTGGAAATGGTGATGGGTGGTGGTGGCACGTCCGACGGGTTGGGAATCGACAAGAGACTGAGCAGAGAAAGGCAATATCGACGGCAAGAAAAGGCAATTGTAAACAACAAAACGTGGCGATGGTCCGAGGGGTCAAGTAACTAAACTGCAACAACACGGTTTTGGGGGAAACGGGTTAAAAGGAGAGCAAAGGCTGCGAACTCACCTCAGACGTTGGGGTAGAGGTAGAGGTAGAGGTAGAAGTAGAGGTAGAGGTCGCGCTCGAACTGGGGCTGCTGTCGGCTTGTGTCGACGTGGGCTGTCTGGCAAGACGTAAATATCCATACCAGCCAGGCCGTCTTCCACAGAGTTCATCGGGAAAGCCAGGACAACTCTCTGAGCAGTCCTCATCGACGTCTCCGAGGGTTGACCTGGGCGGCTCGACGTTCGAGCACCAGCATGATTGATATTGGACTACGGCAAAGGCGAAATCTTGCTCGATACAATGATCCTGGCAGAGACCGTTGGATTGCCACCTGTCGAGAACTGCGTATAAGTGTATTCCGTCAGTTTAAGATTCAGACCCGTCGTTGGGGGAAGGGGCGGGAGCTGGAGCGAAATGTGGACATACATGCGTTGCCCGAGCCAGTATTGACTGAAGCGCAGAGGTCCTGTTGGAGGGTCTGCCTCCGAACTATTGGGTTGTTTTCTGATGTATCGGATAAAGGAAGGAGAAGAAACAAGGAAGCACACACAAAACGGGCTGTCTTTGATAGGCCCATGTCGAAGGGGAGTTGTGTCCAGGATCGAATTCTAGCGGAAACGTTTAATTAGCGGACGTTTGACTTCCCGTCTGCCTTGGAAGAAAAGAAGAAGAAAAAAAGAAAAAAGGAGAACGACCACCGATGGACGCTCGAAGGAACATAAACTGATGTGCCCTTGGGGGATCTGGTTGAGAAATGATGCATACGTACGTTTCCAGGGCAGCTGGCAAGTGGTCGGTCAGATCAAGAACTCGTCTTTAGCATCGGTGTGTATGGATACCAAGAGCCCGGTCTGTCGGTCTATCGGACAAAAGCGAAGTTGAGCGAGAATGTCAAGGATGGGATCCAGTGCAACTAAGTGCTGCCATGACACTGGACAAGCGAACAATGGGCGGATTCGTTTCGCGAGGCCTACCGGGGCCTGCAGGCGGCGGGAGGCTGGAAAGATGGGGGAGTTTCGGCAGACGGACGGTAAAGCAGCCGGTGCACGTAGTGACAGGATTGAGTGAGGTGGTGATACTATAATTGTTTGACTAATAACCGATGTTGACAGTCCGCTCGGCGTGGTTAGGGTACTCCGGTGAGTATTGTCGTCGGTCTCGGGGAGCAGGACGCTGAGGTCGATGAAAGTTAAGGAGATGAATTAAGTCGGTTGTCTGAAGGTGAGAAATGTACGGATGACCTCGAGATAGCAAGCTGAAGGCAGGCAGGACAGACCCGGGGGGCTGGTCGATTAGGGGGTGGAGCGAAGGAAAAAAAAAAAAGGAAAAAAGACAAAACCCAAACGAGGCTCTTCTTGGTCTTGGTCTTGGTCTGGTTGAACCCAGCCACGGCACGCACGGGGCGTGGGAAGTGGGCAAGTTGGGAGATCAAAGGAGCAAAGAAGCGGGGCCAAGAAGCCACACTAAATAAAGTATGGAGCAGATAGACTGCAGTACGTTATAGGATATCCGTAGTACGAGGTGGAGATTGCTGCGTTGGTTTGTTTTTGTCGTATTCTTGTTGCTTTAGCTGGTCGGTTTGAGGATCGCCGTTGGAAACTTCCTTGGTGGAGGGGATTTGGTAGAAAGGAAGGGGAGATGCAAGGGAGACGGGAAAGAGCCAATGCACGGAGTACGAGGACAATGGACTCAACCTGGAAATAAAGTAAGGTAAGGTAGTGTACGGAGTAGAGTTGAGAGTCCGTCACAATATGCGATCAAAAAGAGGCAGAGACAGAAGGGAGGAGGAGAGAATAAATTGGAAGAGAAGGGTGAAGAAGTGAGGAAGTGAGGAAGTGAGGATGAGGAAGTGGGAGGAAGGGTCACACCTTGGTTGTTGCTCCAGGTTGATTGAGTAGGTAGGTACGAAACGAAGTAGGCACATAATAAGGTACACGTACGTGCGATGCAACGGATAAGGTAAGTACTCAGTATCCGTTTTAGGTACTCCTTCCTACAGCTTCTTGGCTCTTGCTGCCTTGAGTCTCCGTGTGTAGGTATTTCACTTCGTACTCCGATACCTTATATGCAGGGAACAGGGGCCACGAAGAACGAATTCCGGTTGCACGGAGACTACCTACCTTAGGTAGCTCGGTACTCACAGTACATGTACCGGCATCCATCTGTGACTTTGTGACGCACCTTGCTGAAGAAGAAGGAATCACATAAGGTACCTTAAGGTAGGCCGATCGGGGTATCAGGGGCTGCTTGTCACAGACGGATATTGAGTCAGCGGCTAATTACCTCTGGCAAAAGATATTCGCTCGAATGATGGAATAAACAAGGTACGAGGCCAGACAGCAAATTAAAAGGTAGGTACACGTGTAGATGATCCCACATTGTTTTTAAGTGAAGGGATACATACGTTGCACATATCTACACGTAATTACGATGTGCCGAAATTGGGTGGACCGACCGGAGTCCTTTATGCGGAGTACATTTACTTGGATGACCAAAAAAGTAAATAATGAATAGAAGCTGATGAAAACAAAACAAAAGTTACTCGTTATGCTACACTATTCTCAACTCTTTATTTGTAAGAAGTAAGTTCTAATGATCTGTACGAAGTATGTACTTTGAAGAAGACACCTCGAGCTGATGTTAAAACGCCGGGCTCTCTAGCCGGTGGGCCAAGTTCCCGAGTACGAAGAACAGGCGATAAGCAGACCTTGGCCAATCCTTGGCGCACGTAAAGGTACAGAGACGGACACAAAGCACCGCACCGCTTGCGTAACTTAAAGTATTCTCACAAATTTAACTGAACAAGAGCGAAGCAGGTATATTTATAAGTTACCTACCTGGAATACTGATGCATATACGGGCTACCTACTCGTAATTACTCTGTGCTTTGTGGAGAGCTGGAGAAACATCAAGATTGACGAGTTTAAGATTGACCAGTGGAATGCCCCGACAAGTTGGCAATTGGTTCCCTGAGCGAACGAGCCGCTAGCGGTAGTCACCTTGCTACCTTATAAAGAAAGAAAAACCCTCGATTCCCTCTGTCGACGCGGGATGTTCCCAGGTTTCATCTTTTGGCGTCAACTTCTTTCCTCCTAGCGTCTAACGCTCTCGAAAACGGTCGTCTTATCATGTACTATCCGTATTAGTACATCTCTTTAATTATCCGATGGTCCGACCAACGGGATCTGGCACTACAACGTATCCCTTTTAGATCCTCCTTTTCTTATCTCTTCTGATTCGCAGACGACAACCATCGCTACTTGAGTCGAAACCAACAAGTACTTTTCCAAGTTGACGTTTGCCATTGTCCTTGCCATTGCATTATAGGTTAATTATAGGTCGTCGCCTTGGTAGAACAACGCTTTTGGTGCATCTTGACCCGAGCATCATCCTGTCGAACAGAGTGAATTCCTTGGTCGTACTCGGGCGTTCAACTATCGGGCCTTCGGACCTTCCAAGTTCACCACCGCTTCTGTTCGCTTCGCTTTCGTCCTCGGTTGCCCATATCATATCCCGACGTTCCATGACGAGCTGGACACGTCAGGGATCAACCGTTTGAACGGGAAAACACCGGGCACCGAGTCGGTTTATTTTGATCGATGTATTCTCATGAGAACCCTCTTCTTCCTTTCCCTTAGTCTCTCTTCACCATAAACCACATCCCAGACGAATTGCTCTTCTCCCGTCTCTCATATCAACATCCGGACTACATAACCCTTCGCACCCCGGCCACTGCCGGTCGTACTACCATACCACCCACTGATCAGTGAACCGTCGTGCTTCGGCGAATAATAATGGTTTCTCCCCTCAGCTTGTGATGCGTATCGCAGTCGCAGAATCCCAGCCTCGCCAGAGCTATTGAACAACGCATCGCATCGTGTGATGATATTCTAGTATGCCAACCCCTCCTGGACCGCGCACCGAAACCAACTGCTGGTTGCGCCGCCGAGTCTTGTGTCGTGATGTCCTACGATCCCGAACCGCACGCCAGATGCGGGGTTGGTTGGAAGACGCGCTTCTTATCCCTGCCTCCGAAAATGTCCGTCACCCGCCTAATCGCTCCAAGCGCAAAAAGCAAGGCTTTCCCGGCTCAAGTTCTTTACACCTCTTACTACGAAAACGGAAAAACGGACGAGAGCACATAGGGTGCGAAAATGGCACACCATGTGGACCGATCGACAGTGGAGTTAGATGCTGCGTAACCCGAGACGTCGAGAAAGGAAAAAGGAGTAATAAGGGGGTGTTGGAAAATAATAAGCTTGAGGCAGAGATGGAGAGATACCTAAGAATACACTGACGCTGGCCCGCTTTATTTGTCGACCACTCTTGGCAGCCTGCGTTATTCGTAGCAGTACTACCGCCCGTGCCCGTTTTCCGGGATTTTACGCTATTTTTCGGGCGATTTCGTTCTATAGTATATAGCTATACCACCGTAAAATGGTCTACTTTCGTAATATATATATTTTAGCCCGTTTTTACGTATCTTTAATAGTACAAACGGTATAAATTACGACTATATTTAACGACTAGACTATCCTATTATATATAGGTCTACTACCTGTAAAGGCTTTTCCGATATTATACGATATTTTGCGTTTTTTAGCTCGTAACGCTATAACGCTACAGGAATAGTTAGTTAAACCGAACGCGAGGCTAAGCGCTGCTATAGTTATAATACTATTAAGCCGTTTTCCGAGTTCGGCTTCTATCTACGGGCACGTCAAAGGATCTACGCTACCTATATTACTTATAAAGCTAATTAAGCCGACTATTAAGCCGCCCGTTAAGCCCTTCCTGCACCTTCTATAGGTTTTACGGCTCCTCCACCACTTATTCTAATAGACTACCCTCCTCTAGCGCCTCCGCCCGCTCCCCTTATACCTCCTCGCCCGCGTACACGATACCATTATCCCTTATAGCGTAACGCTTTATGGTTTACTCCGGGTTATTATTACTTAGCCTATTACCGTTACTTTACTACGGCCGCTTTTCCTATACGTTATAATAGTACTCCGTATAATACTTATACTGATTACCGGGATAATAGGGTAAATCGTAAAGCGGCTATTAGAGCTAGCTAGCGTCTCGCGAACTATAACTGCCGTGAAGAATATTAAGAGTATTCCGGGCCGTTAGGGTAGTATTAGCCGGGTATTATAGTCGATTATTATAATCTTAGATTAATACGCGTAGAGTATAAATATTACGCTATATTTTATTAGATTAGGGAGAAATTATAGGTTAGTTTTATATCCCGCGTTATTAGTTAATAGCTAATAGCTATTATCTTCTTCTATTACTTAGGAATCGTTATTTATAAGCCCGAAATTTAGTACCTATTATAACTAGGGTGATATCGATATTCCCGTTATCTCCCCGCTACCCGACTTCTTCTAATATTTACTATATATAGATACCGCTTAAGCCACGGATTATCGTAAGAGAATCCGTTAATATAATAATGCCTTTTCGTTTATATCTATATAATATACTAAGACCCGTTAAGGTGCCGCGGCTAGCGGCGTAATAGCCTTTTAGATCTATAGCACCCTTTACTACTATACTAGGCCGTTAAATGCTATAGGTCGACTTTCCGCCTTTACCTAGCTATACTTTTATAACCCGTAGGCTACCGCCGACTACCGCCTTACGAATACCTAAAGCCTTAACTCTACGCTTAACCGTTATATCCTAGGGGAGATTTCGGACTTCCTGTATAAGTATAACACCTTTATCCATTTATATAAAATAGCCTATAAATACTTTAACTCCCTCCGTAAGTAGTGCTATATTATACTTAACCCTAGGATAGAATTAGATATTAAGTAAGG